GCTTTAGATTGGGCTGAAAGAAAAGAAGTTTCATACAGGGATATTTTAGTTCTTCGTAAATTACGGGCGCAGGCATTGGAAGACAATGCTAAGCGCAAATTTACGCAGACAAAAATTGTTAATTAATTTTCTTCTAATTAAAAAATACTTATCGCTGTTAGAATATTTGTTTATTTTGTTATAAATAGTATGTATTAAACGTTTCTTTTAATAAATCAAATATTATATAAAGCACGTTCTCTAATGTAAACATTTCGATAATGTGAACCACACTTGGATTAAATTAGTTTACATTATCGAGCGTCTGCTGTATTAACTACGAGATCTTTTACTGGAAGATATGATTTTTTTTTTGATGTTAATAGCTATGCAAGCCTATTGAATACTGTTGAAGTTTGCATGAAAGAAGCTACAGTCAAGACAACAATTTATAAAAGGAAACTCCAACACCTTAGTTCTCATAGACGTTCAAGGATTCTAAATTAAATTATAAAAAGTTTACTATTACTGGCTATAATACACAAAATCCCAGTCTGTAGCAGTTGTATGAGATGAGAAGAAAAAATATTACAAAACCAAAACTGATGACAGTAAAAATAATAGAAAATGAAGTTCGACGATGGGCTAATGACAAATGAGAAATAATAGCAGATCAAATGAATACCTATTTCATAGAAGTGTCAACAACATTGTAAGATCAATTACTGATGGGGATCCCAACCAATGCCCCATCCGGATCAGATTATATTGCATCATCCAGCGAGTTTAGAAAAATAAACATTAAACGTCTCAAGAAGATTGTATCAAAATCGAAATCAAATCAAAATAAGAGAGACATTTTGTCTAAAAGGGTGCTATTATTGGAGCAAAAATATTAATCCTGAAATTACTGTTTAAAATATGACGAGTTTCCAACAAAACTGAAGTGTTCTTCTACAGAGTGTAAACGTTATGATAGTCATTACTTAAATAGGTGATAGAGGGTGTTAAAAGAAGCAAAAAGTTTCATACAGAGAGAAAAGCGACTTTAAAGTAAAATAAAATCTGACAACACTGCAATGCTAGACGCAAATTACGACGGAACGCAGTGTAGATAAAGATGGAGTTTGTTATTTTTGACTCTTAGGTATTATTTCATTATTTGATAATGTACTCGTAAAATGCAAACAACTAAAAAAAACGGACCTACCACTAACTGACTCAGCGCTTCACCTGGTGTGTGAAAGTTCATTGAACATATAAAAAAAATCCACTTATAAATAGGGAACACAATTTTGATATATACATTGTTTTTCTTTTTAAAACCCACACTGCACTTTTTTATATTTAAAGAAGGTGTTCAAAATGTCGTCCTCCACTTTCAATACAAGCTTCATTACGACGAACCCAGTTTCTTCTTACTCTAGGTCCTCGAAGTTATTCACTTATTATTTCAGCCGCATTAAATTTTTTTTCGTGAAGTTGTGCTTCAGTTGTTATTGGACCAGCCCCATAAACCATCCCTTTAAGATCTCCAAAATACCAGAAATCCATCGGATTGAGGTCAGGAGATCTTGCTGGCCATTTTCGAGGATCAGGAGCATTTCGACCGATCCAGCGATTTGGATTCAAATACTGAATGACGCCTCTAAAAATGTGTGGTGGTTATCCGTCATGAAGAAACCACAAATTCTGTCTCCATTGTAATGGCATGTTGTCTAAGGTCTGTTCCAAAAGTTCTGGTAGGTTATTGGCTAGAAAGCTGTCCCGAGTGCTGATATCTGCATTGATTTCCACGATATTTAAAATTTGTTCCTCCTGCTCTACAGTAACCTGTCTTTCACGTGTGCGAATATTAGTGGGCTGAACACTTCCTGTATCTCGAAGTCTTTGGTACACTTGCACAAATGTCCTTCTGTCTGGGTGTACACGCCCGATACTCTGCTCGACAAAACATAAAGTAATTTATCTATGCAAAACGATAACTAACCACTGTTACCGTTGGCGATCGATTGCCGGTTCGATAAGAGTGATGAAAGACCGACGCGCTGTTGTCATGTGTGTTTTAAATATTTAATTTAATGAAACTTACTGACTACAAATTTTGGTTTAACTTAGAAAAACTTAATGCCATTTATTCGTTGATTACCCAATTTAAAAACGTTTTAGATTAGATTATGAAAATTAGTAAGATTGTAGAGATTGTGGTCGATATAAAGCACTTAAAGTTGTAAACCATTTAGACAAAAATCTATTGACTTTTGGACCATGGGTCATATGAACTTTTTGACTTGTTTTGACCCCGTCTATTACACTTTTCAATAATGACTACCCTAACGTTTACACCCTGTATAGCTCCTTTTTTCGAAAGTTAACAATTTTCTGCAAAAGTCTTTGAAGAAATTATTTACGAAGAGATCGTCGAATTTATCGAGGGAAATGAAATTTTAACCAAATATCAAGCTGGGTTCAGAAAGAAACACTCCAACTGAAATGGCAATGGTTTTAGAGGACTGGAGGAGATGTATGGCCAATAGGAAACATACAGTAACAGTGCTTTTGGACTTCAAAAGGGCGTTTGAAACTAATGACAGGGATAAATTACTTACAAAATTGCATCACTATGGATTTAAAGTATCAAAATTCAACAAAACTACTTAATTGACAGAAGTCAAAAAACTAGAATTGGTTCTACATTATCAAGCACAAAAAATAATTCTGAGTTGGCAAAAATCATAAATTATTGGTTAATAAACTAAAATAGAATGCTTCTAAAACAAAATGTATGCTAATCGGGAAATACCTAAATGAAAATACTAGCACAGTTAGGTGGAATAATTGAAAATGATGAATCAATTAGGAATATACTAATGGGTTGTCCAATAGGGACGCAGGAAAGTAAACGTCAATTTGACATAGACGCCATCTTTGTTTTCTGTCACCGACATATCATTTTGTTAGTTGAATGTTTACCATTGATCGCTATGGAGTCGTATTCGATTGAAGACCGCATTAAAGTTATTCAAGAGCACTACAAAAATGGTGCAAAAATAAAAAACACGTTTCGCGCGCTTCGAGAACATTTCGGTCGCAACAACCGCCCAAACGAAACGACCATCGGTCGTCTGGTGCGTAAATTTGAGGCAACAGGTTCTGTGGCAAATCTGCCAGGCTCTGGCCGGCCAAGGAGCGTTCGCACACCGGAAAATATTGCTGTTGTGAAGGAGAGTGTGAGAGACCATCCGAAACAATCAATAACGCGTCGATCCCAAGAATTGGGCATTTCGAGAATCAGTTTGCTCCGCATTCTCCACAAGGATGTACACGCCTACAAGATCCAATTGACGCAAGAGCTGCGTCGGGCCGACCATTTTTCGCGCCGAACGTTCTCAGATTGGCTCCTTGAACACCGCCAAATTGATGCCAATATTTCATCAAAAATCATGTTCAGCGACGAAGCGCATTTCACTTTGAATGGGACGGTAAACAAGCAAAACTGCCGCATCTGGGCGAACGAAAATACCCGTGAGTATCAAGAGCAGCCGATGCATCCTCAAAAAGTGACTGTGTGGTGTGCATTGTGGTCAAAAGGCATCATCGGACCTTACTTTTTCGAAAATGCGGCCGGGGACGCCGTTACCGTCAATTCTGAGCGATATCACGTGATGATAGAGGACTATTTTTTGCCGCAACTGGAAGGAATGGATATGGACGATGTTTATTTCTAACAAGACGGTGCAACATGCCACACAACCAACGTGAATATCCATCGATTGGAGTCCTTCTTCGGTAATCGCGTGATTTCGCGCAGAGGAAATGTGCCATGGCAACCAAGATCGTGCGATTTGACTCCCTTGGACTTCTTTTTATGGGGATATTTGAAAAGCAAAGTCTACGTCAACAAACCAGCCACCCTCCAAGAACTCAAAAACAACATCATTGCCGAGATAAATGCCATAGAATCGACCATGTTGCAAAATGTCATTGAAAATTTCGACCACCGCGTGGACGTCTGTAAATCCAGTCGTGGTGAACATTTGAGCGATATTATTTTTCATACATAAATGGTATAAATGAACCTTCAAAATAAAGTACCCAACTTGATTTGAATATCAATCTTTCTTGTTTTAATATGCGTTTACTTTCCTGTGCCCGTTTTGGACAACCCCATATATGCATATTGATAGTACACTAAAGTTTGAAGATCACTATGAATTCATTATTTCAGAAATTGCCAAAAAAAAAACAAATTACAGCATAAAAATCAGTGCTGAAATTATTTTCCATTATTTGTTGGGTTCATCAAAGCAACCTTTCTTGTGCTTGTTACAAAGTACCAAAGAGCAAGTTGAACATTTCCACTCTACATCATAAGGTGTGTGCTCTTCCCATTAGCTGATCTATTTTGTTACCAATAGAAAACTTAAGTCATAGATGACCAGTAATTATTGTAGTAATGTAGGAATACCATCAATGACCAAGTAAATTTACTACAAATGGGTAATCATCCCAAAAGACTAATAGGCCAGTCAAAACTAGGCTTTTGTGCCGGGAAATCGTTTAAATATGGTGAAGTCATTATTACCTTTGTTGTATATGTCATCTTTCTGATATTCAACATCAATTTCCTCAAACTTTGATGTCCCACTTAAGAGTGGGTGGTTGAGCGGTGGCGATAGACCGCGTATTTACGTTAGTAATTGACAGCACATGTTAATAAGCACATTAAAACCGCAAACTAGACTTTTGCTTAATGTGTCCCCAACATTGTAGTACCAACAATAATAATGCCAACACAAAAATGGGAAATGATGTAGGATTTGAAAGCAGAAGATATATTCCTATTTTTAAGTAGTCTGAATATATTTAAGCTATCTGAAATAAGAGATAACAAATGTCTTTCTGAAAAGCTTATTTTTCTGAATGAGCTTGTTCAAAGTCAATTTTCTTGTTTTACACAAACATTAGAGTTCTGAATTTTTCCAATATCCTGTTGAAAGAAACAAAATATATTGACTTACATCATCATTTTCACATAGATCGACAATGTTGTGCAACAAGTAACACATTGTCATCTGCAGCACAGATACAGGTCGCAGTTCATGGGCTAAAGGTGTTTCCTGATCTGCCGAACTTCTAGAATACTGTTTCACTGCTTTTCTGATATCCATGGAACTACTGCCATCCATTTGTTCATACAAAGCTACCTAAACAAACAAAAGACAGTCCACCAATATTGTTTTGAAGACCTCCATCTATCAGTGGCGAAGCGTCCATGTAACCATTGGTAACAGTTAAAAACCTTAAAAATAAATATTTTATGACTAAGTAATGTGATATAATTTCATTTATTTGTTTACCAACAGCGATATGTAATAGTAATTCAGTAAATAGCAAATTAGCCCCACGAAAATAATCCGCCCTATAGTGTCTAGGTTTTTTGAACACGATGAAGCTGACTTGGTTGGCGGTTGTTACCATTTTCATTTATGGTTACACTTGGTAGTCCGTCGGGGACCTTCGGTCCCGGCTCGTGTCTGATCGCGGTCGCCCTAGTGGATGGGGCGCCGATGTTTTTTGGCAAAACAGGAATTGCCGTTCATTTTGAAGGGGATTACTCTGACAATAGAGGAAATTACAGGGAATTGTTAACATTCATTGCCAAAAAAGATCAAAGATTTTCCGAACATCTAGAAACGTCGACTTTTTTTTCGGTTGGCTTGGATTAGTCATAGCATAAGACGATGAGGTATATCAAGTGCCGCAGACGCTCAGTCCAGGAATGTTTACCTTAATTTAAAAATAGTTTAAATAAAATACCTAAGATAAGCAAAAACTTATATTTGGGAGGTTCTAAAATTAAACTTTTTTTAATAAGATTTTTCACATCTGGTTTTGGTAACAGTTTAGGAAAAGTCACGCGTCGCCACTGCCTTCTATAACTCATTAAAATGTGTAAAATGTGTGCACACCCAGCATATGCATGGCATAGGATATCTAAGCATTTTAAGAAGCAAAATTAAATGCAATAATTTGATAGTTTTATATAAAAAAGTGGATTCATGTGAAGCAACACACATGTAACTGTACTTTCAGGTAATGAAACCAATTAATGTTTTAGCTTGAAAGGAGTGCCAATCATATGTGTTCCTAGTAAGGATAATTATGTCTTTCAATGTATAAAACTTTACCTGGTGTCTAGTCTCCCTCATCAGTCTTTCCTTCTCAGGGCACATATCTTGACAAGTCCCTAAGGTTGCCTTAGACTTCACACATACACCTTTCTGTTTCAGTTTGGCTCTAATCAATTTATCTCTAGCATCCAGAACTCTGAATTTGTCTTCAGCAGTTACTGCTTGAGATAAAATTATGTTCACCAAATCAACTTGCTCTAGTGATAAAGATGACGTCCTTACTGGAGTTTTTACAATAGGTGTAGGTTTGGATTTCATAGGTTTTGTTTTCTCTGTTTTCTCCAATAATGTTTTGATCTTCTTAGGCTTGTCAGGCATTTTTTCTACAGTTTCACGTTTCCAGGATCTCCTCAATTTTGGACTCTTCACTGCTGGCAATTCAGAGCTGGTAGACATCTCTGAAATTCCATATAAATTTTTGATGATGAATTACTGATACTGATATTGTGTTAATACACAGTCATTCAACATTGAATATATCATGAAAAATTCATATTAAAATCACTAAGTAAATGGCACGGATAATTGAAAAGCACGGATAATCCGAACATTTATTTCATATATACCTACCATAAAAAGATAACAGAAACAATAAATCCCATAAGTTCAAACTAACTTTTATATTGTATAAACACAAAAAAAAAAACAGATTTCTACATAAATATTCTTTTACACTAAATACATACATAATAAAACTAAAAAAAGGTAGGTTACCTTGCATTTACCTAAAGCGAATAGTATTTATTTTAAGTACATAATTATGTTTTTGAATAAAAGTCAGTTACTTTGGTCTGTGTCAAAAGTCTTTGATTATTTTTAATCATCTGACGTATTTCGCGCAAGTTCAAAATGTCTACAAGGTCCGAAGATTCTTGTTGCTCCGAATAGTCTAGTAGAACGTTGGCAGCTTCCACAGCCTCCTGGTTAGTTACTCTTTTGATTGATACCGTTCCATCATTCTCTTTTTCTTGACTCTCATTTTCGGATGAATCAGATTGTGACGTACCGGGCTGATTCAAAACTTGTTCGGAAATATCATCGTTGCTGAGGATCTGATAACCTGGCTCATGTTTGTCACACTGTGTCCACCTCTCAACCTCGGTGTCATCAATGTCTTTAAATTCATCGGCGTTGCGCACTAATGCAGCTAGTTCAGCTATAGTAGTTTCTTCATCTTCGGACTCCATGATGCTGTCATCTTCCTCTAGCGTCATTATTTTATAAAAAGCTCTTTTGAAAGTCATTTCTTTCACGCCACTCCATGCGTTTGCCACTGTAAAAATTGCGTCTTTGATCGTGGACGATTTCCAAAACTTCCTCAGATCAACTTCATCCGACAAGTTCATCATAAGTTCTCTTCGGTAGAGCCGTGTCATTGTCTCAATAACTCCCTGATGCATTGGTTGAGCGATTGATGTAACATTGGGTGGAAAAAAAAAAACAAAGAAGTTTCCATCATCAGACCTAAGAGCTGCCTCATTGGGATGAGAACGAGCATTATCGAGAAGAAGAAGCGCCTTTTGTGGCAATTTTTCTTTCTTGAGATTAGACTTTACTTAGGAATAAACTTTTTATGGAACCAATCTTGAAAGATGTCACAAGTTATCTAGGCAGCTTGCTGGTTATAATAATGAACTGGGAGATTATCGTGTTTCATGTTTTTAAAAGCGCGAGGATTTTTCGACTTTCCAATCACAGTCAGCTTTAGTTTATGAGTGCCAGACGCATTGGCACAACACAACACTGTTAACCGATCTTTTCTTATATCCCGGTGCACTCATCTCATTACTTGCAGCCAAGGTTTTTGTAGGTATTGCTCGGCAGTATAACCCTGTTTCGTCAGCGTTATAAATTTGAGAAGGTTGTAGATTATTTTCTTTAATTATGGTCTCCAGTTCATAGCAAAATTCCAACATCGCTTCTCCGTTGGCACTGAGCTTTTCGCCTTGAATGGTAAGCTCACGAATCCCGTGACGTTTTTTAAATCGATGCAGCCAACCACTGGATGCAATGAAACGTACTTGGATTTTCAAGGGTTCGTGAAAAATCTCCGCTTGCTTAGCGCACATTGGACCGATCTTTTCTGCAGAAACCACTTGGAAAGTGCTTCATCGAGTTGTTGAAAAGTCGATCCTTTCAATGATTCCTGTGCAGATATGTTCTTAAAAGAGTCAGAGTGAGATATAAAATTTCGTAGTTTCACTTGGTTTTTAGTGATATCGCATATTGTTTGCTTGCCAACATCATAGGTTCGTGATAATGACGCGACACTGTCACCCTTTTCACTTTTTCTTAAAAATTCTAGTTTCCGTTCAATCGTTAAAACATTTCTATTACGTTTAACACTCATTGCCATTTTGAAAACAAAGTCACGTGTTAAGAATATATTACAGCTGAGTAGCAACTTGTCTCGACTCTCGTCTCTAAATTTCACACATTCGGTGTAACACGCAGCGGCAAATGAAAATCGAATGGGAAGATGTTTATGTAGGTAATGAGACAGCGCTTTGTCAAAGGCATACGTAGGGTTATTAACTGCCGATACTACTATATGTAATGGATTGTCTTGTTTATGTATCTTGACTAATCCATATGCTTTCGCAATGCACAGGTTGTCTATTCTGGTACATATTTAAAGCAGTCATCAACCTCAAAGGCACCTTTTTCATTCCAACTTTCGATCAATCTTTTCATACCTTTTTTCAATGCAGGTAAATGACTTTTATTGAGCAATTTATAATATTTATTATCACCTAGTGCGATTTCCATTTTCTGGATGTACGCGTCTTTGTTAATAATCACCTCAAAAATGCAATTTCAATAATGGGAAATCATGGCACGGATAATCTGCGTACGGATAAACGAGGTTCTACTGTATTTGGAAATAATAAGAATCTCATCATCAATTTGCATGTTTTGATAGTTCCTAAGGCTATAGGTAAATAAGACCTTTTTCACTACGCTTTTATGTAAATTAAATTATTTTTAACAGCCAATGGAGATTCTAAATACTTGTACATTGTAAAATCTCCTACTTCTTAGACTTTGTTTAGTACCTGAGTAATAAAATTAAAATAATGAACATAAGACACTTTCTTTGAACAAATTGCCAGTAGCTATTTACAACAAAAGTGTAAGCTCACCTTTTGTGGCATGAGATTTTGGAGCCATTCCCATCATAGCTTCAAGTTCAGCATAAATCTCATCTTTGTCTACCCAAATTGGCTCTTGTTTATCAGTCTTTGTATTTTTCTCATCAGAAGGTTTTCTCTTTGTCTCGGGTGATTGATTTTTTATTACCTCAAATATTCTGCCCTTATATTCTCCAGCTCGACTTAAGGCATTCATGTACGAGTCTTTATTGGCATATTCTACAGTGCATAAACGTAGTTTCGGTCTGAAAGTGACCCTCTTGAGTTTCCCGAATTGTCGAAAATAGTCCTTCGCTACGTTTTTGTCCAATATGAACTCTGAGGGGTAATCCTTGCATCTAAAAATTATTATAGTTCAGGTGGGAAGCTAAGTAAAATCACAAAGCTCTTACGTTATTTTGAATGACTCAGGTTCTGGAGATGAAGCTTCATCCATTTTTGTTGAAGGGGTTTCGAATCACACGCTATTTTTCGATTTTTTCAAGTTCATCAAATGAAAAACCTTAGACAAGAATTATAAAAAAAAATATCAAAAAGAGCGGTAAACATAACCTATTTCTCGCAAAATGTCAGGGATACAAAAACTAGGATGTGCAGTGCATGCGTCGATTCTGTTCCATGGCATAGATGAATGAATTTGTTAGCATAGCAACCGTCGTCCATGCACTCACATTACAATTAACGATTGACTGACGGATCAGTTCTTTATTGGAGACATGCCATGATCATCCATAGAAGGAATAATCTGATGTAGAAGTGCTGAAAAACTATTGATATTGATTACTCTGTTTTCCGTAACCGTACCCATTTTGCCTGCAATCCTTGATCCTTGAGTGGCAACGCTGGTTACTGCCACAAAACATATACACTGCCATCACTGCAATGTTGCCAGGTTCAATAAATAAAAATCATAAAAATTTTGCTAAAAATCGCTAGATTGAATAAAAAATCACTAGATTTTGTATTTATATATTTTTTATATATAGAGGTAAATAATAAAATAATAAAATATTTTTTTATTTTTAAGGCTCTACTTTTAAAAACAAACAAAAAAAACGTACACTTAGAAGAAACCATAAATAAAAACAGACAAAAGTAATAAAACACCAAATATATTTGAAAGCTTAAAAACGTAACAATAAACATGAAATTAAATATGACTTACTTAAAATTACATCAACCTAAACGAATTTAAAAAAGACTGACTTTCTTTCGAGTACATATTATTATGAAAAAAGATTCTTACAAAAACGTAAATTTGAACAGACTCTTAAAAGAAGCCACAAATACAAAACCATCAGACAAAAGTAACAGTACACCAAATACATTTCAAAGCTTAAAAACGTAACAATAAAAACGAAGTTAAATATAACTTATTTAAAACTACATTAAAATAAACAAATTTAAAAAGAATGACATTCTTACGAGTACATATTATTATTATGTTTTTTCATAATGTCCCTTGAAATTGGATAATTATAGCAGCTTTTATCTTCGGCATTAATTAGTCTTTTGCTGTGCAAAATTCCACTTATTGTCGTAGCACCCAGTCGATTTCGCGATTTGGTTTTGTTTAAATTAATGTACAAAAATAATCTTTCCACACTTGCGCTACTGTGTGTGGCAATGCAAATAAAATTTGAACAAAATTGGCAAGCTCTGGGTATGCGAGACTATCATCCCCTTTTTTGATATTGCTTATGTTTTTCAGAATTGAATTTCACCAAGCGAAAAATCGCATTCAGGAAACTTCAACTGCCTAATTATTTATCTAAATTGTTATGTCTGTCACTATATTTGGAAACCCACTAGCTAGAGGGCCTATGTTTTCAGTTGATGATGTATTTGATGGGTGCAGAAAAGTTATTCGTTTGAGAATCTGTACTTCTCGGGAATTAAAGGGGAATCGCTTTCATATTTGGCTTGCCGCTACAATATAAAAAACCAGACATTTCAATCTGTAATTATGTTTGATATTTTCGGTAAAAAAAGGGTTATTCATTTCTTCCAATACTTTTGAACCCAAGTAAATTTTTCCATTGGAAGAAAATGTTTTGGATTTCGATGTTGAACATTAACTATATCTGTATTTCTTAAATATTCTGATTTTATGAAACAGCTTAACAAAAATGTACACGCGTCATTAATCCGGGCGTAAAGGTTATGGACCTTGGGGGTTTCAGACTGGAATTCCAAATTCATATCCGTAAAAGTAGGTAATATAAATTGCAAAAAAAAGATATAGCTTATTTAATTTATTATTAAGCATGTCATGGATTTCCGCTGCTAGTGAAGCTTCATCGAATGCTTCAATCCTAGAATAATTCTCTAGAGCATAATATTGCTCAATAATTCTATTTACAGCGAAAATCAGTGATAGCCACCTGGTCTGTGATGAATGCAATAATTTGTGGGGTTTGATGTTATAAAATGTTTGAAATTCCAAAAATCTTTTAAAACTGCGATGCATGTGATTTTTTCACTTTTTTTGTTTACCACAAAACTTCCAAAAAATCACTAGAAATATGACATTTAACAAAAGTTTTCACTAAATCACTAAACTTGTTCAAAAATCACTAGATCTAGTGAAATTTTACTAGATCTGGCAACATGGCATCACTGTAGCACTGGCGCTCATGTATCAGGGTTGCCAGACATCCCACAGCCGGATGGAAACTTGGAAACCCAATGCAAGCAAGGAGGAGAACGCTATGTTTTTCAACAAAGCCAAAACAATACGTAATATTAGATATAATGAACTATTTCAAGAAAAGTTGCGTTGCCAATGAATGAATGAATGTTTATTCGCCATTAAAATAATAATAATTTTACAATATTAATATTATTACAGCTGTACCTTATACCAGCTAGTCATCCTAATAACATAATATTAATTTCTACTTTATTTTAAACAATTTTTGATGAGACAATTTTCGGCAAATCTCAAAATTTTTAAGCTTTTGGGTTTTTTATATTTGGTATATATCTTCGTCTGTTTTTTGGTATTTGATATAGTATGTGAGCGTTTTTTTTTTCTGGAATTTGGGATATTTACAAAAAGTAAGAAGTACATATGTATGTATGCAAAGTGCTTCTTATGCATATAACATGTTTTTTGATTGAATTGACCAACATTTTCGGTGAACTGAAGCTGTAGCACCTTTCCGTTAAAAAGTGTTTCAACTTTCTTATATATGATTTGACTTAGAACTGTTAGTATCACAATATACGATACTTAGACAAAGCCAAGAGTAAATTAAAACTATTCTTTGGATTGAGTAGAATTAGCCGTGTTATAATGTTATTGTTTAAAATAACAAAAAGACCTGAAACGTCATTATAATGCTTAAAAACCTTCTAGACACATTTAAATTAACTTTGAATATAAAAAAACTCATTACATTGCCTTCTCCATAACAATGGCTCGTAGACCAGCATTTAATCAAATTACGCCTGATAATATAGATGAGCCTTTGAAAGAAGTACATGAAATTAAATATTTGGGGGTTGTTGTTATTCAGCACTTCAAGTGGGACCAGCATGTGCTGTACTTGAGAAAAAAATAGATTTTTCATCCATAAATTCTACACTTTTCGTAATATACTGAACCTTAAACTAATATTGATGATTTACAAAGCACTTGTGGTGCCCCTTTTGGTATATGGCATATTTGTGTGGGGTGGGATGTACGGTTCAAATCTTGGGCAGTTAAAAGTGGTGCAGAACCATATTGTGAGAATTATTCTAAAAAAAGCCTAGATTATATCCCACTATGCAAGAAATTAACAATATTAAAATCTTATAAATATATTCTTGCAGTATGTAGTTTGGTACATGCAAATAAGAAGTTAAATACAAATTATGTGTCCCATAATTATATCTTGCACCTAAATTTAACAATTTGATTACTTCTAATATCAGGAATATTGAAAATAAAAAGTTTAATGTTTCGTTTAAAATGATCTGTTGGGGAAATCGTGAACAATTTCTGCGTTTATTTTAAGTTGATTTGAGGTAGAATGATCTGTCTATTTGTTTCTTTTCTTTTTTTGTGATAAAATTGTGATACGTTTTTTCTGATGTTCTAATGTTTACGTAAATGCCCCAGAGAGATTGGGTGGTGGAAAGCGCCTGATTAAATTCCAACCAATGACGACGCAGAACGAATAGCGGTACCGGCGTACTACACGCTGTGGGCTAACGCGTTTTAGATTTTGTGCGTTTCACGTTTCAGTTCAGTTGTCGGTTGGCGTTTGAGGAGCGTGGTACGCCGATCCCTCCTGTAACGCTCGGCTTCTGTACCACTCGTCGTGTGCCGGGAAGTCTTTGTCGGCGATTTTCCGCAGTTTCGTCGTGTCGCGATGGTGGTGTGAGTGATTTTGTGGTAATTGTGTGTGAAAATGTGTTGTGGTTGTTCATAAAAGGCGAATGGAGTATTTTCACGTTGGATATTGAGCATTCTTACGATCTTGCTGGGCTGAATGTCTTCAGAGCAAACTAGGTGAGTTAGGCATAGTCATCTACTTCTGTGTTAGCTTTAAGCTCGTAACGTAAAGATTGACTTATTTTGCTGTGGTCAAAATTCATGAGCAATTTTTCTCTAAAGTTAAACGTTTTCATGTTAGAAACGATTAAAGTTCTGAGAAACCTTAAAAATATCGATCTTCAATGCTTTAAAACGCGGGTTAAAATTATCGTCTAGTTGCCAAGTTAAATTTCGCACCTTTTCCTTCAAGACTCCGAGGAGTATTTTAAGATTAGTAGGTATATCTTGAGGTATTATTACTTAATTTTTAGCAACGCGAGGCGCTAATGCGTATTAGAATCCGCGTTATTATTGTTAACAATGAAATAGCGGCATTTCAAAAATGCGCCAACTAGGAGAAGGTTTGAAGTTTAATTGAGTAACATAATAGAACATTTTTAGGGTTGTTCAGATATTCAGTCGCTTATAACTCGAAAACGACCCTTTTACAGTGAAACTATTTTTATTCACAATGGTCCAAAGAATCTAAATACCCTTTGTACGGGTCAGAAATATGTTTTTGTAGTTTGTAATTGTTTACATTTTGCAGCGAGTTACCTCCCGGCAACCTCGTGATTCATTGAAAAATCGAGATGGAAAATTTATCCCACGAATTTTTTCGCCTCGTCTGTAGTAAATGTAAATACATAATAAGTAGCACCCTATCATGTACAAAAACTTGCAAGAAAGTGAGATTAATGCACGTAAATACCGATTGTATTACGTGTTCATATTCTCTCGTATTATAACGTTGTTTACAATTTTTTGTAAGAAATAAATGCCTCCATACAATCGATATTTTTAAGAGGATGAATTTTGAAGATTTGCCATCCATTGCACTATATTCATGTTGTATCTGGGCTTGCATCCACTACGTAGCAGCAAAAGTGCGAACTGAAGAAAGGGAGTTCTTTGCCAAAGTCCTATAGGACTTTGTTTATTATTGGTAGCAAGCCCAAAATTCTAGATCTTTATTTTCAAATATTATACATCACTCTTTAAATCTCTCTCGCAAAATATAGTGATGAAAAAACAAAGTGTCAATATTTAGAAAACTTGAAAACTTTTACTAAGGTCATGTTGATTTTACCTGATTGATCTGAAGCCAATCTACCTTCCATGTCACTCTGGTGTGTTTTTTCTGGGACACCCTGTATTTGTGTTATCACGCGATTGTAACGGTTATCTCACGGAAGATCTGCTTTAGTAGACCTTATGAGATATTAGGATAATTAATAAACATTAGTAAAAAAAGAGTATGTCATAAAAACTAAGCTGCAAAAACCCAAAAGTATTTTTTTCCGTATACAATTACCTGTCTTTAGAATTTATACTGTTAAAGAATAAACATATAGCTTTCTGTAAGATTTTCGGTAAATAGTGGTTTCTGAAATATTCGGAAATGTTCGTTTTTCTTTTGCAAAAATGCTCCATAGGGACAAGGATACAAATTTACAAATACAGGAAAATAAAGTGATTATTTATTGTCTTACGACAATTTTTTAATTTCATATTTTGATAATTTATTGGCAGTGGCTCATCGTTGGTAACGACGACCTCCACGGACGTGTAATGGATATTTTTCATGTGCGTGCGAACCAGTTTTAATAAAAGGTGTTAATATATTATACCGAACTATTTTATCTATACAGGGTGTCCCAGAAATAACACGCCGGAGTGACACGGGAGGTAGATCAATCAGATCATCATGACCTTAGTGAAAGCTTTCTAGGTTTCGAGATATTTCCACTTTTAAGTTTTTTCAAAAAATCCCTACTTTTTGCTTCTTTTTCGCCCGTTATGGCTATAAGCTTTTATAGCATGCGAAAACGCTCGATAGAAGAATTGTACCACCCGAATTTCCTGCCCAAAGTGTCAGAGTGATAGATTTAATAACGTAGTACTTGAATACTCATGCTGATTCGACTTGTTCCAGGGACTAGAGCAGTTTGCTGAAATGTAAGTGCATTTAGGGTTTTCTTATTGGTGTCGGGTTTACAGGCATCTACGATGGAGAGCTGCGAGGTTGCAAAAACCTACTGGTTGGCGACTCTTAAAACTGCCCTCGCACAGACAGGGTGCCCCATTTAGATAGTTAGGAATCACTAAAAAAAGCCGTCATTACAGTAGAAAAGTCAGAAAAAATAATAACAAAACGCTATCACCCGGTTTGAAACTTTGAAAGTAAAGATAATCGGAAGAATCATATAAAACGTACGCTTTAGAATCTCCAAATAAGTGGTCGTTAGTAGCGAACGTAGCTACGGAAATGTTAGGGAATTTTGTTTGGGTACCCTGCGTTGTGGGGGCACATCGAGGGATACAGATGTCCTTGCGCATGCGAGGGTACATTCGAGGTAAATTTTCATCAATAGGACTTCTGTGTAATATATTTTGATAATTTATCAACATTTTTTTTCGCACTGCAAGACGTGCAAGTGATATTTTCCATGTGCGTGCGAACCAGGTTTTATAACAGGAGTAAATATATTAAAGCGAACTATTTTATGTATATTCGTTTGTTTAACCAGATATTCGAAAACATGAGTACAATACAATGGAAGCAATTAAACTACGAAAATAATACCAGCGTAACTTTTTTTTAGATAGAAGAAAGCTCTATAGCCGTTCACATGCGGAGACGCTTTTTCTGCCCAAACTGTGATAGTGGGAGTTGTAATAACGTAGTACTGCTGTTTATACTTTTTACAGAGAATGTAGCAGTTTGCTGAAATGAAAGTGCATTTAGGATTTTCTTCGCCCAGACATCTTGCCCATTTTTGGTTTTGCATTCTGCGATGTGGAGGCACAACGAGGGACACAGTCAACTCATCATCAGCGGTAAATATGTTTTTATATTTTATACAGGACTTCTATGTTTTAGGTTTTCTCGTACATTTTTCTAAAGTACTATTGGGCTTGGTTATTGCCTTCAACTAGCAAAGCTGTGATAAACTTCAACGATTACACTGTGCAAAAGTGCGTTAAGAAGAGGGAACAATGAAGGAAGGAATTCGTCTGGGTCCATAGCCGAGATGTTAAACATGGATCCAGTATTTAAAAGATCATCGCTAGGTATTAATATGGTGTTAATGTAAGTACACGCAAGTATGGTCACAAGATTCACTCCAGCTTCTGTATTAAAAACAATTATTATTTTTTTGTGAAATGTTACGCGAGACGTGTGGTTAATCATTTTCGGAGAGTCTTGGAAAACACATGGCTGACGTAAAATCGTCCAGTGTTTCTGATGGATGAGCTATGTGAAAAGATCAGGTTTCATAAGTGTGTCCGTTGATGATAAGTAAATAGATAAGAAGGTAGTAGTAGTAGTAGTAGTAGTAGTAGTAGTAGTAGTTCTTCTGGTAATACTTAGTGATAGTAGGGCTAGTAGTAGATTATTACGGCCAGCATGCAGGGTGGTTTTTAAAACTTAGGTACTCACTCCAGGTTGTGGCCCCGCGATGGTCTCCAAAACTATATTTATTATTATATGCTTTTTAATTATATTTAGTATTCACCATTTCTATTTTACTATCAACAGCTGGATAAAACACCTTTATTTATTGAGAAAATATATTTACAAGTAAAATGGTTCTTATTCTTAGGTATTTCATAGGTATGTTGTATATGACTATTTATGCTTTAAAATCGTAGCGCAAGTGTTATTCTAAGTTTGTTTCAGCTTTTAGGAGAGAGTGAGAACATTCCGTATTTCAGGAAGTGTGATAAACTATGATAAATATTGATGATAATGATGTATTCATTGTAATTTTAATTTAGCTCATATTTGGTTTTTACTTTTTTTTAGTTGCATATTTTACGAACATATCTATTTTTAGCTAAGATGTGATTGCACATTTCTTATTTTTACGTATTTTACAGAATTTTTGTCCTAAAACTTTCAGGTTTTCTTTAAGAATCATAGCCCAAATATTTTTATCAAGCTTTGGAGGGGGACACTCCAAATTTCAGGAATGGTACAAGTTATATCACTGATATACGTGAGATAATGAATACTGATGATAAAGGCAGCTGTCCCAAAAAATGTTCTGCCTGGATAGCTGGATAAACGTTTCATGGGCATACACGAGGAACAATAAAAGTATGTTAAGAATGATTAAAGCCCTCGATTTATACAGCAATATATGAAGACATCAATCAAACGAACATCAAAATTTTTACAGGGTAAGCATTGGAGAGTACGGCATCAAGAAGGTTGGTTTTGAACTTCACGAACCACTGAAGCATATATAAAACTGTTGAGGATCTTGGAAACGTCCCCAAGAGATATATGTTCGAAACTTACCCTAACAAGGCCGAAGGCTTTCCACTCAAAACTGTACTTAAATTTATGCTATTTTTCCATGAAATACAGATTCAACCTTCTTGATGTTTCAAAATAAGCAGAGGTGTTATTTAAATGTACTTATGTGAACTCTCTTTGTAGATAAATGTGTGGATAATAGTAGTATGGTCTACTGTCAATATATTGATGAAGTTTTACGAAATATTTGCAGCCAGATTCCAAGCAAAAGCTTCTGAAAAGGTTCACGATTTCCATACGTTTGAAGAAATTCAGGGACATATTTGGGAAACTAACATAATGACGCCAAAAGTTATATTTCTTCACGCCCTTGAAGATGATTGCAGGATGGTACATGCAGAACGAACATCAATTGAATTGATAATTGAAATGACGAAAAGGTATTTTTACATAATCTTGAACTTATTTATTCTTCATGTTTCACTGACGTCTTACCCGATAAGTCAAGATTATCAGGAAATACAGGGTATTCGAAAAATAGAGAGAGAAATATTTCAGAGGGTGATTCCTTGTTAAAAAATATGAAAAAAATTAATTATTTTTTTATTAGTACCTCATAAAGCATTTACTCTATTCTATTGAAATTTGACAGTGTACGTTGTATTAAGAGGCTCATTTAGCCCTATATAGATAAAAATTATTAGGTCCAGTGGCGTTTCGGGGGCACCTTAGCGAATATTATTGGCAAACAAATGTACGCCACTGCCTTTTTTGTAACTGTAATAGTTGTTGCTTGATTAAACATCTAAAAATACAACTTCCTTGCCTCTTGTATTTTTTTCTGATCTCACTTCGTTTTCGAGAAAAAAAATATAAACCGTTTCATTGCATGTCACTGGAATTTTTATAAATAATTTTAACAAGGAAACACCCGCTAAAATATCTCCGTCTATAACACCCCGTATAACTTTTGAAACCTATTGCAAAAAGCAGCGGCGCCACACAAGAAAGCTTTCACCAAATTTTATTTTTCTAACTCCTTCAACAGAAAGAAGTCAGTGAATTACGAGGGGCGCTTTTAAAGTAAGAACCAATTGCACACCGTGAATATCAAAGGTATCGTAATTTTTTGTGACAACAGCTGCCATAGTTTGCCGCGGGCAAGCTCAAAAAAACTGATGATAGGTGCTGCTTACTAATTTTTCCATCTAGAAACATTTGTAATCCAAAATTGCACGCTTGTAACTGGTAGAAATGAAGATGAGGGAAATAGTCGATATGAAAACCACAGGATGTATATTGCTCAATAAACTGGTAATGATGGCCGGAGAACAGGCGTTTTGCGATATACAACTGGAAATTTTCAAAAAACTACATGATTCATATAATCTAATTTTGTTGTTGTTAGAAGTATAAATCCTACGGATTTGAAGAATTTCAAGTAGTTGCGTTAAATTATCGTCGCATTACCAACAAGTGGCAAAACCTGCATTTTGCCTCGTTTTTCGGCCATAACATTTTTCCTATTAGTCGGATCTTTTTACGTGTCACTTCATTTTGTAGATCTCATAAATACGTAAAAATCTTATATGAAAAGTTGTTTCGTTCCTGTCAACACTTTCGATTGAATCCCAAAAAACACGTTTCTTTGATGTGAAACCAAAGTTGGTGTACCCATTTTATGCGGCCATGTTTTAAATACCCCCTTGAACAACTTGCACCAATAAACCCAGACCTTACAATTATTTCGGACTAGACTAAATAAAGATTTTCAACGCACATGCAGTTTCGATAGGCCAGAGAACTAAGGGGGATTATTATGGGTAACATTTCTCAGAAAAAAATAGAAGAACATGTTGCTAAGTAATATTCTACAAGAAGCACGAGTGCTAGTGACAACAAAAATCCGAGTTGGAGACGAGGATTTTTCAACTGCAGGAATGTGTTTTGTTCAAAAAATATTACTTTGCATTGTTTTTTCGATTTTTTTCGCAGTAAAATATTAGATGCCCGAATAGTATTTGACAAGACTATTTCATGAGTAACAGATTATTCTGCATACACATAACGTACAAAACATACTACCATTGTTTAGCTTCATTTTCTGGTGTCCTAGGGAAAAAATAAAAATGCTCATATTTTAGTTTGTGATACAATTTGCATTCATAAAAAAAATTTCTCTGATTACAAAACGGTTCTTACTTAAAAAATAGCCCTCGTATAAACCGTTACTTCAATGCTACTTTTTTTTAGGTTAATAAGTGTGGCATGCTGGCGATTTTCGACTGTGCAAATGAACCCAGAATTATGGAACGACTTGATTTTTCTTCACCTGATACAATCGATCTTGGCAGTGACGGTTGAGGTTTTCTAGGGGTTTTCCTCGCCCGAGTGCGAATGCAGTCACTAAAAAACCACGTTCCCCTAATGAATAGTAGATAAAATGGAAATTGTACTTATCCTATTAATGATCATGTAATTTTACATCAAATAGTCATTAAATATATTTATATAATAAAATTGTTTTTTTTTTCAATTGATGAGAGAAGCTGCATATGCAGGGTGTTCATTTGGAAACTTCCCACCATGGATTTATCGAAAAAAGATTTGTCAATGGGGACAACTTTTTAAGCAAAAACTAACTACTTCACCTTCGCCCATTTTAAATCACAAGGGCTATCGGGTAATAGCTTGTTTGAAAGGTCTTTCGAAGTTATTTATTTTGACGTTTGATTTTTTTAAATCAATCGATTATTTTTCGAGAAAATTTGAAAAATCTTTATTTTTATTAATTTTTTCAAAGAGAAAACCAAAACACACGAAAATATAACTTTTTATTTCAGTAAGAGTTCAAAATGTTGCCCGTTAGGGTATACCAAATCTACAATTCGTTTATAATTTAAAACGGTAACTACCAACAACCTGATCTTTTTCCACAATCTTTTCATCAGTACAGATATCCTGGGCGAACTGTAATTATTGTTATACCTGTTTAGTTACTTGTTGCTAAGGAAAAGAAAGAATTCAGTTTTCTGTCAGTTACCTTTGTGACAATCTTGGGATAGTCAAAATTAATTATTTATTGATTCTGAGTTTACTTCCAAAATGTGTTCTATAAATTAATTTACGATCGTTCATGTATTAATTATGTTTTAGTCTTCTAAAATAGCCCTTAATGTCCGTTCATGGTTGTAGCAGTCCTAGTTCACAAAAAACTGAAAACACTAAGAACGTACACTACTCAAAAAAATTAAGGAAGCAAGAAAAAAAAATCAAATTTTTCAGTAACTTTTGACTGGTTGTTTTTCGATGAGAAATGGTCGTAATTAGACTTTGAAAAAAGCATTAAGATTCTAGTTTTCAGGTGTTTTAGCCGAAAAATTTTAGGACCAACGAAACAGCGCAAGGAAAAATTTTCCGGCTTCAAAAAACGGTTTCTCCGGACCTATTGGTCGAAGTTTGAATGAAATTATACGAGCAAAATTTTTGTATCAAAACATCCTGTAATCTGTTTGAAAATGGAAAAATAATTTTTCATCTTCTGTTGTCACTATTGGATATCTGTAACACCTTCAATTTTAAAAATAGCAATTAGAAAAGTCTAGAAAATATTCATCCGAAATAAATACTTAACTAAAACTTTAAGCAATCAGTCCGGAGAAACCTTACAATGGATCGATCTGCCGTCGTTATTAGTTGTACATTGAGGTATTTTCCTCAAAGATTGCAACCAAATCTTATGGGAGATTTATTCTAGTTTTCATGAATATACTACATTCTCTGTGGGATCACTAGTTACCGAGATATTACGCCAAATGATTATATCGAGATTTCAAAAACAGGATATTGAGGCTGAATAAACAGACTATCTGATCAATATGATGGCCTGACAGAAAAAAAAATTTTTCAAGCTCGAGTACGAAAAAGAAGGCAAACATGTTTCAAAAAATGTTTCGTCTAAAAAACAGAAACTAGAATATCCTACATCTTGAAAATGCATTTTTTAAAGGCGAGATCGTGGAAATACAGCCTGTCCAAAATGACCGAAATATGAATATTTTTCTTGCTCCATTGATTTGTTTCAGTAGTGTACTTTTTATGCATGCAAAACCTAACTGTACAAGCTGCAGTTTTGGAGCAATTATCCCCTAATTTTTATATTTCATATAACTTCACAAAACACATCCTAAAGGGCTAGATTCAGAAGTAACTCATCACTCAATTACTTTTCGGAAATAAGAAATATGGGAATAAAAAGACGTCAACATAATGAAAACATTTTATTCTGTACCCGTATACATACAGGGTGGCGCATCGAAAACTAAACAGACGCATTTACTAGCAGCTCAGTTTTTTTTTGGAAAAACGCTCAGACCCGTCGATTTTGTTTTCGAGGGGGGCACAAGTTTGGCAAAAAATCACGTTAACACGTGCAGCCCCCTGGGCGGGGGTGACACCAACCCTAAAATCTTAAATGGAAAGGGGGTCGAGTGATACCTTATTTTAAAGGTCTTTCAATTCCCTTTACAATGATATACAATTAATGTACTTTAGTTCAGTAGTTTTAAAGATTTATTGATTTAAAGCCTAAAGGAGAACATCAGATTAGTTTGTACTACTTTCAGAAGAAATTTGACAAAAGAATTTACTTAATAAGTAAAAGCTATTCTTCACTAAGCCCATGGTTTGTTTATCATTTTGTTGTTGAAAATAGCTATTGGAGCGTTTTTTGTGACAAAAAAGTTATTTCTTGAAGAAGGATAAGGAAATATCTCGTACTGATTTTAAATAGGAATTTAGTACATAGTTTGCGATTGATTTGACCAAACTTTGTTGCTAAAATAACTTGTAACGCTTTATTACATAAATTATATTCCACAGCAAAACGAGTTGAAATTATCGAAATATTTTTCGGAATTAATGAGTGCGCTAATAGAACAGCAGAAATACTTAATGAGCGACATGAGAACAGTAACGTGCATCGAAAATATGTATGATCTAGAACTTGTAGCTAAATTTCGGGAAACTATACTAATTCCAGATGTAAAGTGGAATTACTGTAATGAAATAAATTGATTGCTCTATGAAATATTTCTGTTTAATACTTTAGTACTAATTTCATATGAAATTTTCGACGTAACAAGGCCGAGATACTAATAGAACGAAAATGAACGTTATCAAATTTGAATGATGACGATATATAATTTGTTTTTTTCTAAAGAATTTATTTTTGAATTTGTATATATACAGCTATCGGGATATCCTTTATTCTGTTCATTATATGATATTCTTGTGATAGACAGCACTATATTGTTACGCTCTGTATATTTCAATATACAGGGTGGCGCATCGAAAACGACAGACGCATTTACTGGCAGCTCAGTTTTATTTTGAAAAACGCTCAGACCCGTCGATTTTGTTTTCGACGGGGACATAAGTTTGGCAAAAAATCACGTTAGCAGGTGCAGCCCCCTAAGCGGGGGTGACACCACCCCCAAAATCTTAAATGGAAAGGAGGGTCGGGTGATATCTTATTTCAAAGGTCTTTCAATTCCCGTTATAATGATGTAAAATTAATGTACCTACTTGGTAAATAGTACGACAAGAAAATAGTGACGATAGGCGAAGGGTAGAACATTCCAAAAAATGACCCTAGTAAAAGTTTCACTCTTATTGAGATATTGATTTTTTTTTGTTCTTTTCGAAAAATTTCTTCTTCTATCTTTTGTTGCTGTGCCTAGAAATAACAGGATATCTGTTTAGTTTTTTTTTGCAAAATATTCTCAGATAGTTGGTCTGCCATTTGGAATATCATTTTCGATAAATACAAGTAGGTAAGCATGACAAACCGATTTCTTCTTCGCAATTTTTATTTTAGAAAACTATTTTACTCGACTTTGGTATTGAGCAATGAAATAAAAATGTACTAGACTGCTACTATAAAGTTTTGCGATAAATTACCTGCTTGATCAGGACTACAGAAAAGTAAAATAATGCTACCGTTCTTAGGAAGTTCGAAAAAGACAAAAAAAAAATAGTATCTCAAAAACCGTGAAACTTTTACTAGGGTCATTTTTTGGTAGGTTGTAGATCTGTCTTTCGCCTATCTTCCCCATTTGTATTTATCGGACACCCTGTTTAACTTAATCATATTTTTTATTGGTTATTATTGAGAATTACACTTCAATAGTGACATATTAAAATGCCACATATGTTTTAATTATGCACATTTTTAAGGTACACACAGAATTAGGTGATTTCTGGGAACACCGTATGTACCTACACACGCAAAATCGAGTTGTGTGTATGTTGAAAATTAATTTGGAGCATTTTGCCTTTCTTGCGGCGATTGTTTTTTGCATTCCCAACTGTTTATATCTGGAACCATAGGCGTACGGACAGCTATTTCCCGAGTAACGATATAATGAGGTTCTGGAAATCTGGAAAATTATCATCGTGTTGGAGATAAGGGAAATGGGGGCTTCGGGCTTCTACTTGATTTTGGCATATTGGTTTCTGTGACAGAAGAGGTTTTGAAGAGACTCCTGAATTTTTAGTCTGAATTTTGAGTGACACTTATGGTACCTAACAGATCTATTGGTCAAGTATTGCGACAAATACATGGTATAACTATGGAGGAGAAAACTAAAGAGGATGGAGCTAGTGAGGGAGTGGAGAGTGTGGTCTCACTGAGTGAAAAGGGATTTTGAAAATGTTATATCCGTCACAAGAAGCAATTACAACTTACGCTGATATAATATATAGATAAATAAAAAAGCACAAATCAAATTTATTGGATTTTGTCGAGAATATGTAGCAGACGAGCCAATAAATACGATAAGATTTTTTCAAGAAAATTCACATATGAGAGTAATTTTTACAGTTAATAACATGAAAACTAAATATCAAGCAATTTTAAAAGTGGATGCTGTGACCTTTAAGTGTGTTATGAATGAGGGTGTTATTTTCATTGACATGTCTGTTTGCTGTGTTTTCGAGTAAATAAATGTTTTGCGGTGCTATAAATGTACCGGGTTTAACCACACAGCTAAATATTGCACAAAATCAGGAAGATGTATTACTTGTGGTATAACAAAAATATTAAAGCAGCTCAAAATTTGAGAGACAAACAATACAAAAAATGTATATTCACAAAATCAAATGATGATTGGGACGTATATAAAACTCTTAGGAATAATTAAATAATTAAATAAATAAAATGTTGAAAATGTAAATTAAGAATAGATTCGTCAGTGCTGCCAATCGTTAATTGTAATGTGACTGCATGGATAAGAATGGCGGATAGGATTACGTCTTTGTGAATTAATCAACGGTTGCGATGCCTAAAAATTAACTTATCTATGCCACGACGAAAAGTGTAGTTTTGTGGGTGTTATGTGTTCTGTGATTCAATCTGTCATTTTGTCAAAATCTGAAATAAATTCATTTTCCGGGTCATCAAAAAACTTATGTGCTAAAAGATGTCGATATTAGCTAGCCCTTTGTCTGTAGCCGGTACCAGGACCACTGGGTCTTCAGTTCGCTCACAAAATGGTAAGACCATACATCTCGGATTCTCCTAGCAAGTGTATTTCATTATTTTTACGTCAAACCTAACCATGCTTCACAGTGTGGTCTGCATTTTCTGACTTGGTGCTCATATTATTCGTTTTCGTTGTAGTAACTGCGGCTGCTACCATAGCAAATGTAGTAAAGAGCTCCCTTGGTCCAGTGGGACTGGACAAGATGTTGGTCGACGATATTGGGGATGTAACGGTGACCAACGATGGCGCTACAATTTTACGCTTACTAGAAGTTGAACACCCAGCGGCAAGGGTTTTGGTAGAATTGGCACAACTCCAGGATGAAGAAGTTGGAGATGGAACAACATCAGTAGTGTTGATCGCTGCTGAGTTGCTGAAAGTAAGTTTTTATTTGGTCTTATCATGTGGTCAACTCGTATAGCTATGAGCTTGTAAGAAGCCAATGCCGGACGAAAAGTACTCACTCCAGTTTTTAAAATAAAGAAGTATGTATGTAAAAAGGGAATTAATTGTATATTCCTTATTTATATACTGTGTGTTTCCATTGATTTAAAAAATACCTGGCTTAAAATACTTTGAAAGCATGGGAAAAATGTCATGATAAAACTATTTTTTATTTACCATTGTCAGTGTCAAGTTATAGTTGTCAATCGTAACTGGCAAATAACTATAATTGTCAGTTACCATTCGTAATGAACTACAATAGTCATATAGAAGTTGCAATTAACTTTGTTACTAGTTGCAATTATTAATTGACTATAATTGTCAGATACATTTGAAATTAGCTACAATTGTCAGTTGCAAATTGTAGCTAAAAAGCTGACAATTGTAATTAATAGCAACTTTTAACTAACAATTATAGCTAATTGCTACTTAATACTGACAAATATAGGTAACTATCACTTTAATGAGAAAAAATGTCATTTTTGTGGTTCGCTATCAGCACTAATGTAAATCATCCCTTTCTTGAGCAAAAAGTGTGTTCTTAATCATTTTGTGTTCAACAATTTTATATAAAAATTTAATGTACAAAGATCTACAAAAGGTTGTAGTTGTTATAATTTGTATCAATACTGCAGTGCAAAAAATAATTATTTGTGTATGTTTTAGAATGCAGATGAACTTGTAAAACAGAAGATCCATCCAACAACAATTATAAGTGGTTATCGGTTGGCATGTAAGGAAGCATGCAGATATATCCAAGATCATTTAACCATACCAGTAGAAGAACTTGGGAAAGAGTGCATTATAAACATTGCTAAGACTTCAATGAGCTCTAAAATTATTGGAGCGTATCCTTTTGTACAAATCTTTGTATATAAAAAAAAATGTGCGGATAAACTTATTTTAGTTAGGAGATATTAATCATCAGAAATCAGGAAATTCTGCATTTTTCAAAACTGCTAGAAATAATCACACAACCACCAAATGATATCAATGTTTTAAGTTGGTTTATTTTTAAACATAAACAAATTTTTGTGTTCTGCCTGGCAAGTAGTGGTTTTCAAGAATTAGAGATTTTTATCATATTGCTTATTATTAATATTTTTCAAAGTACATGTTTGGGAGATAAATTCAATAATTTTCCTTGACTAACTAATAATAGTGATGCAGATTTCTTCTCTGAAATGGTGGTAAATGCTGCAAATGCAGTGAAAATAACTGATCAGAAGGGGCAGCCTATGTATCCCATAAAGGCAGTAAATGTGTTGAAGGCACATGGTAAAAGTGCTAGGGAAAGCTTCTTGGTGCAAGGATATGCTTTGAATTGCACCGTTGCCAGCCAGGCTATGCCTAAGAAGATTTTAAATGCAAAAATTGCCTGTCTTGATTTTGGTTTGCAGAAGACTAAGATGAAGATGGGAGTCCAGGTAAGATATCCTTTCAAAAATTCTCAAAGTGAAATTGAAATTCTTAAATAACTGATGTTATTACTGTCCTAGGTACTTATCACTGACCCAGAAAAACTTGAAGCAATTCGTGATAGAGAACTGGACATCACAAAAGAAAGAATCCAAAAAATATTGAATACTGGGGTTAATGTTGTATTAGTTTCTGGAGGTATTGATGACCTCTGCCTGAAGTATTTTGTGGAAAAAGGTGCTATGGGAGTCAGGAGGTAAAAACAATTCTACTTTGATGTTTTGATAACTTTGTAATTGGTCAATTTAACTAAATTTGAATTTTGTTAAGCACAAACTGTTGGTGCCATTCATTTAATGGTATTTTATTTTAGTTATATGTAAAATGTAATTGCTGTTACAGAGTGAAGAAAGCTGATTTGAAGAGAATTGCAAAGGCAACTGGAGCACAGTTCCTCACATCTCTGACAAACATGGAAGGTGAGGAGGTATTTGATGCCAGTATGACTGGTGAAGCAGCCGAGGTGACACAAGAGAGGATCTGTGATGATGAACTCATCATTATTAAAGGGTAAGATGATTTCAAATATTTTCACTCTGCACAGTTGACTATAATGAAAAGCAGCTAATCAAAATGTAACTAAGACTCAAAAAAGGTCAAGTTGCAAGAATTTGCAATAATTCAGCCATAACTTTTCTGGGCTTTCAAAAACTGCTTGTCCTTGGTTTAGCTATTTTTCACAAAATTTGTAAAAAAATCGCATTTATTCTCGTTTGACTGTGGAGATATCATGGATTGTTTTACTTCCTACGCCATTGAGCGAGGAAGTATTGTAATTGCGAAAAATTTCGAAAATAGATGTTTTTTGGATGTTATATGACATGTACATTACAAAAAAGCAAGTCACTCATTTACTTCTGTCTGTCTGCTAATCCTTGGCCCATCTATAACTTGGAAAGTACTGCTTGGATTTGTATGAAATTTTTACATAAGTTTATCACTAGGCTAAGGATGAAAAGACTTTGTAGTTTTTGAAAATCGGCGTAGAGATGGCGGAGAAATAGGCTAAATACGAGAAAAAAAAGAAATTGCTCAGACTTCCTTTTTTAACTTTTCAGAAGGACCTGGTCATTTTTTGGAAAAGATGTTTTCTATATTAGTATATGTCCTCCTGGCCCTGTAATTCTACTACTAATTACTCACATTTCACACATCATAGGTTTCCCCATGAACTTATCGTTAAAACGAGAAATGTTTTTGATATGCGTCTCTTACTGCTATTTGGGCTCAACGATCTGCTTGATTGTTCTGCTCGTACTTCGGCGGTGCTTCATCGGGCGCTGCCGTGTGTGACGATATAGGAAGGGGCAACGTTGCCAGATGGACTATAACTACCGGCAGGGCTATTATGTGAAACACTTAAAAAACCGACAAATGGACATCTTGCAGACTAGGTAGTTTTTAGTGTGCAAATAGTTCATTCCACGTTTGCTCGCTATAATCGCGAATTTTGATGTGGCCCGGGCGTCATCAGTAAGCTGATCTGACACCCATCTCGCATCAACTTTTTTTAAATGAAGATGATCATGCAAAATGGTGTGCGCTGTTGCAGACCCTACGGCCCATCTTCTGCAATTAGCTGCTGAACTTTAACAATGTTTTCTGGAGTCACTCTAGAACATGGCCTACCACTACGTTCTTCATCAGCCAATGAAACACGCTCTCTTTTAAATTCGGCATACCAGCGAAACACAGTTGCCCCGGACCGAGCTTCATTACCAAATGCCTGTTGTAACCGTTCGATACATTGGTGTTCAGTTAAACCGACTGAAGTCATAGTAAATCATAGCACGATAACCCTCTCGACTCTCGAGACAACTCCATGTTTCCTCTTAAATTTGTTTACACCATCTGCACTGTAAGATGCTTGCAAATGAACTGAATGCGGCGACTTACTAATAAAGGACTGCTCTTTCTAATAGTGCAGTGTTGCTGGTTTTAACTAGTATAGTTAATGCGCATCACAAAATATACAGCGTGCCTCACGTATATGAAATGAGCGAGATTTGAACACTCTTACGGTTAGATAACTATGATCCTTACTATTTACCATCTCCTTTCAACCAAATCAAACCGTTTTTCTCTAATTTTATCGGACAAAAAGAATTTTTGTCAAATTTTTTCACATAGTCCAAGGCGCGCGCGAAAAGGTTTTTTCTTATATTTCTGTTCGACTGACTGAATTTTTAATCAACTACGAGGGGTGTCTTTTAAGTTTTGCATATAGAAATAAACCAACACAGTAGGTAGTTTTAAATGACTTATTCCACTCCTATGCTGGCAGATCCAAAACGGCATTTTTGAATGTGTCAACTGCTTTTTCTGGTGACTGGAACCTTTGACCACGCAGTCTGTTTTTAATTTTCTCGAAAGTAAAGAAATCGTTAGGACTTAGATCGGGACTATATGGAGGATGGTCTAATAATTCCACGTTTTATTCCGTTAAATACTGCTTGTTTGTTGGGCTGTGTGCGAGCTTGCATTGTCTTGGTGAAGGATGATTCTTCTGTCGGGGTTGATTTTTCGAAGCTCGGTGATGACTTTTGGCAAACAAATAGTGGCAATATGACCTGCTTTTGACACAAATGTCGCGACCATCTTTTTCGAAACACTTCGAGAACGGATTACTTTTGTTGGCTTTTTTTCACCTTGGAACACCCAAACGGCCGACTGTCATTTATTTTTTGGTTCGTAACAGTAAATCCACGATTCATCACCACTAACAATGCTGTACACATTTTTTGAGTTTCCGGAATTGAAACGGTCAAGCGTTTTTTGACACCAATTAACCCTGGCTGCTTTCTGCTCTTCAGTCAACAGGTGGGGTATTCAACGAGAAACTAATTTTCTTACTCCTAAACCTTCATGTAAAATTTTTTTAATTGAGATCTTTGAGATCTTCAAGGACGCCTCAATCTCGCGATATGTCACATGTCTATCTTCAATGATGAGTTTGCGCACAGCATCGACGTTTTCCTGGGCGACTGCCGTTTTTGGTGTTCCCACCCTGGGATCGTCGCTAAGACCCATCCGTCCACGTTTGAATTCTCCATACCAACGGGAAATTGTCGACTGATGTGGCGCCGAAAACAGACAGTCACTCAGCAAGGCATTCTTGTTGCGATAATTGTCTCTGAAAGTTGTAATAAATTATGGCGCGAAAATGTTCTCGGTTGAGTTCCATTTTTCTAATGAGTAGGTGACACTTAAAAATTCACTGTAGTGAGAACACTGCACGTATTGTTGTGAAAATTTGAATTTAAGTTTACTAAAGAGTGAGGTTAAGATTCAGTACTGACGTTCGATCCGTGCGGCCTACTATGTTTCTATATGCAAAACTTAAAAGACATCCCTCGTACCTTAATCACGGAACAGAATTCAATTTCTAATAATGCACTAGCGGTGCTACCAAGCCCGATATCGCGGAATCACTATTTTATTTATATTTGCGTCAAGCTGAACGTTTAGGCAACCAGACTTATGCAGCTCTCCTTTTTATATGCCATCATCGATGCGCTTACAAATTGATCATGGTTGCCAGGTGTGGTGATTTTTCACCAAATCTGGTGATTTTTTTACCCGATTGTATCTATTACACTTTACACATTCGCAAAAAGTCTATTTTATTAAATGTATCAAAGAGATTCTAAGGTCATAAGTTTTGGTGGTCAAACTAGATACTCCCTCGATCCGCGCTTGGTCTGCACTCAGTTCCTTCCACCATACCCAACTTGCTCATGTGGTGACGGAATTTGCCATGACTAGTGAACAATCCCACTAAAGCGTTAAAGCTGTTCCTGTTTGGCCGCAGCAGTGAGTTTGTTACCTTTTTTTTGTTAAGATTGGTACGATTGCCAGCAGCAGCACCCGGTGCGGAAGTCAAAACCCATAAATTTTATATGATTTATAAACGTCATGGATAATTTAATATTTATATTCAAAATATTGAACAAAATAACAAAACACAATAAAAACTAGGACAAAAAAAATATTTTTATCATACAATTAAAATCTCTTCTTTCTACCTCTGACAGCTGCAAACTCAGAAATAACTTCATCAAAATTTATATTTTGTATTTCCTCGTGTTCGATGGCTAATATACCAAGGTTGCTAACTCGTGATTGGGTTATTGTTGCCCGCAAATAGTTTTTTTATTAATTTCAGTTTAGTCACATCAAGCTACGTACACACATACCGTCAAGAACAATTTTAGTGTAATCATAAGATTTGGAAGAGATTCTATAAAATCCCATTCTACAATAAACTTCAAAAAATCTAGAGATACCCAATGAGAAACTGTAACATTTGCGGCTTTTAAGTGTCTTCGCAGTCTTGGTATCTCCAAAAGTAATTCTGTTTCTGAGACCTCATCATAAAAATCAGCAAATTTGGATGCACCTAATTTCAGTTCTTCAGTATTCGCCAAAAGCAAAGTATGTATTTGTTTGTATGATCTCAAACAATGAAGCTAGTTCTTGAAGAGACTTCGATCTTGTCTGGACTTCAACTCTGAAAAAGTTGAGTCACCGGGTGGGTGACACCCCTCAAGTCCTATGAAAGGTGTCATATGAATTATGCATCACCGTGTGTTTATTGTTTTTTTTCTTTAGCCCGAAAGCCCGCACAGCCGCCTCGATAATCCTCCGCGGCCCGAACGACTATTTCTGCGACGAGATGGAACGCTCCGTGCACGACGCCCTCTGCGTGGTGAAGCGCGTCCTCGAATCCAAGAGCGTCGTGACCGGCGGCGGTTCCGTGGAAGCGGCGCTGTCCATCTACCTGGAGAACTTCGCGACGACGCTCAGCAGCAGGGAGCAGTTGGCCATTGCGGAGTTCGCGCGTAGTTTGCTCGTCATACCGAAGACGCTTTCGGTGAACGCGGCCTTGGATGCGACTGATTTGGTTGCGAAGCTGAGGGCGTATCAGAATTCGAGTCAGACCAAGAAGGATCACGCGCATCTGAAGTATGTCGGTTTGGATCTGTCAGAAGGTGAGTACGACAATGGATTTTCACAAAAAAGAGAATGTTTGACGCTTTTATTAAGTATTTTTCGAGCAAAGTATATATAGCTCACATCCAAGCAAACAAAAATGATGTTTGTCAAGGACAGGAGGAATGACAGTTTTACCATTCTAGATCAACAAATCTGGAAAAGCGTTTTCACATAACATTTAAAAAACTTGTAATGGACACTGACTGAACTTGTTGAATTCAAATTGTAGCAATATTATGGAAAATTGTAGTGAATATGAAATTGCTTTAGTCAGTATATTATAGATTTTTTGTAGTACCTTACGACAGTTGCTGTTTTGTAGTTGAATTCACTTATGAAAAAATCAATATCATTGTTTTCCATATTTTTTGGCCTAAATTCAGTGATTTACATAAAAATTACAGTGAATTAGTAGTGTCCAGTTTAAAGTTACCAATAGGTTATAGGGACATCATATAATAATAATAATAAAATCTCTTTATTAGGCACATTATAAAACTACAATATAATGTGACCTCTACATAGGCGAAGTATAGCTCTTGCCTACTCTGCTTAACCTACCCAAATAATAAATTGAAACATCACTTAGGAAACTTTGACACGCCTCAAAACAAACGAACTTGATACCTGGCTGACATACATACACATATACAGTAATGAACAAAACTACATAGACAAATTAATATTGTGCTGAATTTCTTTTTTAACTTGTTTTATTAATACACCAACCTGTATAGATAATTCGTTATAGCATCATACTCACTTATATTATAGAATTATAGAAAACCAACCATGTTTGTGTTAATATTTTGTAGCATAACCACTATTATCAATCACCGCCTGGCATTGTCTCGGCATAGATTGTAGAAGTTTCTTGATATAGGATCTCGTATTGCTTATCTAAGTATTCCCATAGATTTTCAATGAGCTTTATATCGGGAGACTGTGAAGGCCATCTGAGAACTGGTATTTTTTCATCCAGAAAGAATATCTTTGGGAAATTTTAAGCGTGCTTCGGGTTATTATCTTGGTGGAAGATTGATCTTAAGTGCATATTGTCTTCCATATAGGGTAACATGACATGCTTTAGTATGTCTGTGTATAAAAACTTATCCATAATGCCATCTATTCTATGTAAAGGTCCCATCCCAAACCCCGAAAAGCACCCCCATACCATAACAGACCCGCCTCCATGTTGACACTGGGCAAAGTGTACTTGGGGTTCAATCTTTGTCCATTAGGACGTCTAATGTAATGAACACCATCTGATCCAAACATATTGCACTTGGATTCGTCACTGAAACATACCCTCTTCCAGTCACAGATACTCCAATCAAGAAGCAACCATGCAAATTGTAATCGGTCCTCACGGTTTTTCCTCGAGATTAGCGGCTTCCTACTCGGGCGACGTGCAAATAACTTCAAATCATTTCATCTTCTACTTATAGTTTTCGTAGAAACACTGATAATTCCTTTTGTCTCGATTTCGCCTTTTATTTGTCTTGGAGTTTTAAACGGATCTTTGGACGAAATTACTTTTATTAATGTAACTGATCTACCATTTAGTTTTCTAGGCCGACCACTTCTCTTGGAGGCTTCCAAGATACCTTTTTGTTTATATTTGTTCAATATTGCCCAAACTGCTTTACGCTTCAGCTTCAAATTTTTGGCAATGTCGACTTGACGTTGACCATCTTTGTATAACTCAATGATCTTAGTTTTCACATTGAAAGAAATTTCTGAACCATGCAGCATGGTCTTATTCCACAATACTTGATGAACACAAAACAAACTAATCCTCTTCTGACACGAAACTGCACTAAACTAATGTTGAAAAGAATATGTCTACATATTTTTGTCCCTCATAAAAAAGTGCTTATATTCAGACTAGTACTCCTATTGTGTTCATTGCAGTTAATGTAAAAACAGGGTAACGCATTTGTTTATGGAGCGATGAAGTATGAATTCGTTTTCTAAAGGTATTTAGGTAAATATTCATATTTGTCTATATACTTTTGTCCATTACTGTAGCTCACATCCAAACAAGCAAAAATGATGTTTGTCAAGGACAGGAGGATTGAGTTTTACCATTCTAGATCGACAAATCTGAAAAAGCGTTCTCACATAACCTTTAAAAAACATGTATTGGGCACTAACTCAACTTTTTGAATCAAATTGAATCAATGTTATGGAAAATTATAGTGAATATGAAATTTCTGTTTGACAAAAAATGTTTTTCATATCTCTTGGTCTAGATTCAGTGATTTACCTAAAAATAACAGTGAATTAGTAGTGTCCAGTTTAAAGTCACCAATAGGTTATAGGGCATATGTTGGTCATAAATTTTTACTTAGATAATATTGCATTTTTAGTGGCTAAAGCAGGTTGTTTCCATACATTTTGAAAATGATTCAGTTTACCTTCGTTTTTTTCGTTTACGAGTAGGAACAATCGTATTTGGCATGCATACAAGAGAAACCATTTGAATCCTATAGAGGGAACAGTGCGTCAGTATTCATGGGGTTTATAGTAATTTTCAAAAAATAACCTGTGGCGTTCCTCACGGACCATTATTATTTCATATATACTTTAATGATTCGTACAATATCCAAACAGCTGGAAAAATTGTACGTTTTGCCGACGACACCATTATCCCCTACAGGGCAGTAAATTGGAGTAAACTAAAAACATTTTGTGTAATAAATTGGTTGAAATCTCGTCTTCTATCAGTAAATTATATTAAAACGTACTTTTTGCCACTTTCATCATATTCCAAAAAAACAATTTTTTAAACAATAAGTTGTAACGTATGTCTTAAAAGTTTTGGCACGAAATATTTTTCGGATTTTTTTTAATGAAGAAATTTATTTAAACACTAACTACTTATCATATTTCCCCGAAATATTTATATTCGAAAAACATACGTTACTATACACATTTTAGAAAAAAGCGGATGCGTCTATCATCATTTGTTGCGAATTACTCATAAATACGAAATGTTTGAATTTGTTTAGAAGAAAAAACGTAACCCATCCTTATTTGCATAAAAATAACATTTATCTTCCGGAATGGTTTGCGATTAATATAGGCAAGGTAAACTAGTGTATTTTGCTATAAAATGCCCTTTGAGCTAAACCTATATATTGCTCAATAAATTAATAGTGTTGGCCGGAAAACAGGTGTTTTGGGATAAACAATTAGGGATTCTCAAAAACTACTTGACCAATCTACCCCAATTTAGTAGTGGTTATTTAGAGTACGAATCACACGAATTTGAAGAATTTCAAATATCTCATTTTTTTTTATATTAGCTGGATCTTTTTACGTGTGGTCTCATTTTGTTGGTCTCATAAATACCTGAAAATCTTATATGCATAATTTTTTCGTTCCTGCCAACACTTTCGATTGAATCCCAAAAAACACGTTTTCTCATTCTTTGTTGTCTAATAAAAAGTTTTCCCACAAAAATTGGTGTACCCATTAAATGCGTCCATGTTTTGAATACCCCCTTGAACAACTTGCAGCAATAAAACATACTTTTTTATTGTTGTTGAAGATTTATTTAGTATTAATGCTACAAAGTCAATTTTGTTTAATGATTCGGTTACATATTTTTCTTCAATCCATTTTCTGTAGTTTTACATTCTTGTCTATTAAAATTAGAATTACGTCTCTATGTATACTAAGTGACATATAAATCCGAACACCCAGTTTAAATGATTTTATTTTAATAAAATTTTGTATAAGTACTTAATGAAGCATAATAAGTAAATGATAAAAATTTCAAAATGATTGCACTGCTTTAAAGCCCTTTGACCTTTAATAATGTGTGGATGCACCCTGATGTGCTACGCATTCTCCAACGCGCCTAGGCATGCTTCTGATCAGGTGGTCAATGTCCTCCTGTGGTATCTCATTCCAGGCAACCACCAACTCCTCTCGAAGTGCTTTTAGAGTCTGACGAGGACGTTGCAAATTGAGCAATCTCCTACCCATCGTATCCCACACGTGCTTAATTGGGGATAAGTCGGGAGATCTTGGTGGACATGGTAACAATGTGACATCATTATGTTGAAAGAAGTCTATTGTGACTCTTGCAACATGTGGTCGGGCATTATCTTGTTGGAAAGTTGGATCTGCCAGGGTGTCAAGATAGGGTAAAAGATGGGGTTCTAGAACTTCGTGGATATAACGCTGCGCATTCATGTTACCTCTGATGAAGATTAAAGGTGACCTGGAACCATAAGCTATAGCACCCCAAACCATAACTCCAACAGTGTGATGAACATGTCTTTCAACAAAAAACTGTGGATTCCTCCTTTCACCATGTCGCCTTCTAACCCTGGCACGACCATCGTGCATGCCTAAACAAAATCGAGACTCGTCACTAAAGACAAACTGTTCCATTCCTGATCCCAGAGTGACCGTTGTCTGCACCACTCAAGGCGATTACGTCGGTGTTCTCGAGTTAAAGGGAGGACCCAGTGTGGCCGGTATGAAAACAAGCCAAAACTTCTCATTCATCGGTAAACACTTCGCATGCCAATAGCTCTTCGTGTTCTGCAAACTATTCATTTGCAATGGACCTGGTAGTGGAGAAACGGTCCCTTAAGGCCAATAATCTTAGGCGGCGATCTTCACCGTCTGTTGTTCTACGGCGGCGTCCAGTGTCCCTTGCTCTTTGCGTACGGCCCGAAAAAAAAGTCCAGCTTCCCGAAGTCCCACTATACGGCCCCTATAAAACTCACTAAGTTGACGAAATCGTACAGGTCTCCGTACTCTAGGCATCGTAACCGATCGTAAAGGATGTCAAGAACCAAAATCCGCCAACGTTGATTCTTTACTGCGGCTGAAATATTCATTTTTAGAGCGTTAGTGAATTAAAAAAAAGCAGTATAAAAACCGGAATGTCCAACTGATAAGGCTGAAAATTTTTTCACTTGTTATTTACAGTAAGATAAATATATTCACTAACTTTCATTAAAATAAAACCATTTAAACTGGGTGTTCGGATTTATATGTCACTTAGTATATTTTGATTATTCTGTCATGTTTTTCCGGCGAGCGAGGTCTGTCACTTTCAAGTCACTCAGCAGTAAAATTTCTGCAGAGTTTACTCCAAGCTTCTTGTAGCTGTAGATACATTTAACTATGTTTCTTCTATCAGGTACTGTTCGAGATAACAAAAAAGCAGGGGTCCTGGAACCAACAATGTCCAAAATCAAATCTATCAAATTCGCGACTGAAGCGGCCATCACCATCTTGAGAATTGATGATATGATCAAGCTGGACCCCGAGCAGAAGAGCCAGAAGGGATACCGACAGGCTATGGAAGCTGGCGAATTATAGATTAATAAGTTCAGTATTGTATTAAGGATTTTCAGTTGTTCACTTTTGTATTACCATAAAATCTCACAAGTAACCATCAGTACTTCTCAGTATCTTTTATATGCTTGATTAAATAAACCTTACATTAACTTATTTATGGGTTTTATTATTTCCCAAAATAACTACTTGTCGTTATTGTGAAATAACGAAATTTGACGTTCATTGTGCTGAAGGATTTATAGAAAGAGTATGAAATTACACTACTTTTAATTTTGACACTGGTAAACACATACATGGTGATTCACAACTCGTGACCAAAAGTGAAACATCATACACAGGACCGCATTTTATGGGGGTACTATGTAACATTTTTTCCTCAAGAGCTTCATTAAAAAGTTATCGGGTGTTGAAATTCAAAAATAAAAACAATATCAATATCTTCAAAACCGTCAACTAGAATGAACTAAAATTTGGTATGTGGATTTACCTAAGTATTGTCCACATTCAAAAGTCTTCTCTTAAAATTAACGTACACCAGTGGCGGAGATACAGGGGATTAGTGGCATTATTTTTCCAAATAAAAATAGTATGCCACTGTTTTTTTTTCGAAACGCGCAGTTTTTCGAATTTAATTGTCAATTTGCTACAAATATTTACTCTTGATTTCTTCCTGGATTGCACTGTTTTCGAATTTAATTGTCAATTTGCTACAAATATTTACTCTTGATTTCTTCCTGGATTGCACTGTTTTCGTAAAAAATAAAACAAATTAGATCATTCATGAGGAGCCGAATTAGTTTAACAAAATAAAATAGGAGATAGTTTATCAAAGTTATGTTTTATCGTTACTACTACATTTTTTTTGTAAAAGTCAAGTCAAAGTCTCTTTTTCCATTTTTGAGTGTTGTGAAATGGAATTTATCAATGATGAGTGCGCCGTTATTATTTTTGTAATGAAAATGCTTTAACGGCTTCTCGGGAGTATCAACGTAGATTTTCTAACAGACGGCAACCTACCCCAAAGGTTCTTAGTAATTTGTTTTTTATTTTCACGAAGACAATGCACTTTAGGAAAAAATACAGGAGTGATTATTTGTAGAAAATTGAAGGTAAAATATTTTTCTTCTGGAAAAATAATGCCTCTAATCCCCTGTATGTCCGCCACTGTTGCACGTTAATTTCAAGTAAGGACTTTTGAATGTGGACAACACTTGGGTAAATCCACATACCAAATTTTAGTACATTCCAGTTGATGGTTTTGAAAAATCTTTTTTAATTTTTAAATTTCAACACCCCGTATCTTTTTAATGACGCCCTCGAGGAATAAAGGTGACATAGAAGACCCCCTCTTAAAATGCGGTCTTGTGTATGATGTTTCATTTTTAGTCAGGGCTTGTGACTTTTGTATTTGCACTATTCTAGCTCCTAACATTTCTTGAAGCTATTTTAATAAATCTCAGTGAAAGCATTGATTGCATCATTTCCTCACGCCCGTGCATGTGCATCCTGCACATACAAAGGTTTTTCAGTCATTCGTAACCCTACAAACAAATATGCGGTTCTGAAAGAGGTTTTCAAATTTACCGCTAATCTAACGGTGCTTGCATTTTGCGCATGCCTTCAATTAATTAGCCTATTTTCGTCATATTTACGTATTCGCCCTCCCCACATTGCCAAATCTCTGACTTTTCACAAAACTTCATACTATTCTCATACATCTACTTTCGTAAAACGGCAAAAACAACTTATTTTATACAGAGCACAAAACAATTTGAAAGAGTATACACCCTGAAATTCTAAATACGCAGCATTTTTCCGTTAATTGTAGTTTTTATTTGTTATGACCGAGACTATTGTCTTTTTCACGAGTATCCATTGTGGCAGAATAACAGCTGATTATTTAGTGACATTTTAAATTTCCCCATATCGACAAATAACACATAATTCTAACGAATCCGTCAAGGCCACGTAGAGAGAGCCGATATTGTTTTGGTTTTTTGTCCGTTACGGATTTATTTTGTACTTGGTAACAACTCTTTTATTTAGAAAAGTTCATTTGCATACAAAAAAAAACGCTACAAACAACTTTTACTACTTCTGCACCCAATTTATTATTGCCAATGGTTACAGACTAATACAAAGTTGTCACTTGTTGATCACTTAAGTATACGTCAAAACGTGATAGATACTCGCGAAATAGGGTGTATGTTTGACAGACGGCGATAGACAGAAATCATTTAGTGGATTTGATGTTTTGACTGTTACCCAACAAAGGGTCAACTGATTACTGTGGGGCCATAAGAGTTTGATTTTAGGGTTCAGAAGATATCACGAAAAACGCATATTGGTTAAGGTCGAAAAGGAGGGTATTTTTCAAAATCCCTATTTCGATGGAATTTCAAAGGAATATGACATTACTTTCTCTCCAAAAATCATATCCTGGGTGTTTTTACTTATTTCAATGAACAAAGTGTGACAGCATGCGTTCTCCAAGGTTCAGAAAAGCGTGACGCAATGAGATTTCCAATGTATTATCCGCATAATGCAGCCCTACTCTCTTCTATGGAGGTTAGCGGTTTTCGTATTCAGAAAATGATTCTCTCGACGACAGTTTTAATGAGTAGGTTTTCTTTCGATGCACGAAATATTGTCTACTGTGAGTTTCAAATTTGGTTGCCGTCGAAATGTGTACGAGATTTAAGCCCAAGAAACGTGCAATACAGTTAAAATCACGAAAGATGACTATTACGTCATGCCATAAATTGTACTCAAGTAACCAATGGACGTACGTCGATGATAAAACCACAATATCAGGAACATACTATGACAATGAATTTATATTATGATTTTGCGAAGTTAGTTAGGTTATTTCACTGATTATTTTTATTTTCATTTTATTTTATGGTTTCAAGTGACACCTCAATAATAATTTTAGAGGGGAGTTTTTGTTTTGAGAAAACAGTGATGAGTAGAATACACCTTAAGACAGGAACACCAAAGACCAAACTATTATTCGAAAACAACCTAACCTGCTTCAACATAACCTAAGATCTAACTATTCATCTTTCAAATATGATCAATCATGCAACATGAAAACATTGTCTATCTTTATCGAATACCTGCAAATTAGCAATACAGTTTGTTTATTAGACAATAAAACTCTGTTTGTCTCTGTCTAACATATTTGAAACTTCATTAAAAATATTCACAAACCGCTGTCGTTTGTCTTTACTACTGACTAAAATGATGACGTAATCGTCATCTTTCGTGATTTCGACTATATATGTGCGGGCGCCGATGGCAACGCAGCTTCTTCACTGCGGTTGCTAGGCAACCAGATGCTTCTATCTCTTTCAAGCTTCTCGTGTTTCTCCCTTGTACACATTACGACTTCAGTGATAAATGGGTTTCACTGTATGTGGAACCAATTCACGTGTGATTCATAAATCAAAATCAATGAAAGGGTAACGGCTTACATCGTTGTATAATCATTGCTGTTTTCTCTTCATCCCCATTCTCACCAGTTTTATTTTATTTACAAGAAAGAAAAGTAAACAAAAAAATTCACCCTACGATGCATAAAAATCTGCTTACGGACGCCTATGCCTGACGCTCTCCCACCCATGCTGACAGGAATTTACCGTTATGGCAACACCGCGCTGTCGTTTCCTTCATTCGGTGGCCATTTTGATGTGAAAAGGTGTCGTTTCTGTTTATACAGCATTTTCGAAAAAAATTCCTTCGGGAATGGAAAATTTCGCCAAGGTTGTAGAAATATGTTGTTTATGTGTTCCACAGATTACTTAAAACTACTATTCCAACTTAGGTATGCACAAATTAGCTAGAATGCAAATTGGGCGCCAACGCGATTGGCGATTGTTTGATGATGCTGTTACTGATGCTCTTCTGTTTACAGATTCCACCAATTAACCAGCAGTCTACAATAAACAAAAAATGTTCTACGCACACTTTGTATTAGCCAAAAAGGGCCCGCTAGCCAGAATCTGGCTAGCGGCCCATTGGGACAAGAAGCTCACCAAAGCCCATGTCTTCGAGACAAACATTGAAAAATCAGTGGATGGAATATTGCAGCCAAAAGTGAAAATGGCTTTGAGAACGTCCGGACATTTGCTCCTTGGAGTTGTAAGGATCTATTCGAGGAAAGCAAAGTACCTTTTAGCAGATTGTAATGAGGCTTTCGTTAAGATTAAAATGGCCTTTCGGCCTGGAATGGTTGATCTCCCAGAAGAACATAGAGAGGCGGCTGTGAATGCTATTACCTTACCAGAAGTATTCCACGATTTTGATACTACTATGCCTGAGCTAGCGTAAGTACCCAGATTTATGTAGTATGAAAGTAACCAAAGAGCAAAATATGGCCTACTTTATAATTACAACATTTTATGTAATTTTCTTTTGTTTTCTTTGAAATACAAAGAAAACAGAAAACAGCTGAGTATTTGCTTAGGTGGTGGTTATTATTTTTTTGGCCACATATATTCTTACATTGTAAAAAATATCAAAAGTTGTCTTATCACAACTCTGAAACTTACATCGAAAGCTAGGGTTATTTTAAATTAACCCAAAGAAGAGTGTGAATGAAGTGTAACATTCATGTTTTTATCTTGCTCATACACATTACACCTCAATGATTCTCTGCTGATCCTGTACATATTTAGGTAAATGGAAGTTACTAATTTTTTTTTTATTAATATTGTTTTCAAGTTTTCATAACTACAAATAGACAAAACAGATTCTGAATGAGGTAGTGATGTTTTATTTTATTTGCAATATATGAATTCTTGAATCTTTTCTAAATAAATGTGTGTAGTGATGTGTAGTTCGCGAACGAACTAGTTCAAACGAAAGATTCTTCTGACTGAACTAAATGAACTAGTTCCTCATTCCCCGAGAAACTCTTTCACTCGTTCACCACGAACTAACAGAACCGCCGCCGTTGCGAATCAACGAACGAAAGAGATAAAGAGAACGAAACAGGTTCAAGAGAAGAGAGGCGCTCTTGTGAACGAACGAAAGACCGAGAGTGGGATAGGAAAATGTTGCCAAGCTTAAAGAACTTTCGTGAGATCTAAGAATGTTCCATCTGCGGAGCAGAATTCGGAATTTTTCAGATGCAAAGAGTATTGCCAAGTGTACAGAACTTTAGCCATATCTAAGGATTTGTCAACTATGGAACAGAATTAAGGACGCTTCAGATGTAAAATAAAGTTGTCATTTTATTTAGATGCGTATTATTGAGCAGCAGATACTATAATTTTTCACATTTCAGATGTAACTAAAAAAAAAGAAAGCAAACTAAATATGGTATTCCTAGCGATCATTCATCCAAATATCAACCGTGCCGGATGCTGCTTAGCCCCTATAATAATAATAATAATAATAATAATAATAGTAATAATTTTTTTAACAAAGCTGAAATTTAGACAACAAATGCTATCTACTGCTCGAAATTGAATAAAGCATCTAGTAAAGCTGTTGAAATTTATCATATTATAAACGGGATCGGCAACCATGTCTACTGTCTACTATAGGCTGTATATGCGTTGCGTAATATATTTCGTTCGCGAACTAGATGACAACGTAGTCACCTTTAACCGTTAATGTATGGTGTACTATGTGTTGCATAAATCTAGTTCGTTCGTGAACTAGTTCCTAGAACTAGTTCGTTTCGGTGAATGAGATCTATTGAACTAGTTCACCGAAATGAACTAAAAAGTACATCACTAAATGTGTGTAACTTAGGGCCATTTTGTCAGTTGTTCCTACAATTGTAGGATGCCTTCATGGCCTCCTTGATTGTCATAGTCTTTTCTCTCCCCCAGAAAGTCTGGGGTATTTCTAGATTTCACTTATTCCATATCAGCATCGGTGCTCTTTTATTGTGAAATTGTTTTCTTTTTGAATTGCAGGAAATTTCAGGCTGATAAAACAGATAATAAATATCAAAAGCATTAATAGTTGCCAATAGATATTTATGACATAACTCAGAACAGTAGAAAACTATGAAAATCAAGGAGGCCATAAAGGCATCCTACAATTATTGTAGGAATGACTGACAATATAGCCCTAAAGAGCAATAGTGTGTGTGGGCTAAGAACAGCTGTTAGAGTACAATTCATTTATTTTAACTTGAAAAGTACTATAATCACTTTAAGTTACCCTAAACTTAATACCAATGCTTAAAAATATGATTTTTCACACAAGTTTTTGATTATATTGTGATGTAAGAAGCTATTGGTGTAATGCTAGCTAGATTCTTGTTGAATCTTTGCTCATCATGCTAATTTTTGTGTTTAGGAATTTTGATGCCTACTATAATTATGTTTTTCTCTTCCAGTGATGTTGACATTGAGGCTCAGTTCAGTCTAAACAATGCAAGAGCTGAGGAGATCACCATGAGGGAAGATATTGGTACAATTTCATTAGTAGGTCATGATGAAGGTTTTGGAGATATGGGCTTTGACACTGAAGCACCTGAACTTATGAGGCATGCACCAGGGTAAGTCTCTTTTTAACAACTTGTTACTCCAGTATCAGTTAATAAAGAAAATAGCATGGTTATTGAAGTTATTTTATTTTTTTGAATTTTTTTTTATCAAACAGGTAATGCTAGTTTGAATCCTTGAGTTGCTAACTAACTTATTATTATTATATTGATGAAAATTTTGATACATTAACTGATGTAATCTGAAACATTTGACCATATTCTTGGATTTTACAGGTTAGAGCCATCCATGGAGCCAGTTCTATTTACTGAGCCTGTTCTGGACAGCTTGGATAAAGAAAGAGAACCAGTTCCTAGCACATCATCAGCTCAGTTACCTGAAGCTCCAATGGAAATGGAATCAGGGGTTAGAGAAATGATTTGTATGTATTTTTTTATTTTTTAAATCAATTATAGTACAAGTTTCATTTACATATGATTATATATTGCTTAGGAATTCTTTATCCATATATTTTTCTGTAACTAATCAAAATTGAAAATATTTTAATGTTATTAAATCAAGTACGTAATATGAATCAAGTGAAAGAAAATGTTTCCTCCTGGTAAAACCACTACATAGTATATCAAGAAAAATATTTGTTTAAATTACTTGCTACATAATAATTTTTATATTTATTACTAGAGTTTTTAAATTTCTCATTCAACTTGTTGGTTGAAAATTTCTATAACTTTCGAGAGTCTGGTCGCTACTAATAATATTTTTGTTTCAGCTGGAGGTCTATTTGAAGGTGGGCTGTTTGATGAAACACCAATGGGTGATGTTCCACCTGTGGAACCGTCAATTCCTCAACCAGAACCTCCTCCACCAGAAGACAGTGATGATGACATGGGTGGATTTGACGGACCTCCATCTGTTGGACCTCCCAGGTAAATAATGTCTCTCACATATACTTGGAATTGGATAACTGATTTGTCCTTAAGGGCAACTTGATACTTCACAAACCCATTTGTCAGAAAACACTCAATCTGTCACAAAGTCAGTCATTTGTTTAAGATATGTACTCGTAGTTCGTACTTGATTGGCTCACAACATTGGTCAAGTTTGAAGTCTTGGAAATTTCAAGAACACTAATTAAATAAAAATATATTATTTTGCTGAAGTATTTTTAACACAGGTTTAAAAAGCCAGTGAAATTTTTACTGCAATATGCTGTAGTAAAGTAGTAAGTAAATATGGTATTTTTTCCTCTTACCTAGGTACTAAGTGGTACTAAATTAGATATAGCATCATGAGTTTTAAAATCTAATCAGACTTGTCAAATAATCATTGCAAGGAGGTTATGTCTTGTACTAAAAAGCAGCACAGTAGAAGGATGCTTCTACCCACTCATTCAAAGAGTACTATAAAAGTTTTGCAATACAGCTTTATTTATTGACTTTGTTCAAAGTTATTTCCACCACATTTAATCTTCTCCATTCGCCAAAACCTGTCCTTAAACCAGCTCCGCCAAATTTTACCCGGGAGTGCAGCACACTCGTCAAAAGCTCTCAGAAGGACGTCATCGCTAGAAAACCGTTTTCCTTTTAGCTTCATTTCCACATGTGGAAACAATAAGTTTCAGTCCAGCAGTGGTCAAATACTCGGTGCAGGCTTTGGCGTGGTGAGCTGGAGCATTGTCATGGTGGAGGTACCAAGTGTCGATTCTTGACTTCAGCTGCATGATTTTCATAGACTCTATGACTTTAGGCAAGGAACTGTTCCGTGTACCACTTAGCTGTGACTGTCTTCTGTGTTCAAAACGACACACTCCACAATCCCGCTCGATTTAAAAAATACAGCTATCATGTTTTTCTTAACAGATCGGGATTTTCTGACAGCTACGGGTGAGTCCTCATCATCAAACGCCCAAACTTTGTTTTGAGCCTTGGGCGGCACATCATAATAATAAATGTTGACATACCGAGATTATCGCTTAACCCTTTGTGTCCGGAATTAAATAATTTTAAGATTTTCACTTCATAAACCTAGTTCCGAACCTAAATGATGTAAAAAAAACGTCAAACATTTTGTGAAAAAAATGTATTACACATATTTTTTTAAAAAAGTGGTGGTCACCCGAATGAACCAGTAGGACCACCAAACAAAAACTTTTACCAAAGAAACAAAGCATTAGCTTTCCACAACATGAGGCTAATCGACATTATGATAATATGCAAGAAAACAATTTCTCTTGTCATTCAGGCATAAACCTACATCGCAAATCGTGCAACTCCACATATTCCTATGAGTTTCCTTTTTTGTGCTGCAGATGGCGCATCGTCTGGAAGTTCCATATACATATATGCATGTGAGCAGATTTTTCTGTCCGTATTTATCCTGAACTGTTTCAAATCGAGAGTCGAACCGCAGCAGCGATTTTGAAACAAAATGTACGCGTTGACTACCGTAGTATCGACAAAGTGACAAACTATCCTATGGTACCACTTCTTGCTTTTTCGATCTATCGCGTAGCATTCTTTTAGCATGTCCGCCTTATCGACGGCACCCATATGTTTTTTGTAATCCACAACCAAAGACGGACAAGTTACTTCTGACACAGATCCATCTTTATTCTTTCTATTGATTGTTATGGTAATTTGACAAGAAATAAACAGGTTTTTTGTCTTTCCATTTCAGACATACCAACATATCATTTGTCATTCTCCAGTCATATTGGCCTCGCGCTAGTTTTTTATCATCGATAAAGTCATCTGGCAAATATTTTTTCCCTTTTCTCAAAGTGCCACAACCACATAATTCCATTTTGTTTCACGTAGCTGAGCAGTGGAACACTTGAAAAATAGTTGTCAAAAAAAATTCTATAATTTTGTTGTTGCAAATCTCTGGTCAAGTCTTTGACTACTCTTCCTCCTAAATCTTTTTGTCGCAAGTCACCAATCTTACCAGAATATATTTGAAATTCGCAAATATACCCGAAATCATCAGCCCGCACCCAAACTTTGTATCCACTCCATTTATTTTTTTCTGTAAAAAAAAAATAAATGACCGTTTACAGTCCTAGTGGTTACCTCAAGAAACCACTACATATTACATGGAACAAAACCCTGTCAGATGCTAAATTGATCAATTTAGTCGGAAGGTATGAAATATTACAGTTATAAAACTAAATACTGACGTGTCATTTCAATTTTCACTCAGTGTGTTCTTCTGCTGTTCCGTCAGACTAAGCGGTGCCCAGAGAGAACAAAGTTTCCTTACGTGTAAATGGTCATGCAGAATCGAATGAATTGCTGGTGCATGAAGGTGTAAGGCCTCCTCTATCTGTTGGAATGTCACTCTCCGGTCTTCGTCAAGCATTTTCTTAACAGCAGTACTGTTTTCCTCTGTTACTGACGTTCGCGGCATTCCTTCCCTCTCAGCGTCCTCCAGAGTGACATTGCCCCCATGGAATTCTCTGTACCACCTGAATATAGTCGTAAAATGAGGACAATCATTCTTTAATGCAAGCGTAATTTCTTCTACGCACTGGTCTATGCTTAAGCCACGCGTAAAGTTATACCGTAAAACTGCCCTTACCTCACTACGTGCTACTATGCACTCATGGACATCTCTCAACATGCAGTAACATGCAGCCTCCTGCGTGCGTTAAGTCATATTGCAAAACTTTAATAATACCCTTTGTATATACACATATAAAGGGTTGTCCAATAGGGACGCAGGAAAGTAAACGTCAATTTGACATGGACGCCATCTTTGTTTTCTGTCACCGACATGTCATTTTGTTAGTTGAATGTTTACCATTGATCGCTATGGAGTCGTATTCGATTGAAGACCGCATTAAAGTTATTTAAGAGCACTACAAAAATGGTGCAAAAATAAAAAACACGTTTCGCGCGCTTCGTGAACATTTCGGTCGCAACAACCGTCCAAACGAAACAACCATCGGTCGTCTGGTGCGTAAATTCGAGGCAACAGGTTCTGTGGCAAATCTGCCAGGCTCTGGCCGCTCAAGGAGCGTTCGCACACCGGAAAATATTGCTGTTGTGAAGGAGAGTGTGAGAGACGATCCGAAACAATCAACAACGCGTCGATCCCAAGAATTGGGCATTTCGAGAACCAGTTTGCTCCGCATTCTCCACAAGGATTTGAATGTACTCGCCTACAAGATCCAATTGACGCAAGAGCTGCGTCGGGCCGACCATTTTTCGCGCCGAACGTTCTCAGATTGGCTCCTTGAACATCGCCAAATTGATGCCAATTTTTCATCAAAAATCATGTTCAGCGATGAAGCGCATTTCACTTTGAATGGGACGGTAAATAGGCAAAACTGCCGCATCTAGGCGAACGAAAATCCCCGTGAGTATCAAGAGCAGCCGATGCATCCTCAAAAAGTGACTGTGTGGTGTGCATTGTGGTCAAAAGGCATCATCGGACCTTACTTTTTCGAAAATGCGGCCGGGGACGCCGTTACCGTCAATTCTGAGCGATATCATGTGATGATAGAGGACTATTTTTTGCCGCAACTTGAAGGAATGGATATGGACGATGTTTATTTCCAACAAGACGGTGCAACATGCCACACAACCAACGTCAATATCCATCGATTGCAGTCCTTCTTCGGTGATGGCGTGATTTCGCGCAGAGGAAATGTGCCATGGCCACCAAGATCGTGCGATTTGAGTCCCTTGGACTTCTTTTTATGGGGATATTTGAAAAGCAAAGTCTACGTCAATAAACCAGCCACCCTCCAAGAACTCAAAAACAACATCATGGCCGAGATAAATGCCATAGAACCGACCATGTTGCAAAATGTCATTGAAAATTTCGACCACCGCGTGGACGTCTGTAAATCCAGTCGTGGTGAACATTTGAGCTATATTATTTTTCATACATAAATGGTATAAATGAACCTTCAAAATAAAGTACCCAACTTGATTTGAATATCAATCTTTCTTGTTTTAATATGCGTTTACTTTCCTGCGTCCGTTTTGGACAACCCCATATGTGGTATGATTCGGACAGACAATGGAGTCCTTTGAACATGGAAACCACAGGAGTTACATCTACAATTTTTATCTCCTTACAGTAGTCCAGACTCTCGCCCAACCTCCACGTTACCCCCCGTGCATCAGCAAGTACAACCTCCAACGGCACCGACGCCGGTACCACCTGAGGAACCGCCCCCGCCTTCTGCTCCCACGCCCATACCCCCTGAGGAAGAACCTGCCGCACCAGTGCCGGCAGCTGATCAGACCACCCTGTTGAGAGATGATGAGGAGAGTTTCGCGTTGGCGCCCGTGGATGCGACAGCATTGAGAGGTTGGTTCATGTTTTTTATCCAGTTTTTTTATTAATATATATTAAAGATATACAGCCATTCATTACACATGATTCTGCATAGTGTAGCATCAAATACAGTATTTTCATTTTCACTCCCTTTTAATATAACATTAATGGTAACATATATCCTAGATTCACTGACAAGATAGACTGAAATGAACTTGAATCATATTGATCAATGACTGTATCTGATGGTATGAGTAGCATAGTGAATATTAAATAATAAAAGCATTGTGATACTGATATATATTTATTAATCATTGGTATGAAAGAAATAAAAGTTACACTGTTCAGCCTGAAAAGAAAACATTTGAGGGCCTGTATCTCTAATCTCGTCTGAGCAACTGTTTAAAGCAACTGTTTAAATATAATCTTATTTGATAGCATATCACCTCAAGCTGTGCAAGCTGCTTGCTGTCTCTTATATTCACTCTGCCTTGAAATTAAAATTACTATTATTTGGTAGGATCTTTCGTATAAAATCTATGAAATGCAAATGTCAAATGTGGTTTCTGAACGAAGCTTAATTACCACGTTGGTTTCAATTGTTCTGGCTCTTGAAGGAATACATAATTGGAAAGCTGATCCATAAGCACTGACCATTTGCATTTCATAGCTTACTTGAAGCTTCTTTTGATTGGCTTTTATTGAGGTATCAATACTATCAATATACAGGGTGTAAACGTTATGAAGGTCATTATTTAAATGGGTGATAGAGGGGGTTAAAGTAAAATAAATCTGACAACGCCGCAAAACTATACAAAAGGATAACTAACCACTGTTAGGCTACTTGCACACACACACCGATTTTGGACGGCCGGTAAAATATCTGCCGACCAGATTTTAATAGTAAACCAGTGGAGGGCATGGAAGCTTGCACACTGGCCGACCACCGATCTGCACCGGAAAAAAGCCAGTTAGCAGCCGGACATTGTCACTGTGATACGCCGGTACCGGGAATATTTACGTATGTATTTGAATAGGAGCTGGCACATATAGGTTTACAATGGATAAAGAGATGAACATCGATAATGACATACTTATTGCACTAGTGGAAGCAAGACCAGTTTTATGGGACAAAAATTTTGACATATACTAAGTGACATATAAATCCGAACACCCAGTTTAAATGGTTTTATTTTAATAAAATTTTGTATAAGTACTTAATGAAGCATAATAAGTAAATGATAAAAATTTCAAAATGATTGCACTGCTTTAAAGCCCTTTGACCTTTAATAATGTGTGGATGCACCCTGATGTGCTACGCATTCTCCAACGCGCCTAGGCATGCTTCTGATCAGGTGCTCAATGTCCTCCTGTGGTATCTCATTCCAGGCAACCACCAACTCCTCTCGAAGTGCTTCTAGAGTCTGAGGAGGACGTTGCAAATTGAGCAATCTCCTACCCATCATATCCCACACGTGCTCAATTGGGGATAAGTCGGGAGATCTTGGTGGCCATGGTAACAATGTGACATCATTATGTTGAAAGAAGTCTATTGTGACTCTTGCAACATGTGGTCGGGCATTATCTTGTTGGAAAGTTGGATCTGCCAGGGTGTCAAGATAGGGTAAAAGATGGGGTTCTAGAACTTCGTGGATATAACGCTGCGCGTTCATGTTACCTCTGATGAAGTTTAAAGGTGACCTGGAACCATAAGCTATAGCACCCCAAACCATAACTCCAACAGTGTGATGAACATGTCTTTCAACAAAAAACTGTGGATTCCTCCTTTCACCATGTCGCCTTCTAACCCTGGAACGACCATCGTGCATGCCTAAACAAAATCGAGACTTGTCACTAAAGACAATACTGTTCCATTCCTGATCCCAGAGTGACCGTTGTCTGCACCACTCAAGGCGATTACGTCGGTGTTCTCGGGTTAAAGGGAGGACCCAGTGTGGCCGATATGAAAACAAGCCAAAACTTCCCATTCGTCGGTAAACACTTCGCATGCCAATAGGTCTTCCGTGTTCTGCAAACCATTCATTTGCAATGGACCTGGTAGTGGAGAAACGGTCCCTTAAGGCCAATAATCTTAGGCGGCGATCTTCACGGACTGTTGTTCTACGGCGGGGTCCAGTGCCCCTTGCTCTTTGCGTACGGCCTTCTCGAAGCCATGCCTGACAACACCTAACCACAGTGTCTACACTTCTTTGCACTCTAACTGCAATTGCCCGAAAAGAAAGTCCAGCTTCCCGAAGTCCCACTATACGGATCCTATCAAACTCACTAAGTTGACGAAATCGTACAAGTCTCCGTACTCTAGGCATCGTAACCGATCGTAAAGATGTCAAGAACCAAAATCCGCCAACGTTGATTCTTTACTGCGGCTGAAATATTCATTTTTAGAGCGTTAGTGAATTAAAAAAAAGCAGTATAAAAACCGGAATGTCCAACTGATAAGGCTGAAAATTTTTTCACTTGTTATTTACAGTAAGATAAATACATTCACCAACTTTTATTAAAATAAAACCATTTAAACTGGGTGTTCGGATTTATATGTCACTTAGTATATTTAAAGGCAGAAACGCTACTAGAGAAGCATGGAGCCAAGTTTGTTGCGAACTGAATGAGGATTTTAAAGAAATGGAGTCCAAAGAGAAAAATGAATCCAGAACTTTCGCTTAATTCTCCGACGCTTTATACGCTGGTACAGTAACCACATGGCAACAACTCGTTGGGGATTCATAAAAAATAATATTGGTAATCAGCACTACACCGGTAAAAAACCGGCGCGTGTGTAAGCAGAGCCTACTGATAAAAAATCGGTCGATATTTTACCGTCCAAAATCGGTGTGTGTGCAAGTAAGCTTAGCGTTTGCGATCGATTGCTGGTTCGATAAGAGTGATGAAAGACCGACGCGCTGTTGTCATGTGTGTTTTAAGTATTTGATTTAATGAAACTTACCTACTGACTACAAATTTTGGCTTAACTTAGAAAAACTTAATGCCATTTATTTGTTAATTACCCAATTTGAAAACGTTTTAGATTAGATTATAAAAATTAGTAAGATTGTGATGATTTCAGCCGCATTAAATTTTTTTTCGTGAAGTTGTGCTTCAGTTGTTATTGGACCAGCCCCATAAACCATCCCTTTAAGTTCTCCAAAATACCAGAAATCCATCAGATTGAGATCAGGAGATCTTGCTGGCCATTTTCGAGAATCAGGAGCATTTCGACTGATCCAGCGATTTGGATAATGTTCATTCAAATACTGAATGACGCCTCTAAAAATGTGTGGTGGTTACCCGTCATGAAGAATTGCCATTGTAATGGCATGTTGTCTAAGGTCTGTTCCAAAAGTTCTGGTAGGTTATTGGCTAGAAAGCTGTCCCGAGTGCTGATATCTGCATTGATTTCCACGATATTTAAAATTTGTTCCTCCTGCTCTACAGTAACCTGTCTTTCACGTGTGCGAATATTAGTGGGCTGAACACTTCCTGTATCTCGAAGTCTTTGGTACACTTGCACAAATGTCCTTCTGTCTGGGTGTACACGCCCGATACTCTGCTCGACAAAACATAAAGTAATTTATCTATGCAAAACGATAACTAACCACTGTTACCGTTGGCGATCGATTGCCGGTTCGATAAGAGTGATGAAAGACCGACGCGCTGTTGTCATGTGTGTTTTTAATATTTAATTTAATGAAACTTACTGACTACAAATTTTGGCTTAACTTAGAAAAACTTAATGCCATTTATTCGTTGATTACCCAATTTAAAAACGTTTTAGATAAGATTATAAAAATTAGTAAGATTGTGGTGATTGTAATCGATATAAAGCACCTAAAGTTGTAAACTGTAAAGCCATTTATACACAAATCTATTGACTTTTGGACCATGGGTCATATGAACTTTTTGACTTGTTTTGACCCCCCTATTACCTAGTTCAATAATGACTACCACAACGTTTACACCCTGTATATTGAAAAGTGCAAAATAATCCCAAAGCATATGACCCTAAAAATACATTATGTACTTGATATTGATTTTGAAGCTAGTGATTTTTGCTTGAAAGGAAAAGACGAAACAGCATTATACTCTTAGAATTCTCCCTCACTGGGATTCCTAATGTCTTTTTCATGAATCATGAGTGTCCATTATAGTAGAATAACAGGTGATTATCCAGTAATATTTCAAAATTTCCGATATCGACAAGTGATACAATTCTGACCGATCCGCCAATGCTATAGACAGAGCCATATTTTATTGTCAAGTTTTCTATGCTATGGATTCATTTTGCGTGGTCTAGCAGGGTAATAAACCAAGACAGCAATATATACAATTTTCTTGAAAACAATGGCAGACTTTAGAGGCATACCGGCCAGCGCATAGGCCACTTGAACGGGCCCTTGTGCACCTCTACATTCCTTAGACCTCAAGCCTCGTCTTTCTAGCGAAGTTGAGTATGGCCTTGAGACCAAGCTCCTTAACGTCGTGGGGGTCCAAAGTGATGGATAGTCTGCCTGTAGTAGCTAAGAGCCTCACAGCGACACAGAGCGTGAGCTCAGGTTTCTTCCTCTACCCCGCAGCGCTCGCACAAGGACCCTCAGCCACCCCCATCACGTGCAGGTGGCGCCTTAACGTGTTATGGCCAGACAACAGTCCCACCAGTAACCTTAGGTTAGCTCTATCCAAAGATAAGCAGAAACGTCCATCCGTAGCGCTGGGCCCTACAATGATTTCCCGTGCCTGACGGAGATGTCTGGAGATGCTTCTCCATTTCTGAGAGTGTTGTCTTCCTATCCACTTCTCCATTTTCCTCCTAACTCTTTGCGTGGACACCCCTAAAGCTGGCTCAGGACCAACGAGCTTGCTGGCTGATCCTGTCTTCGGAAGAGCGAAGTTTTAAATAACTTTAATAAAGAAAAATTTTGTGGGACACTGACCTTGTATATTGACTTTCTAGCCCAGAATTGTTGTTTTGAAAGCATGATTTTTTCTGATTACTTTGATTTTAAAACTGTGAATTGATACCTGAACAAATAGCATATTTATATCTCAATAAAAAAATATACTGGTAGATGATAGAGCAACTGATAAATACTAACAGAACAGAAAGCAAAATATATTCTGATATGCATATTAGTTTTTAGTGGGATTTATGAGCACTGTTTATGTGAATATCTGTTTTTAGAATTTGTTATTGCTATATGTGCAAATTCGGCTTTGTATTTCTTTTTTTTATATTTGCAAAAGATACTATGCTATTACTATATAGTTTCACTTATGCATTTTGTGTGTTTCTAGGTATTTATTTCATTTTAAAAATCTGTTTTTTATGTTTAGCAACCAAAAGCTCAAACTGATTTATAGATTGATTTCATATTTGGTGTTTTATGAACCATTGCAGTTTCACCATATTTTAATATTCATTGAAATCTCCTTAATTTCAAATATCCATATCAAACTAATAATCCCAATTATTTCAAACTGAACTATACCAATATGTCTATTGAACGAGCTTTGAATTTCAAAATGTTTTTTTCGAAATTTAGACTTAGTATAGCTAGCTTTCATCATACATTGAAAATAATATTTTGCGTTTTAATTGGTTTCCGCAGAACAAATACGATTCATTTTAAAAATGATGTGAGTGTTTTACCAAAGTCGCTATCGATTTCAAAAATCGACTAAATGGTCTTAATGCTAATGAAACAAGTTAAAACACAAAATTTTGAATGTATTATGAAAGCTGCATAAGCAAAATCCTCGAGTTGTATGAACTGTTTCCGATAAATTTAACATAAAAAACAGATGAATTCTACCTAGGCCTGACGAAGTCACGCAAGAAGCGCAAGCTGATCGTGGACGAAGTGAAGAACATCAGCGGCGAGGAAATGAAAAACCAGCTGAGCGACACCAGCGACATCGTCACGACGTTGGATCTAGCGCCGCCTACTAAGCGACTTATGCACTGGAAGGAGACAGGAGGGGTTGAAAAGTTGTTTGCGTTACCTGCCAGATTAATTCCTGCCAGGATATTGTTTAAGGTAGATAGCGAGGTCCCTACAGTAACAATGTATCATTTACAAGTTTACCATCCCAATTTGTTTATATGGGGTGTCCTGCACTTAGCAAAGCTAATGAGCAGTAAAACTGCAGAGAAAAAGTAAAGTACAAAGAGCGCTATAAAAGTTTTGCAATATGACTTAACAAACGGACGCATATCTGTATGTTGAGACATGTCCATGAGTGCCTAGTAGCCGTCAGCAGGACGTCTGTTGATTTAGTTGTTCATTCGTACTGACAGTGTAAAGTGCGGATTGTCGTCACGTAGTGAGATAGGGGCAGTTTTACGGTATAACTTTACGCATAGATCAGTGCTTAAAAGAAATGACGCTTGCATTAAAGAATGATTGTCGTTATCGTACGACTATATTCAGGTGGTAAAGAGAATTCCAAAGGGGTAATTTTACTCTGGAGGACGCTGAGAGGGAAGGAAGGCCACGGAGGTCGGTAACAGAGGAAAACATTATGCTGTTTGGAAAATGCTTGATGAAGACCGGAGAGTGCCATACCAACAGATAGAGGAGACCTTACACCTTCAAGCACCAGAAATTCATTCAATTCTGCATGACCATTTACACGCAAGGATACTTTTTTCTCTCTGGGTACCGCATAGTCTGACGGAAGAGCGGATGACTCGTCGTACGACTTGTGCCGAAAGATGTTGAAAATGTTTGATAAGGGGCAGTTTGGGTTTATAAAAAGCATCGTGACAGGTTACGAGACTTGGCTCTATTATTACGATGTGCCGTCCAAGGCTCGAAATAAAGTTTGGATCTTTGATGATGAGGGCACACCCGTAGCTGTCAGAAAATCCCGATCTGTTGATAAATAAAAAAATATTTTCAAATCGAGCGGGATTGTGGAGTGTGTCATTTTTGGACACAGAGAAGACAGTCACAGCTAAGTGGTACACGGAACAGTGCCTGTGTAAAGTCGTAGATAGAGTCTATGAAAAACCTGCGGCCAAAGTCAAGAATGGACACTTGGTACCTCGACCATGACAATGCTCCAGCTCACTGCACGAAAGCCTGCACCGAGTATTTGACCACTACTGGACTGAAACTTATTGTTTCCACATATGGAAATGAAGCTAAAAGGAAAACTGTTGAGTGTGCCGCACTCTCGGGTAAAACTTGGTACAGCTGGCTTAAGGACTGGTTTTGGTGGATGGAGACCTGTATTGAATGATGTGGAAATTACTTTGAACGAAGTCAATAAATAAAGCTGTATTGCAAAACTTTTATATGGCCCTTTGTAAATGTTGCTATAAATACTGTTCCAAGTTGATTGGAAAATACAAGTTTTTTAATGTCTAATTTGCAACATTCAGGTTTTCTACTGTGTTCACGTTTCTAAAAATCACCTTTGTGCAAGATAAATAAGCTATGCGGCGCGGGATGAAAACGAACAGGAAAAAACGATCTGAATTTAACCGGGAATCATCAACAGCGTCTTGAAAACACCATAAACTAACATCAAATCGAAAAGTTCCTTTTTGCTAAAGGAAATGTGCCATGTTCAAAACTACTCAATTTACGTATATCACGCCTCGACCCCTATTCTTGAACGGGAGAGTAGAATTAATGAGAGAAACTGGACCTGGTTCTCTTCACTGGGGAATATCTTTCTGACAGCTGTTGCCATTTATCAAACCAGATTTTGAATCCATTCATTTTCGGCAAAATAAGGCGTCCCTGAGTTCTTTATATCATTAATTTCGTCTTTAGAGATGAAACTGATGAATGACGCCGATACTTCCGCACTTTTTCTATTCTATCAGCGTTCAGGAATAGAATTTCCAGTAAAAGAACCACGCCCACTGTCTCTCAGTTATTCTTTCCCTCATTTCAAGAATTAGCCTCCTTGGTATTACTAAGAAAATTTGCTCACTTGTGAAAATTTCAATCCAAATTTTTAATTTTAGGCGTACCAAAGGCATTTGACGTTGCGATCGATAGGCACGGAAGATTTCACAATGCTCGGCGATCCTGAATCGCTACAAATCGATCAAGCAAGAGATCAAGAAGAAAATACACCACAAGAAGCGCCGACGCCGACAAGAAGAGGGAGAAAAAGAAAAGCTATTGAAGAGCCGGTAAGTTTATTCTTGAAGGAATTATCTTGCATGTTATTTTTATGGTAGTCAGTGAACAAAGGCTTGTAAGACACAAAATAGAAACCATTAAAATAAGAACAGCGGGTCGTTTTTGTTGCCTAGAAGAAGGCAGCTTCAAAACGACGATTTTTTATCTTCGCTCAATTCGTGCGGTACCCATTTATCGAGCTTTTTCGATTTTCTCATGCGTTTCAAGTGGTCGGATATGGTCGCAATACCCACATCAAGCTCCTCCGCAATCTCGCGAACGGGTGTGCTCGGGTTTGCTGCCACCAGGACCTTTAATTCGTCATAGTCGAAATCATGTGGCCGGCCACTGCGCTCTTCATCTTCGAGGCACTCGTCATCGCTGCGGAATTTCTTGAACCACCAATGTGCCGTATGTTCATTAGGGTTCCTTGGCCAAATGAATCGTTGGTATCGCGAGCTGTCTCGGCAAGCTTTTCAACTTAATTTGAGCTGGAATAAGAAAATCGTGGGAATTTAGCGCTTGTCCATCCTATATTTGAAGTAGTAGAAAAAACAAATTATTGTAAAACAAAACGAACACAACGACTAGATAGAGCGAAAAACGCACTTTGAAATGATATACAGGGTGTCCGCAAAGTTGGGGTTTTCCTTTACACGACGTGTAGATCTTGAAAACATATGCAATTTTTCTTAGTACCAATGTCTTAAGGGAACCGAGATTAAGGGCTCTGTAACATCAAAAATATCTGAATACCGTCCTGTAGCCGCGACATCACCGACTGGTACAAGGTCACTGGCTCAACCCGACGACAGAACTGGGTCGGGGTCAGTGTGTCAGGTCAGTATGCAACCTTCAACCAACGGTTACGGTCACGCGTGTAGAGGTAATCGCGTAGACGAGAATCCCTCAACAAGCACTAGAGACGTGGCTAGAGAAGTGCAAGTATCAAAAACTAAAGTGTGGCAAACGCTGCGTGAAGAGGGGCTGTATCCGTTTCACGTCCAACGTGTACAATCACTTCAACCTGACGATTTTCCAGCAAGAGTGCGGTTTTCTGAGTGGTTGTTGCATCAACATGACAATAATCCGGACTTTTTGAAGTGCATATTGGTGACATACGAATCTACGTTCACGCGTAATGGGGTGAATAACTTTCGCAACACTCATGTTTGGTCAGTAGAAAATCCGCACGCTGTCCGTCGGGCACATTTTCAACAAACATTTTCGGTGAATGTTTGGGCTGGCATGGTGAACGGTATGCTCATTGGACCATTTATTCTCCCAAATCGATTGGACGGGATACAATACCTAGACTTTTTACGCAACATTTTGCCTTCCTTGTTAGAAGATGTGCCATTAAGTGTAAGACAATCAATGTGGTTTCTGCGTCTGCTCGGTAGCGCATCAGCTGATTTCATTTTCTGTTGGAGCGGTATGATTTCGGGCAGAGACGTACTTAGCCCTTCTCGTCAACTGGAGAGTGAGTACTTTTTCCTTTATTTTTGTTTACTTGGTCACCCTCGTTTCACTACACATTACCTTTGTTATTTCAAGGGTAGTTGTTTCTGAAAAGGAAAACCCCAACTTTGCGGACACCCTGTATAAAGTCAAAGTATTACAAATAAATTTTAGTGTAAAATACATCATTTAGAATATAAATAACAAAAACCGCAAGAACTTTACGACCAAAAAAACAGTGGTATAGTAAAAAACAGATTTTAATAGTCGCCTCTACAAAATCTCATTTGTGCCCACATCCACTCATAACTAACGGATAGTAGATGTAAACGCAGTCATGTACCACACGCGTAGAGCATATATAAATATTCAGAACTGTCTTGTGATGATTCAATGAAACCTGAATTTTCTGAAATTTACATTGTTTTGGAGCGGAACTTTATAAAATGTTTCTGTTGTTTCAGCCTCCAACGCCCATATCCCACCTGGAAGAAACGCCGCATCTGTCCGCCCCATCTATGGAAGAGCACCAGATGCCGCCTACGCCTTTGCCGCCAGGTACACCCGCCCCTCAAACGCCCGCCCATTATGATCAAATGGCGTCACAATTGGCGGCCGAGCAGATTCTGCCGCCTGGCACGCCATCTATACCGGGGATGATGGGACCTGGAACGCCTGGTAAGTTGTTTTGAACACCTTGTACGAAAAAACCAACTGGTGTGCCGCTTTTTTGATCAGTTGTTTTACTTTCCACGCCACAGGCGAAGAGGTACTGTAATCGGAATTTTTTTTACTATGCCAAGAACGAAAAAGCTTTGCAGTTTTTGAAAATCGGTTCAGTTGCGGTGGAGCTGGGAGCCAAAAAATGTTAATTCTAGTTCGTTTTTTGACCTTTCACAGGCTCCTGATCATTTTCGAAAAAACTTTTGTAAAGGTTAAAATTTCGGGGTTGTAGTGTGTGGATAAGAGTAATCTCATTTTCTTACGCTAGTACAATTATACTTTTCCACTCCGGTACACATCTGAAAATTTAAGCGGCGAACGTTACCGTCATAGCGATATTGTCCACACTGTCGGTAGGGCAGGAAAATATTCCTATGGTTCAATTGCATGGGTCAGTTTGAGTGACTTGATCTGTTCAATTTCTTTGTTATACTTTTTTCTTATGCCAAACAAAATTCTTGAAGAACTGTCAAGTCATAGTGAATGCTTTTGCAGAATTTTTCGATTATAAATTCTAATGTTACTTCCACCATCAAAAGTAAGCATGCTACAAATAAAAGCTCATTTATTCATTTTACTCCTGTTAAGGAATCTGAAGTTCTGTCCGCTATTAAGAAACTGAAGAAAGAAATGACATCTCACTATATACCATTATTTTTATTCAAGGATACTGCCTCAGAGATAGTTACTCATCTCACCATGTTATACAACTTATGCTTAAAATCCAATTCTTTTTCAAATATCTAGAATATAGCAAAAGTATGTCCTGGATATAAGAGTGGTGACAAAAATGATATCACTAATTATTGGCCTGTATCATTTGTTTCTATGTTTGCAAAGATCTTTGAGACAATTTTGCACAGCCGCGTTTATTCGGAAATTGAGAATTAGCTCTCGCTTTATCAGCATGGATTCACTACCAAACGATCTGTTATCACTAATTTACTAATAGTTACTCAATACATATCAGCAGCTCTTGATGATAGTAGCCAAGTAGACATAATATATACGGATTTCGCTAAAGCTTTTGATAAAATTGATCGAAGCGTTTTGGTTGACAAATTAATAGATTTTGGATTTTCTGAGGCTGTGAAGTTTACGATATCATTCTTAACAGATAGGAAACAATTTGTCGCGAATAATGGGTTTAAACCGGAAGCCTATGCAGCTAAATCTGTAGTCCTCAAGGATCAAACTTGGGACCGTTATTTTTTCTAATTTTTATAAATGATTTATATATGTTTTAACAGTAGAAAAACTTAGTTTTGTTGATGATTTACAAATAAATCGCCCAATATCCAACGTCACTGATTGCATGGAACTGGAGCCAGCTTGACCTGATTCAGAACTGATGTAATGATAATAAAATAACACTAAATGTAGATACGTGTAAAGTGGTGAGTTTTACAAGAAAGAGAGAATTCAGTTTTACAAGAAAGAGAGAATTCATAGATTTTAAATATAGTGTTGATGGAAAGAACCTGATCAGATGTACAGAAGTTAGGGATTTAGGTGTTATTTTCGATTGTAAGTTGTCTTTTTCTAAACATATTGAGAAAACTGTATCTGAAACATCAAGATCATATTGGTTTTTGATAAGGAATTTTAGAAGTTTTGGCACTATCAGCACTATTAAAATACATAGATCGAAACTTGAATATACGAGCATTATATGGAATACATATTATGAGGTGTATAAAATTTGGTTTGAACGAGTTCGGCGAACATTTCTTAAATTTCTCGCATTTAAAGTTGACGGCATTTGTCCCGAAAGGGGAATCAATAATTATGAACTATGTAGTAGAGTTGAAATACCTAGTTTAAAGCTTGGAGACACTTTACGGCGGCGTTGTTTTTATTTAAATTGCTGCATGGATATGTTGATTGTTCTGGGGCAAGTTACTCTTGCTGCTGTGGCTCCATATTCATCTCGGGGTAATGCGACATTTAGGCTACATACAGCTAAGACTAACATGTTGATAAGTCTCCAGTCTATGATATGTGTGATAAATTAAACTGTATCTCCAGCCATTGTGATATATGTTCTGTACAAGAATGGGTTTATCAGAATACTAAAGAGGTTATGGAACTAATTTTGAATTCTTGTTTTTGGTTTATCTGCATCTCTGTTTAGGGTATTATTATTTTAATATATGATAATTATTCCTTCAGTTATTACATTGTATTATCCTGTAAATGGGAGACCTTTGGATAATAAAGCCATTATTATTATTATTTATGAAATGGTGGCAGGATTGTGTGGGAAGTGCAGATTCAACCTTCCTGACGCCATTTTTTGTACTTGTACTATTGTACTATTCTAAGATCAATATCTGTATGATGCTTCAAACTGCATCACAATAAGATAAAGATTGTTGATTAATTTGACGCCAGAATCAACACTTCCACTCGTACTACTTCATATTTAAGGGTTGCAAGTTTTCCATAAACCCTTATATCGTCAGAACTCCATGAGTGAGATTGGACGCTGAAAGCGAGCAGAACAGGGTGTTTGTGTGATGAGATCCTTAAACTATTGAAATGTCATCTTAAGAGGCATCTAGTTAAAAAACTGTAGTCATCAAGTGTGAGACTGCGTTAATGTAACTTGTGAAACCTATCCTGTGATTTCCATATCGATAATCCCCCATGTTTGTTTGGTCAATCAAACCACATGTGTTTAAAATTCTTCTTTATTGTATACATTTCAGTCACAACAGTGATCTTTTTCAGTACAATTGACAATGCGTTATCCTGTACCCACATTCTTGAAACCATCATAAGCTGCTGTAGCTGACAAATACAGTAATGGACAAAAGTATATAGACAAATTAATATTGTGCTGGATTTCTTTTTTAACTTGTTTTGTTAATACACCAACCTGTATACATAATTATTAATCTAACTGATCTAGCATTTAGTTTTCTAGGCCGACCACTTAGAGGCTTCCAAGATACCTTTTTGTTTATATTTGTTCAATATTGTCCAAATTGCGTTACGCTTCATCTTCAAATGTTTGGCAACTCAATGATCTTAGTTTCACATCGAAAGAAATTTCTGGACCATGGGGTATGGTCTCAAAATCACTTATTCCACAATACTTGATGAACACAAACTAATCCTCTTCTGACACGAAACTGTACTAAACTAATGTTGAAAATAATTTGTCTACAGGTATTTTTGTCCCTCATAAAAATGTGCTTATATTCAGACTTGTATTGCAGATCATGTAAAAACAAGGAATTTAGTTTTTCTACTAATAACGCATTTGTTTATGGAGCAATGAAGTATGAATCCGTTTTCTAAAAGTATTTAGGTAAATATTCATATTTGTCTATATACTTTTGTCCATCACTGTATGTCTTAGGACCTAACCTTTTTTTCGTTTCAAGTTTTATATGTTCTATGATTTATCTCTAATAAAGTACCTAATTTTCAGGAATGCTACCATGCCCAACGCCCTCCATGATGGGTCCAGGCACACCCATGATGCAACCACAAACGCCTGGTATGATGCAGCCTCAAACGCCGATGATGCAACCCCAAACACCGGGTATGATGCAACCACAAACCCCAGGAATGATGCAGCCTCAAACTCCCATGATGCAGCCACCAACGCCGGGCATGATGCAGCCTCAAACCCCCATGATGCAACCCCAAACTCCTGGAATAATGGGAACGCCGGCACACGATATGATGGGTGGTGGGGAGATGTATTCCCAGACGCCAGTGTACCCAGAGCCTCCCACGCCTTTGCCTCATATGGAGGAGATGCCCCATTTACCACCCGATCAGGTAAGATATACTAACACTATAAAAATATCTTGTGATTTTTCGGTTAGGACATTCGTTATGTGCATCTGTTTTACTAATAACTTATGTCAAAATTAATGGTATCTATTTTATTTTCAGGTGCGAATGATCCTTCAAGAACAAGAAGACATGGCTCAAGCAGCTGAGGCACTCCTGAACGCGCCAAGCCATTTAGGGGCACATGATCTACCTGCTATGGATGTAAGTATCTAATTTACCTATTTATATAGTTTTCATTTTCCATTAACATGTTTACTATCTAAAAATCTCTTTTTCAGGCATACGACGATCATGAACGCCCTGCATCTCCATGGGATTATGAATATGACCAAGGACCAGTAAGTATTGCATTTATGATTTCAATTTTACCTTCCATCAATCAGTGTTGTCAGTGTTGCAATCGCGAAGTCATATCTGCGGTCATGACATTTCGATAACGGCTTAACACTAGAGTAATACAGTAACTACCATTTAAAAACATACGCATTTAATTATTTTAATACCGCCCGAAAGAATGAAGCTCATAGACTATGCAAACGTTGGGTTGTCTAGTTTTTTCCTTGCATAACTTGATACTAGTTATTTTCACCCATTTACTCTATTGTACAGGGTCATCTATTACTTTTTTTGTATTTGAAAAATCAACATGCTTTTTACGAGGTGAAATCGAATTTTTTATTGATGAATGAAGGTTGGTTTATGCCATTTATGTATGAAAGATAACATCAGTCATGTGACCACTGCGGCTTCGTTTACAGGCCAACATCCGAACATCAAAATTTTCAATGACTTTTCCCAGAATAATCGGGTCTATGGCCGCAATTTCAGTCCGAATATTGCGCTTTAGGTCTTGAATTGTCCGGGAACCATTCGCATACACTTTTCCTTTCAAAAATCCACAAAGAAAATAGTCAAGAGGTGTTAAATCGCACGATCTCGGGGGCCAACTGTCATCTGAATTTCGTGAAATATGCGGTCTTGAAATTTCGTGTGCAATAAGGCGATTGTTTGGCGAGATGTGTGAGCCGTTGCTCCGTTTCGATGAATCCAAAGATCGTCGGCACCAAGACGATCCAATTGTGCCCACAAAAAATCTGTTAACATACCGCGATAACGTTCCCCGTTGACGATAATGGCCTTTTCTTCGGCATCTTCAAAGCAGAATGGTCCACCGATGCCACCAGCCCATAATCCGCACCAAACAGTCACCTTTTCAGGATGGAGAGGTTGTTCATGATATTGGTGTGGATTTTCAGCCCCCCAGAATCTGCAACTTTGCTTATTTACGTACCCAAATCTGACCTTTTCCTGTTGACGTTTCATATCCGCAAAGCAATTTAATTAAAACTTATTATTAATATTATCATCAAAATTACCGCCTTTTCATTGCGAACACGGGAATAGAGTTATCTACAAAAAAACCGGCTGGATGTGATTAGTGCAATGTTTACTGAAAAGCCTTTTTCCAATTTTTAATTAATTATTGTCTCGACAGGATTTTTTTAGCCAACCCACTCGCGATATATTTTTTAACATACTAAATTTTCATTCATTAGTTAATTTTTAACAAAATATGAAAATAACAATGCGTTTTTTACTGTACAGAATATTTCACGAGTTTTTACACAGGTCGAGATGACAAATGCACATTTCATCGATCGTAACTGTAGATACGGACCTTTACCGGAATTTTTGATTACCTACTAGGCAGTTTTCACTAAAAATTTCCTGTTGTCTAGGTAGCGGGGAATTTTCGCTGTAATTTTGCGATAATTTCACACCTCTTATGACATTTTTCATACATGAGGAAAATATTCGCGAAAACGTTTGTATTCGTCTTGACATTTTACGTAGTAAGCAAGTATCACTAGTCAGTTGGTGTCTAACTCTTCTTGACAAGGTGGTTCTTTGGTATGAGCAAAATTTTAAATGGGCATGCAATTTGACGATTTATATTTTTTTGCAGAGTGAAGAACAACAAAAGGATGAGACTGATGAGCAATTTGAAGAAAGAGTTCTCAACAAACGTGCATATCAGCTATTCACACTTGTCCGCAGAAAGTTTCAACTGGCAGATAAAATTCTACTGGATGAAATGTGCCAGCACAACACAAAAAAACAGGTAAGTTTGGTTTATTCGATTCCTGTTGGAATTTAGTATTTGCTTCTCGTGTTAGTATTGCAATCGCGAAAAACTTTTAAATCAAGATGTATTTTTTGGATGTCGTGTAGTCTATGTACAAACATCCTTGCACGCTTTGTAACTGAATGACGTCGTAAGTTTTTATTTTTCACAAAAGGCTACTAATATGTCAAGTGCGAAAAACTGGGTTTTGGAAATCGGCGAGTTATGAGCGAAAAAAATAACTAAACTTTCCACATCATGCTCAAAGTTCTGTTTTCAACGTTTTTCATCTTCTGATCACTTTACAGCATAGTCAAAATATCCTCTAGGGTGTTGAGGCAGTTATTTTTTTCTGATAATAATTATCGATTTTGGAAAGTTGATAGTTGCTATGCTGAGGAATTTTTAGCTTAAGGACTTTTCGGATTATGAAATATGGCATAAATCTTACAAGCTGTCAAAAATGTTTCAATGCTAAATCCACCCAATTTTTCATGGTTATTTCTGTAGAATTTTACTATGAGCTGTATTTTTTTCAGGCTTCACAAAAGTTCTACAGCCTGTTGGTCCTGAAGAAGTTCAGTGTGCTGGAACTTGAACAGAACGAGCCATATGGCACCATAACAGTGACAAAAGGAAATAAGTTTGATAATCCCACCATGTAATTGTATGGTTGATATGTGGTGTATAAATAATATTTATTTTTGACTATTTTTAAGAAGAAATTATATTGTACATACATTATGTCGAATTTAAAGGTACAGAATATCTAAATTTACCAAAGTCTTTTCCACAACAAAGTTGTCTGATTTGTAGGATAGGAATCTTTATTTAAAGCCCTGGCAGCTGGCGTCAGATTTTTTCATTCAAGGGTAAATCAAACTAAATTACACTAAGCAGGATTTATCAATCTTTAGATGGTTCAGGTAAGAAAGCATGTTTCGATTTTTAAATTTGGTTGGTTATAATGGTGTTGAAGCGCTTATGATGTGACCATGCCTACGTGAGTTTAAGAAGCTGATTCAAGTTATTGTTTGCAGGAAGTCAACCTTCCTGTTGACAAATTGGCTTTCTTGTGCATGGCCAGCTTGAATTAAGGTAAACATGGTCACATCCTCAGTAGTATATTTTTTCCGAGTGTTGACAAGTGTCCCCTGGATTTTTTATACATAGAGGGTTTTCCATTAAGGACTTGACAACTTTCTTTTTAAATAAAACGCAAACCATTTGAGATATCTCGAAAATTGTATTGCCGGATTGAAGTATACTCAAAACATGGTGTTTCTTGAAGCACATGGGAGTTTTCACCTGACCAATAACGCATACTGTTTGTTGAAGCCGTTTAGCCAAAAATGCGCCTCATCACTGAAGATGATTTTGCGATGAAATTGGTTATTTTCTTGCAACATTTCTAGAGCCCAATTCGAGAACGTACGTCGGTTCATGTGATCGAACGGCTTTAGTTCTTGAGTTAACTTGATCTTATAACGGTGCAGGCCAAGATCTCTTCGCAAAATTCGCCATAGTGTGGTCTGTGCGATGCCCAATTCTTGAGAACGCAGTGTTCTGTTCTTCTGCGACGGAAACTTGAACGGTAGCAATATTCTCGGCACTCTGACCAACCCGATGTCTCATTGGCACGGGAACATCCAGCAGCGAATATGTGGTATCAATTTTTCTTACTTGAGTATGAATTGCTTGTCTACTGGGACGAGAATTACGACAAAAAATTGGCGTTAACGCTCTTAAAGTTGCAGTCACCGACTCGGAATTTCGGTAGTAAATTTTAATTATTTGTAAGCGTTGTTCGTTCGTGTATTTCATCATGATGAAAATGTTTTCTTTACTGAATGTTTTGACATTGACAGTTCGGTAATTGAGTTAAAGGTGCGTTCACAGTGAATGTTCAAAGTTGTCAAGTCCCTATTGGAAAACCCGATATATTTGGGACTCTATAAAAGTTTGCCCAAATTACTGCTGCCGCTTACATTGGTTTTTATGTCATTATATGATTTCCGAGATGAGCTTTTAGCAAGTGATTTTTTCAACGTTTCTCGCAAAAAATTGCTCATTTCGATTATAAACAGTCAAAAACAAAGTTCCATTGTCCATTGTACTATTCGTTATTATTCTTCAGAGTGGTCCGGAGGACCTTTGCTCTTAGTTAAAAGTCTCGTCGGTCTTTTAGTCTGTCAGGTCTGGCTACCCCAGATACCAAACAGGTTCAAGGGAAAGAAAGGAAGGAAGAAATAGAGCAAATGCTTTGGCTACTCGAATTATTTTGTAGCTCCAAAAAATAATTTTGATCGGTTTTGTATAATGAAATAATTTTGGCTGGTCTGAATTTACAATTTAATTTTGATCACAGTGCAAGGCGCGGCCTGGAATGTTTGCGATTGTCCATTGTCTAGTCAAGTCTAATCACACATACTTACAGCGTGTTAAGAGTTGATTCCTTGCATTATTCTAAGCAAAAAAGTTCATTATAACGTATGTCCGAAAATCGATCGTTTTCGAGAAAAAAGAGTCGTAAATAATTAAATTTTCTCAAACATTTGGCAACGCTGCAACGCAGCGCACGACGACCGCAACTGATTCATTGAATTGTTTACGTTTGTATGATATTTTTGTTGAAAGTATGCCTTGAATTATTGAATACTTTCACGCAATTTTTTGTGGCTAATATTTTTTATTTAATAACGCTTTCAGTACAGTTAATTTACTTAAAAAAAATGACAGAACTTACCGGTACGTGGCGATACACACCACCAATTCCCACTATTATCAGTCACTTATTTGAAACGATGCGATGCACGAAAAAAAAAAACATCCCTAAATCACATAAATTTGCAGTTAAATGTATTAGTAATCACGACAATAGGCGATGACACATGCAGTGTGAAGGCGGAGTACGACGTTGCCAGTTGTGTGAGGGATTTTGTTTGTCTGTTTTTCTTCTGAAAATTGTATTTAATGAGCAAGAAAATTATTTTATTAAAGAGAGTTAATTAATAGATGTATTGATACAATTTACGCTATTAGGCATATGAATTTAAATTATTAAGGTTCAAAATTAATTTATTTCATGACTAAAAAGAAACAAGTTCAGCATTTTTTTGCTCCGAAACGGTTGATTTTCGGACATAGGTTATAATGAACTTTTTCCCTTAGAATAATGCAAGGAATCACCTCTTAAAGTTACGAATATTATTTCCCTAACACCCCGTATATTTAAATTACTCCTTCTTGTATAACGTTTCGACCACAACGGTGGCCATTTTCAAGTACAGTGGCAATATTGGCAGTATATGTTATCTGCCTTCAGGTGTCAGATCATTTATTTTTTCGTCTCTTCATTCTTGTACAGTATTACGATATATTGAACGCAGAGAATGTTGCATCTTGCTTACTTGAAGTAGAGATAGAAACCTATGTAAGCAGCTTGCAGAGACAAGATCTCTATCAAAATTCACAGAAATGTAAGTTTGAAGTTTCTACTAGATATTTGCATGGCTTAATATATTCCACCTGGTGGAATACGTTAGTAATGATGGTAAAACTACATAAGAAGTTTCAGAGGTTACATTTTATTAGTGCATGTATCACTCAGTTGAAACTTCAAACTCAAAAGTTATTCAATTCTTGCGGTATCTTAGTAACAATCATACTGGTCAAAGGTACACAAATCCAGTGTATTAGGCCAACATTATCAACGAAAGTTGATATCTGATTATTCTATCTAAAGATAGCCAACCTAATCCGCGTCCAAAAAATAGCTTAAATGGGATACTGTAGCGTCATCTATGTTTCTCTGTTTTCCATACAGAGAAATCCAAATATCACTGACGAGGTAATCGGTATGAGGTAGAAGCGTGCAATATGTATGTTAGAAAGATTGCGCCGATGGCAAGCCGCACTGCGTCCGCGGCCTCGTCACTCGGATTGCTGGGCAACGTGATGCTTCTACACATTTCGTCGTCAGTGATATATGCATTGCTCTGTATACACCTTTAAAATGTTAGTATGTATATCATAGATAGCGTTGTAGACAACTCTATGAGCGTATAGGCAGCGCCATCTATGGGACACTACCTTTTCAAATCGATGGTGTAGCGCACAAACGTGGGAAGATCAAAACTGTTAAAGAAATGTATAAAGTACAAATTGTATAAACTAAACTCATAATCTTTGCGACAGAAATCTGCATTTCAGCAATATTATAAATGTATTTGTCACTTACCATACTTGTGCATTCGAAGCTTCATCTCCTGATTATTATGCTCTTGTAGGTAAAGAAAACAACTGTGCACTACACTATCGATATAGTAAATATAGAAACAGCTGTGACAGATTCTCATAGATGACACACTACAGTAACTCTTTATCTCGGATATTTTTTTAGATGTGCGAATATAGCATTAGGTTGGGTATCTTCAGGTAGAATTCGTTAATCAATGTTTTTAGTTAATTTTGCGAATTTTGATGTCGAAATAATGTATATGGCTAACCTTCCATCAAAGGCTGATAAAAGACGGTGTAGTTTTTTTTTGCAATGCCAGATATTTCTTTTTGTCATTCATCTTTAAAGATCTAGTTAATTCATTTAAACTATTTTTGAGCTGAGTACAATTTTTTCATGTGAATACAAATATGTTTTGTACTAATTTTTGAAATATATCGAAAATAGTTTGAATGAGTATGAAAGTATCAAGATCGTTGATGTTTACTATTTTCAAAAAAAAATAAAAAATGTATAACAAAAATATTTCTTTATAGATATCATTATTTTCACTGTATATTTCATTATTCTTTTTAATTATAGGCTTAGCTAGAGATCAGAAATTATTGTTATTGTATTGATAGATTTAAAGAATACATATATACCATTTTGCTAAAAATAAACGACTTTTTTGTTTACTTTTGGCAGATCCGTATTTTGAAAAAACAGAAATAGTTTGTCATTTTTTTAAACAATGTTGTTTGTATAAAATAAATAAAAAATAACTGACCAATAATTCATCTTTGATTATATATACTCCTTGGTCCCATCTTTAAACTTATTCAGTTTAAAAAAACACGTGCTCTATATCAGTTTTTATTATCAACAACCATAATCTAAATAGGTGTATATAACATCAGCAAATAAATTATACAAAAATATTGATATGCTATAGACTTTGGCATCTTCAATTTTATAAAATACATTACCACATACAGGTCACAGTATTTTAACATATTAACATATTTTACAAGAGGATGTCCCGAGCCCCACCTTACATAAAATTCTCACCCTCACAGCCCTATTACTAGTAATAAAAGTGATAAACCCTGTATATTGCTCAATAAACTAGTAGTGATAGCCGGAAAACAGGTATTTTGGGATAAACAATTAGAAACATTTTGACTTGGTTTTCGGCCATAACTTTTTTAGTATTAGTGGGAATTTTCACATTGCTCTCATTCTGTAGGTCTCATAAATACCTAAAAATTTTATTCAGAGTCTTCTCGTTCCTGCCAACAATTTCGATTGAATCCCAAAAAACATGTTTACTCATTCTTTGTTGTCGAATAAAAAAAATTCCACAAAAATTGGTGTACCCATTTTATGCGTCCATGCTTGAAAAACCCCCTTGAAAAACTTGCACCAATAAAACCATACTCTTCAATTATTTCGGGGAAATTTGCTAATATGATTGGACTAAATATGATGACCTCTTTTATATGAAACTACTACTGCAGCAGAAATTCAGTGACCAACTTATTGAATTCCTTGGCGTATTTTAAATGTATATTGTGCTTTCCTTCTGGGAATCGATGTAATCTGAAACAAATAGCACATTTAACAAATGGATTTCTAAAAAAGATCCCTAGTAGATAGATACCTAGAAGACATAGATACTAGGGATCGACCGATACAGGATTTTTCAGATACCCACATATCAGAGGCCGATATATCGGCGTTATCGGCCGTTCGTTTCTTTCCGTACACAATCGAGTGAAAATTCGTTCGGATGAGTACGTGGGTCGCAAACATGATAATATCACTCTGAACCTTTTAAGTCAAATTTAAAGTTGCATTTATCAGAATCTTTTTACTAAATCTGCCGATAGTGTTATTTTCCCGACATAGTAAAACTTGATAATACAAAACCTATATTAAAAAAGGGGGAACGTGTTAATGTTGACAGCTATCGTCAAATTTTGATCTTAAGTAATATATCTAAATTGCTTGATAAAACCATGTATCATAGACTTTTGCTGAAAAATCTGCTATAGTTGTAGTCACCATTCTTGGCGATTACGTCATCAACGCCATATGGAATAAGTGAACTGATCGAGTCTCCGTACCATGGGCGGAACACTTCGCAGACTAATCTTTAGCGCATCTGCTACTCTCTCCAGTACGCATGAAGTGAGTAACATTTTTGTTTTCATTCTCCTCCTGGAAATACTCAAATTTAGCACGCGCTGTCGGTCTTCTCCATTGATCGTATTTCTGGGCATTGTACAAATTTATATTGAAAATTGATAACATAACAAGTCGAATTGCACGCCGATGTGTAAGTGGTCACTGATAAATATGATTGAAGGGCACTCATACGTAACGACAAAGTTTTTGAGATGGTTACACAGAACTAAAAAACGTATGTCTTTGAGCTTACCGAACAACCGTTCCACACATAGGGGCAGGTTGCATGTGTATGTATGAGGGAGATAAAGATATATAAAGGGATACTGGTAGTCTTACTTTGACCCGCCAAGAACGGTGACGACAACTACTAAATACATCACAACATGGGTTTATAGCTGAAAGATCTGTTGAAACTGCTAGTTGCTACTTGCTAGAACACGCCTATAACCAACTTGATAATGGCCTTTGCTTTTCGATCTATCTAAGGCATTTGACATTATAGATAAAAATATATGTATATCGAGCCAAAAAATATTTATGGGTATAAAATGTTTCTTCTTGAATTGGGTGATCTCATATATGGAGGACAGAAAACTTAAACTGAACCTTGGAAGACAGTATCCTGTGGTGTCCCTCAGGGATCTGCATTGGGACCATTGGTTTTCAACTTATATGTAAGTGATTTGCCCAGTCATACCTATGAGGGGTATATAACTATACATACAATTAGTATATCTGCAAAAAATGTGACACCCTCATACCAAAATTCAGCGTATATTGGATAAATTTTCATCCTGGTGCCAAAGAAATCGACTAATTCTAAATTCAAGTAAGACTATTGTAATAAATTTTAACATCCATCGCATAATTAATATAGAACTGGATATACAGTAATGGACAAGAGTATAATATATAGACAAATTAATATTGTGCTGTATTTTTTTGTAACTTGTTAAATTCATTAGACTCCCTTCAATAAAAATTAATTGAAAAAACTGGAACTATGAAGGATACAAAAATATATAGACAATTATAGAAAAAAGAAGCAAATTTCATTGAATTATAGAAAAGCAACGTGTTTGTGTTAATATTTTGTAGCATAACCATTATTATCAATCACCGCCTGGCATCGTCTCGGCATAGATTATAGAAGTTTCTTGATATAAGATTCTTCAATCTGTCTCAACTTTTGCTTTAAAGCGGCAAAAAGTTCATCCTTGTTTGAATAATTTTTATCTCGTATTTGCTTATCTAAGTATTCCCATAGATTTTCAATGGGGTTTATATCGGGAGACTGTGAAGGCCATTTGAGAACTGGTATTTTTTTATCCAGAAAGAATTTTTTGGGAGATTTGAAGTGTGCTTCGGGTCATTATCTTGCTGGAACATTGATTTTAAGGGCATATTGTCTTCCATATAGGGTAACATGACATGCTTTAGTATGTCTGTGTATACAAACTTCTATAATGCCATCTATTCTATGTAAAAGTCCCATCCCAAACCCCGAAAAGCACCCCCAAACCATAACAGACCCGCCTCCATGTTTGACGGTGGGCAAAGTGTACTTGGGGTTCAATCTTTGTCCACTAGGACGTCTAAATGAACACCATCTGATCCAAACATATTGAACTTGGATTCGTCACTAAAACATATCCTCTTCCAGTCACAGATGCTCCAATCAAGATGCAACCGTGCAAATTGTAATCGGTCCTTACGGTTTTTCCTCGAGATTAGGGGCTTCTTACTCATGCGACGTGCAAATAACTTCAAATCATTTAATCTTCTACTTATAGTGTTCGTAGAAACACTGACAATTCCTTTTGTCTCAATTTCGGATTTTATTTGTCTTGGGGTTTTAAACGGATCTTTGGACGAAATTACTTTTATTAATCTAACTGATCTAGCATTTAGTTTTCTAGGCCAACCACTTCTCTTAGAGGCTTCCAAGATACCTTTTTGTTTCTATTTGTTCAATATTGCCCAAACTGCTTTACGTTTTAGCTTAAAATTTTTGGCAATGTCGACTTGACGTTGACCATCTTTGTAGAACTCAATGATCTTAGTTTTCACATCGAAAGAAATTTCTGGACCACGCGGCATGGTCTTAAAATCATTCAACTTATTCCACAATACTTGATGAACACAGACTAATCCTCTTCTGACACGAAACTGTACTAAACTAATGTTGAAAAGAATTTGTCTACATATTTTTGTCCCTCATGAAAAAAGTGCTTATATTCAGACTTGTATTGTGTTCATTGCAGATAATACTAATAACGTATTTGTTTATGGAGCAATGAAGTATGAATTCGTTTTCTAAAGGTATTCAGGTAAATATTCATATTTGTCTATATACTTTTGTCCATTACTATATATGACACTTTATTTGACTTTTGTAAATTACTCGGAACATATTTTGATAGCAGACTAAGTTTCACTAACATATTCATCATTTTTGTAAAAATGTAAGTAAAGCATATTTTGCTATATTGGTAAACGATTTTCTAAACGGAAAAACTGGTGAACATACATATATAGCCAAAAATCTTACATTACGGTATGGGGGAAATCATGTGAAATTGAGAGTATTTGTGACCCAAAAAAGAATCATCAGATTAATTTCTGGAATGACGCCACTTCACTCCTGCAGGGACATTTTCAAGTCACGGAAAATTCAGAATGTGTATTGCACTTACATTTTGAAATGTGTAACCTATGTTGTATAATAGTTCATTTCCAAATATCAATGTTTATCGTGATTACAACACAAGAAATCAAAATTTGAAAATAATTCAGAAACATACTACCACCTATTTCAAAAAGTTCCCATATTACAACTGCGTCATATTATTCAACAACTTAGTAGTTAAAACATTCATTTTGCAATGCAGCTGACTTGAAATGTACGAATTTGCACTTGAGTACATAAAGATGGCATTAATAATTAAATTGTATTGTTACATTATTATTGATCTTTAAAGCTTTGTATTGTATGTTTTTACCGCATATACAAATCTATTTTAGTCGAAAATTTCTTTCTAGTTCCTATTCTACGAGCAACCGCGCAGCATGTGCGAAGTTCGACACGGTTAAAAAGGGAGGCCAAAGTTAGGCGGGTCTGTCTGGCATGGACATCGCGCGGCGGCATCATGGAGGAGAGCTCTGAGGAGCAAAGCCCGTTGGTGTAGCAGTAGGAGAGAGCTAGATCGCCAACATAGGTGTCTCAAGATTTGTCGTAATAGTGCGAGTACCACTGAGTCTACTAAATCTTCATAAAATAAAAATATCGATTCATTCTTAATTGATACCTACTTTGCCATTCTGATATTGGAAAACAGGTACCCTGGATGTTCTGGTGCCACCTTGGGGTCTTTGTCACCATGCAGTATAAACGTTGGACATCTTATATCAGCCAGTTTGTTTTTACAAATATCTCCCCCATTTCTTGCCATTTCAATCAATGTATCACACCAGCTGTACCACATCTTCTCCAGACCATTTTCAGTATAAAGTTCTATCAAAGGAGCTTTCATTCTGTCAGACCAATTGCTTATGTCCCTCATTTCTGAAAAATGTATTTTTCAAACATTTTGCTCTTATTCACTGGCAAAAATGTTGTTGGAAACAAAATGAAAGATTCACATGTCAACTAGAACACAAAATAAGGGGAAACAACCGCCGAAATTTCAGGGTTTAAAAAAATTGCATGTGTTTCAATTTGCAGCACTTTTTTCATATGGAACCCCCTGAAGGGCCATCTGGGCCATTTATTGCTAAAACTGTATTATGTGTTGTAACACAAGTATATTTTCTTTTTGTGGTATATTGGTTCATTCCCCGTTAATTATTAGTATGAATAAATACGATTATATTATAATTTAATGATTTTGAAATAATCTAAAACCTATATCAACAGCTGTGGAAGGTTTACTTTTTACATATTTATAAGAGGCAAACATAACAAACATTTTTGCCAGTATGTTTTTGACAAGTTTAAGGCTGCTTACTCTCATATATTTTTACTTCCTCTGGCAAGATATATGAATTGACTCCCCACATTATGAGTTTCTCAACATTTTTAGGGTATTTTGCTGCCAGAATCATTCCTGAATTACCCCCATCGCTCCAGCCTAGTATTGAAAATTTATCATATCCCAATGCCTGCAAATTTAATTGTTGATAATAATGATAATAATCATTATTCCAACAGGTTTACACCCAGTCACAGGAAAAATCAATAGTAACATCAAAATGCTAGATTCTCTTATGTCTAAAAGTTCATTTTAGAAATTGAACTTAAAAATGAAAACAGAATTACAAGAAATAAAAATATAAGCGTGAAAATGAATGAATGCAAAATTGACACTAAAAAAATATATATATAAAAATTCCAGCTACATTTAGAAAAATACACATCACTGGCTAAGCACTGCATATGTTTGTTTAAAACTATTTAAAATTACTTGAATGGAATCATTATTGATGTCACATCCTTGGCAATAAAGCATGAAGACTAGGTGGGCCACAAAACCTATCTTAATCTAATCTTAAAGAAGATAAACTACTGAAAATCTTAATGAAAACAGTAATATTATAAGAGTATATTATTTATTAAATTTTCCATAAAAAGGACATAAGTGTCAAACGCATCAAACATACTTTTAACAGGAGGCATATGTCAGATATATTAGGTCTACCCCTAGCCCTGTAAAAAGTGGCATTAGAGCATGTAGATATTTTTGGCACCACAAAATTGGTTTTGGATAATAATTTTGGACAATGAAGTTTAAATTTATCAGTCTCTAGAGCACTGTAATTTTATTTAACTGATGACAATAATCCAATGTATCAAAATTCATGATTTGGAGCAATATATACTTTGTGGGAAGCCCTATTCAGGATGTGTCATAAACTTTGAAATCAATACATTTTAGGCTCTTACACTGATTCAATAGCTGAAATTGAATTTTGATAAATGAGTGCAGCATATTCCAGTTTACTGCTTAAATATTGTATTAAGGCTGTTTACATCTGTAAAACTAGACCAGCTTCTGACACAATATCCTAATATTTTATTTGCTGATAAGTCCATCTTGCTTACATGGCCAGAGAAAATAATTTTACTCTCATTCTTAACTACTGATCCATTACAATCCTGATTAATTATCTGCTATATTAGATTACTTATGCAGTAGAAGAATTCTACAAAGTGAGAACAGTATGAATCAGCAACATCACACTAAAATTTTAAAGAAATTTCCTGCACTTCTGAGTATATTTTCTGAAACATATCCCATTTATTTTTTATCTAGAGGCACTGGTATCAAAATATTCATTGATTTGTCAGTGTTCTACTCGTATAAACATTTTTTTGCTGCACAAGAGGCAGATCTTTTAAATTTGTGCCATATCTACTATTATGGCCTCAAGATTTTACCATATACTATCCTGTGCCTTGTGTGTTTTTTATCTATTCCAGGTTTAATAGGTATTAATTACTCTCCTCAATTTTGTGGTTATCATTCCACCATATCACCTTTTCTTATAAGCAAACAAAGTGTTATAAACAGGTAATGTACCTTCATAAAATTGAGGGCAGTATCAGCATCTTTTTCATAGAAATTTACATCAAAATGTCTTTCAGGGGGCCTGCTGTGTCCATATCCTGGTGGGTCCCAAGCAATAACAGTTAATTTATTTTTATCAAGGCCCTCGACTTGTGGTTTAAAATCAGTCCAAATCGATCCTAAGGCCCCAGGACAACACAAAACAGTCTTAGATCCTTCACCAACCTTTGCATAGTTTATTGTCTGGCCATTCACATTAATTTTTTGTTCCTAAAAATAAGTGTGCAGTATTGATATGTGTAAATTAGTACATTACTATTTATAAATATAATTACCTTAACAGTAGACATGGCTTTCCCATAAGTCTTGAATAAATTGCTAAATTTGTATATTTTAAAATTTTTAGTAATAAGCATTTTTCACTCTTCCTTGCTCAAGAACTGATACATTAAGCAATTAAATAAAATGTTTATCAAACCTCGTTTTATCAAAATAAATTAAATAACATGATAACAATGCCGTAATGTAAAGTTCAAGGAAATTGCATTGGATATAGAAATCAAATATTTAAAAAATTCAAGGTTAAAGTTAGCTGTCATAATTATTATGCTGTCATGTCACAGATCACCGAAAGAAACCTGCAGAAAGACAATCTTGCGCGGACGACGCTTGATTAACAGTCTAGTTCTGGCCAGAGTTGCCAGGCGTGGCGATTTTTCGCCAAAGTGGTGAATTGACGGCTTCAAAAAATGACGACTAAAATCGATACTACTACTTTAGTATTTTAGGCCCGTATCGTCAGTCGTCCCTACAATTGAAACGGTGAGTGGAAAAACGATATAACTCCCAAAAAAGGCATTTTAAACCAAGATAGCCAAAATGTTCTTCAACACAGGATCCTTCTACTGAGCGGAAAAAGCGTACAATATTCACTACGTGCACGCTCCCACGAAGCGGACAGATTTGGCATTGAGTGGAATAACGATATAACTCCCACTTATACTGATTTTCCACTCAACCATGCGCATGGCGCATGTCGCGCAGTCAGCTGATTTTGGACGGTTTGTCAGTAAGCATTCAGCTCGATCGTACCCTGTTTGCAGGTTATGTTAACATTTTCGCGTTTCCTCTTATATTTTACGTGATTAAAATGTCTAGCAGTGAAAGTTCGGATACGGAAATGATCGATCGTAAAAGAAAAAAAAGATGTCCTGAAACATGGAAGAGAAATGAAAGGAAGAAAGCTCGTCTTCTTGGAAGCCAATACACAACTAAAACTGGGAAAATAGTCAACAAAAGGGAGGTTAAAGCAGATTGCACGTAAGCTTTATTACTATAAAATAACACAATCGTTTGTAACAATATTATATTGTTTTTTTAGATGTAAAAAGAAATGCATGACTAAATTTAGGACGGAAGAAAAAGAAGCTGTTTTGAGAGCATTATACGAGAAAGGTTCAAAAAACGAACAAGATGTCTATTTACAAGGGTTAATGGAATGTAAACCAGTCGTTAGGAAGCGACCAAATAAAGAGGCCAGAGAAAAACTCAGGACAGCGAGTTTTTCTTATTACATACGAAAACCTTTAGAGAAACAACGTGTTTGCAAAACAGCATTTCTTAATCTACATTCAATCTCGAACTCTAGACTACAACGACTAAATAGATTGTTCGTGTCTCAGAGTTCACCTAGAGATTTATGTGGTACGCATAATAATCGACCTCATACATTACAACCTCAGGTTACTTCCAAAATCCATCATCACATTGAATCGTTTCCACGAAGGACTTCTCACTTCAGCTCTAAAGAAATTCACTATCTTGATTCAAATCTTAACGTTAAGACTATGTATAATCTCTTTGTAAAATTACACCCGGAATTAACAAAGATAGTTAAATATGAATTTTACTTAAAATTCTTTAAAGAGAATTTTGCATTAAAATTCGGGAGGCCTCAAGTAGATGTATGTGGACAATGCGAGGAATTAACAACAAAACTTAAGGATTCAAAGTTAAACGACAACGCTAAGAGAGTTGCTGCTGCCGAATTAATGGTTCATAAGCGTCGAGCTAAAAAATTTTACTCAAAGCTAAAGGAAGTCACTGATCTGTGCCATGAACGAGAAGATGTTGGTGGAATAGTTTTTGACTATATTCAAAATATGCCGCTGCCTGTTATACCTGTCCAGGAAATGTTTTATTACAGGCAACTACGGCTATATGGGTTTGAAATACACGATTTAAGAAATGATACTGGACATTTTTATACATACCATGAGGGACAAGCCGCGAAGGGACCCAATGAGGTATGCACGTTTATCAATGATTATGTGCAGAAAATGCCAGCGGAGATTCAAGAGCTGCACATATTTTCGGACGGTTGCCCGGGCCAAAACCGGAATAATACCGTAATAAGATATTTATTAGCACTTGCAGCTTCAAAAAGATTTCGCGAAATTTATCACTACTTCCCATTGCGTGGTCACTCTTTTTTACCGTGCGACAGGGACTTCGGATGTCTTAAGAGAGTGATAAGAAAACATGATCGTATATATCTTCCAGAAGATTATGAAAACATGATGCTCTCTTGCCGCAAAGTAAAGCCGTTTACTGTATCAACAATATGTTATAAAGATATAACTGATTACAAAACTTGGTGGCCCAAATATTACAAAAAAACTTGTCAATCTTCAGATGAAATAAAATCCAAATTTACACTATCAAATTACAGGCAGTTTACTTATGATAGTTCTACACCTGGATACCTCATCACTAGCGACTATATCGGAGGATTTGTGTCGCAATGTTTTAAATTAATCAAACCTAAAGCCATGCCAACTTTACCAACTAACCCTGCATATTCAAAGACATTACCAATAAATATAAAGAAAATTGATAATCTAAAAAAAGTCCTGCAATATATGTCGTCAGAAATATTGGAATCTATTACCATATTACTTCATGGGAAACCACCAACGCTGAATGTGAGGCAACTGAGGCGGACTAATAAAACTATTTTTATTGTATTATAGTATATCATAAATATGTTCTTTTCATCGTATCTAAGTGTATTTAGGTTAAATGTACATTAAATAATAAAAAGCATTCTAATTTGTAGTTTTATTTACTAATTAAATTCATGATTTGAGGCATGTTTAAAGTTGGGCGGAAAAACCGTATAAATCCTAGTGACGTTTTGACATGTAGATTATTTATTACAAAAAATAATTGATAATTCACTTTACATTCGTTCAGAGAACTTAATTGTCTACAAACTTGCAATGTATATATTTCTTGTATATTATATAGTTTTCAAACAAAACACTTTTTTGTGATTATCTCAAATTCGTATTTTTGGACTTATATCGTTATTACACTCACCGATTCAATTGTAGGGCGCGTTTATGGCCTCCTTGATTATCATACTCCTTTCTATCCTTCAAAAATTTCTAGATTACACTTGTGCCGTGTCAGCGTCAGCGTCAGCGCTCTCCTATTGTGAAGATATGTTTTCTTTTTAAATTGTAGGAAATTTCAGGCTGATAAAACATGATATAACTCAAAAGCAAGCACAATTTGATGCAAATAGATGTTTGTGAATTCAAGTTGTTCAAGGGGGTATTCAAAACATGGACTCATAAAATGGGTTCTCCAATTTTTGTGGGAAAACTTTTTATTCGATGAATATGATTAGACTATTTCTGATGCCAATTAATTTGTAATCCATTTTTGCTCATAATGCGTGCCATATACCCTATTTCACGAGTAACCATCACGCTTTGACGTCTACTGAGGGGAACAGCTGATCAGCAAGTGACATTTTTGTGTCAGTCTGCAACGTCGGCAATAATGCATAGGGTAGTAAAACTTGTTTGTGGCGTTTTGTTTTCTGTATGTAAATGAACTTTTCTAAATGAAAGAGCTGTTAGCAAGTACAGAGGAATCTGTAGCGTACAAAAAACCAAAACAAAATACGGCTCTGTCTACCTGGCGTTGACGGATCCGTCAGAATTATGTGTCCTGTGGCAATATGAGGGATTTTAAGGTAACACTAGATAATTGGCTGTTATTCTAAGGTGATGAATACTCGTGAAATATGATATAGATTAATGAAACGACCTGGACCAAAGGAAGTTCTGTGCTCTAACTACACAATTGTGTTAATGGTAAAATAATGCCATGTCAAAGTGTCGTGTCCAAGCATATCAACGGCATCCCATCCCAACACTTTTGACTCTGTGTTGCTAGCGTTGCACAATCTACGATTATTAGCCGCAAAAAATAAAATAAAAAAAAAGATCACGGGAAAGGTAAATACGCAGAATATTTCCCTCATGTATAAAGTGCCATAAGAGGAAGAATTATCGCAAAATTACAGCGAAAATTTCCCGTTACCTGGACAACGGGAAATTTCCATAAGTAATATCATTAGTGCATCTAATTTTTTCGAAAAAAAAAAACAAAACGAAAAAAACACGTTGCTAAGTGATATTTTAACAAGATGCATGAGTGCTGGTGGCAACAAAAATCCGAATCGAATACGAGGGTTTTTGCACCCGCACGAATGTTTTTTTTTAAATATTACTTTGCATTGTTTTTTTGATTTGACAGGACTACTTCATGAGTAACAGATTATTCTAACAAACACATATGTAGCTTACAATATTACAACATTTATTGACAATAAAATCAGAAAAATTATTGTTTAGCGTCGTTTTTTGGTGTCCAAGGATCAAAGGTATCGTAATTTTTGGTGACAACAGCTAAGTTTTGCCGCGGGTAAACTCGAAAAAACTGCTGACAGGTGCTGACATACAAATTTTCCATCTAGAAACCAATTGCAATTGCGCGTTTGTGATTCGTAGAAATTAAGACGAGGGAAATAGTCAGTGTTTTCCCCTTGGTATCTGGGTAGCCAGACCTGACAGACTAACAGACCGTCGAGACTTTTAACTAAGAGCAAAGCTCCACTAGACCGCTCTGACGAATAGTATAGTCAGTGAAAATTCCCCAGTAGTTATCGAAAATTTCCCTATAGATCCATATATAATACAGGGTGCTATTACTTTTTTTACCTATAAGTTTATGTGTTACCATGTGAGTCAAAAGTCATGTCATGTGGTATGCATAAAATGAACTGTCAAAGGTATGCCATTTATAGTCATGGATTCGTTTACAACACAACAACACATTTTGGTTATCCAAACTTATTACGAAAACGGTCGAAACATAAAAAATACTTTTCGCAAACTTCGCACTAGTTTTGGCCGACATGGACGCCCTACAGAGCCTGGAATTCGTTGGATTGTTAATCGTTTTGAGGAAACTGGTTTAGCTGAAGGTCGTAGACCATACCAACATGCTCGTCCAGCTCGTACTCGTGAAAACATAGCCGCAGTGACTGAAAGTGTGCGAGAAGATCCAACCAGCTCGACTAGGCACCGTTCGCAACAATTCGGAATTAGTGAGACCACTTTACACATTGATTTACACCTCCATTCATACTAAATCCAACTAACACAAGAATTGAAGCCGGCAGACGATCAATACCGGCGTGTTTTTGTTAATTGGATGCTGGAAAGAGAAGACGGATTTTCGGCCAAAGTGCTCTTTTCTGATGAGGCTCATTTTCACCTCAATGGGTACGTAAATAAGCAAAATTGCAGATTCTGGGGGGCTGAAAATCCACACCAATATCATGAACAACCTCTCCATCCTGAAAAAGTGACTTTGGTGCGGATTATGGGCTGGTGGCATCGTTGGACCATTCTTCTTTGAAGATGCCAAAGGAAAAGCCATTACCGTCAACGGGGAACCTTATCGCGGCAAGTTAACAGACTTTTGTGGCCAGAATTGGATCGTATTGGTGCCGACGATCTTTCGTTTCATCAAGACGGAGCAACGGCTCACACATCTCGCCAAACAATCGCCTTATTGCATACGAAATTTCAAGACCGCATAATTTCACGAAATTCAGATGTCAGTTGGCCCCCGAGATCGTGCGATTTGACACCTCTTGACTATTTTCTTTGTGGATTTTTGAAAGGAAAAGTGTATGCGAATGGTCCCCGGACAATTCAAGACCTAAAGCGCAATATTCGGACTGAAATTGCGGCCACAGACCCGATTATTCTGGGAACAGTCAATGAAAATTTTGATGTTTGGATGTTGGCCTGTAAACGAAGACGCGGTGGTCACATGACTGATGTTATTTTTCATACATAAATGGAATAAACCAACGATCATTTATCAATAAAAAATTTGATTTCACCTCGTAAAAAGCGTGTTGATTTTTCAACTAGAAAAAAAAAGTAATAGATGACGCACGCTGTAGTTTCACGATTGATGTAATGTGCATTTGTCATCTTGATATGCATAAATATTCAATTTATAATTTTTAGTTTCGATAAGTTCTGTCTCATTTTTATAAAAATGATCGGTAATTTCGATGCACTTACGTAATTACTTCCAAAAATGAATGCATTCAAAATATTTTTTGATAATTAATAACAACAGATGTCAGAATAATATTCTTCAGTGAAGAGAACCTTGACCAGTTATGCATCAGATTTGAAGAAAAAAATGGCACATTTTTATAGCAATAATGAACTTTTCTATTTGATACTAGTTTATGGTGTTTTCAGGACGCTGCTGATGCATCACGGGTATATTCAGATCGTTTTCCTGGTTGATTTCATCCCGTGCCGCACAGAATATGCTTATTTATTTCACACGATGGTGATTTGCAGAAACGTCGCGGAGCACACCTGGGCAGCCCCGAATGTTGCAAATTGGAGACATTAATAAACTTATGAATCAGACAACTTGGAACAGTATTTATAAGAAACATGTATGAGGGTCGCCTAAATAGTTTCCGACCATAACGTGAAGATGGTAGTCCCCCACCTCAAATGTCCTTCTGGATCCACCCCCACTGTGAATAATAATAATAATAATAATAATAATAATTTTTATTGGAATGTTTATACATAAAAATATAAAAACGACAACATTCCAAAAGGAAAGAGGATTGGCAGGGCCATTTTTCACCTCCCCCTAAAAAGTTAACTTCATGAGCGTTTTTTAACATCAACAGAATGATTAGTATTCACAACAAATATTATGCACAACACAGTATATAATATGATATAGTCTGAGTGTTAATGGAGGATAGTGTAGCAAGCGTCATAAATTTAATTTGTGGATTCAAATCTTTGCAGCTGTAGTAGCACTTTTTCCATCTCATTTCTGAAGTTTTGGATGGAAGCTGCTTCAAAAAGTTCTAAATGATCGTTTAGTAGATATGGTGCCGTGTAAGTAAAACATTTTTTGAATTTAGATGTTGTATGAACTGGAATATTGAAGTATTCATTGTTGCGTAAGGAAACTTTACGGAGTGAACATCTCTTCTCCAAAGCAATAAACAGATATCTGGGTAATTTATATTTTAAAACTTTATATAGTAGAGTTCCATACTGAAGTAATACACGATACTTGAATTGTAAAAGATTTTCTTATAGTTTCGTTCAGATTACACGTCTCTAATTGTTCTCCTCTAAAATTGAAAAATGATTAGTATAGCGTCCAAAAAAACATTATTTTCAAAAAATTTCGCGATTACAATACAAGGGTGGTCCCAGAAGTACCCGGCCTGACCTAGAGATGGCGTATTAGAAAGTATGCAACCTATAAAGCATATGTCTCAAGTTTGAAGACGCTACGTTGTTTAGTATTTGTTTGGCAGGCATCAATACTGAACGTTTTCAGTGAATTTGTGAAAATGGAGAAAATTGGTCATCGTTATGTGGTACAATACTTTTATTTCAAAGGCCTCAGCCTAACCAATATAAAAGCTGAACTGGATTCTACTCTGGGTGAGTCTGCGCCTTCGTTTACAACAGTAAAATATGGGGTAGCAGAGTTTAAACGAGGCTGTATGAGCTGCCAAGACGCGCATCGCAGTGGTCGACCAAATGAGCTGACGACTCCAGAAATGGTGAAGAAAATTCACAAAGCGGTACTGAATGATCGTCGACTGAAAGTGCGCGAGCTAGCAGACATAGTAGGCATTTCAAAAAGTGCGGTTCATCGCCTATTATCTGAAAATTTGGACATGAGAAAGCTGTGTGCAAGATGGGTGCCGCGATTGCTCATAATCGAGCAAAAACAGTGTCGTGAAGATGTTTCAATTGCGTGTTTAGCGAAGTTTCACAAAAACAAAAAATGTTTGCGTCGTTTCATAACCATGGATGAAACACACACCCGAGACAAAAGAATAATCAAAACAATGGACAACCTGCTCCAAAGAAGGCGAAGACAATTTCATCTGCAGGCAAGGTTATAGCGTCGTTTTTTTGGGATGCGCGTGAGATAATTTTCATTGACTACTTTGAAAAAGGTAAAACTATCAGCGGCGAGTATTATGCGAACTTATTGCAACGTTTGAGCGATGAAATGAAGCACAAACGCCCGCATTTGGTTAAGAAGAAAGTGTTGTTTCATCAAGACAATGCACCAGCTCACAAATCCGTTATTACAATGGCCAAAATTATCGAATTAAAGTTTGAATTGCTACCTCATGCACCCTATTCACCAGATTTAGCCCCCTCGGATTATTTTCTGTTTCCAAACTTGAAAAAATGGCTCAGTGGTCAAAGATTTTCCAACGATGAAGAAGTAATGTCGGCAGTTAATGGCTATTTTGAGGAGCAAGACGGTTCTTATTATAAAAAGGGTATCGAACTTGTGTGTATAGAGCTCAAAGGAGATTATGTTGAAAAATAAATACATTTTTTTACAAAATGTTTGTGTTTTCTTCGTTGCGTCGGGTACTTCTGGGACCACCCTCGTAGTTAGAATACTCGCCCAGTGACGTAGGAAGTAACAACGTTTCAAATCAATAATACCAAAATCAACACTTGTGGAAGATTCAATTATTTATAATGATGGCAAATTTTTTCTTCCTGTTACTATCAAAACAAATCTGCAGTTAAAAAATATTCCGCCGTAAAACATATTCTTATATAGACACAAATAAATGCTCGTCATAAATAGTAGTTTATTCAAAAATGTAACAAACGCATGTACAAGTAATCTAAAAATAAGTAATTTACATCATGGACAAGACAGAAAATAACAGTAATCTTAATATGGAGGGTTACCTAACTGTATCCTCTGTATGAAGAAGTCAAAATAAGAACAAATTTGTTGGTCCCCATAAATTTGACAATGATAATTAATTGCAACCAATCCTAACAAAAACAGTACCAGTAAAACAGTCCAAAGGAATGCCATCTTTAGTGAGTCACACAATGTATGCCTGAAAAAACATTTTTTATTCAGAATAAAATGAGAACCTATTTTTAAAATATTCATTTCATTGTAATCATTAACTCGATGATCTGATCTGTTAATGAGACCATACTACATATTTTATAATCAAAATCATCATCAAAAATTAGGATTCAAGATAAATAAATAGTTGAGACGTGGCATTTCATTCAGTATTTCGGTAAACATACCTGCTATCAGAAGATTTCTTAGGTTTGGAGAACATTCTACTAATTGTTAAGTCTTCCGTGTCCGTTTGCTTTTCTTGACTGAAATAAATTGATCGATTCAATTCACACATTTCTGTTGTATGTACATGATACAGTTTGTCGACCACATCCAAAAAAGACGAAAGTTCTAGTCTACTGCTTTCTCTCATCCACACAAATTAAATATAAACTCAGGTGTAAATAATTATAAACATAAATGGTAAGTTCGTATGTTTTGCTGCTTAATTGATCACAAATTAGATTTTAGCAAGCATGTAGAGAGACACACAGCTTTAAGCAATTAATTTGCCTTATTATTTGAAAGCAGACTAAGATACAGTATTTCGGTTTGGTATACAGTAATGGACAAAAGTATATAGACAAATTAATATTGTGCTGTATTTCTTTTTTAACTTGTTTTATTAATACACCAACCTGTATACATAATTCGTTATAGCATAATACTCACTTATACATAAATAAATTCATAAGACTCCCTTCAATAAAAAATTAATTGAAAAAAGCTGGAACTATGAAGGACAAAAATATATAGACAAAGCAAAACAATTATAGAAAAAAGAAGCAAAGTTCATTGAATTATAGAAAATCAACCATGTTTGTGTTAATATTTTGTAGCATAACCATTATTATCAATCACCGCCTGGCATCGACTCGGCATAGATTGTAGAAGTTTCTTGATATAAGATTCATCAATCTGTCTCCACTTTTGCTCTAAAGCGGCAAAAAGTTCATCAGTGTTTGAATAATTTAATCTGGTATTTGCTTATCTAAGTATCCCATAGATTTTCAATGGAGTTTATATCGGGAGACTGTGAAGGCCATTTTAGAACTGGTATTTTTTCACCCAGAAAGAATTTCTTTGCGAGATTTGAAGTGTGCTTCGGGTCATTATCTTGCTACAAGATTAATCTTAAGGGCATATTATCTTCCATATAGGGTAACATGACATGTATGTCTGTGTATACAAACTTATCCATAATGCCATCTATTCTATGTAAAGGTCCCACCCCAAACCCCGAAAAGCAACCCCAAACCATAACAGACCCGCCTCCATGTTTGACAGTGGGCAAAGTGTACTTGGGGTTCAATCTTTGTCCGCTAGGACGTCTAACGTAATGATCACCATCTGATCCAAACATATTGAACTTGGATTCGTCACTGAAACATACCCTCTTCCAGTCACAGATGCTCCAATCAAGATGCAACCGTGCAAATTGTAATCGGTCCTTACGGTTTTTCCTCAAGATTAGCGCCTTCTTACTCCTCTTCTGACACGAAACTGTACTAAACTAATGTTGAAAAGAATTTGTTTACATATTTTTGTCCCTCATAAAAAAATGCTTATATTCAGCAGTCTTGTATTGTGTTCATTGCAGATAATGTAAAAACAAGGAATTTAGTTTTTCTACTAATAACGCATTTGTTTATGGAGCAATGAAGTATGAATTCGTTTTCTAAAGGTATTTAGGTAAATATTCATATTTGTCTATATACTTTTGTCCATTACTGTACATGTCCTCAGCATTGGTTTAAAAAGTGTATATATATCAGAAACGAACTATTAGATATACATATAACCAAAGTACCATTATCTGGGCATAAAGAATAAACTAACGCATATTATATATATATATATATATCCAACATGCATCTTAATTCAAGGAACTGGTGCAACTTATTGACAACGCGGCAGACTGCCGCGTCAGCGTTGCTGGGCAACGCGGTGATGAGATTCGCTATCCAGCTGCCGTTTGTCTCTTTCCAACATATGCGTCTATACACACGTCTCTCTCGTACACATTGAACTCAAGCCGTCAGATAAATTTGGTTCTCAGTGTATTTTAGTTTCTAGTCAGCTTTGCCAAGAGGAAGTATGTTATTCTTCAGATAATAAAGAACATTTATCTAATGAAACAAGGTATTTTTGTTGTAGTATAATTCAAGATCCATAATAATAGTCCTCTCATTTAGGTTTTCACCATACGACTTAAAATCGTGCAAATTTAGAAAAACCTCTATTTACCACAAGCTATGGCTCAAAAATAGAAATAGATCAGAAGTTCACCTACCGTGAAATTTGGATTGCCGCCTTATCTTCTCTTAGCACAGATATATAATTCGTAACCAGCTTCCAGCATGTTGCCATTCGGTTTTCACATGTAAGCATTCCCATTTGGCCAGCAGACTTCAATGTTTTTTGAAAATGTTCACTAAGGTTTTGTAACAAGTCTAAGGCCGATTCTAATGAACCTACCGCTGTGCATCTACAACAGATAAGAAACTGACATTCTTATGTGGATTTTTCACATAGGAACAATCTAATCTAGTAAACATAACTAGCTTTTCAACCGAAATTGAGAAATATGGTCTTCTTATAGGAACAAATACTACTTGTTAAACCTTATAGAAATCAATCGTTTTCTATTTTTAATTGTGAGTCTATGAACAACAACAAAGTAATGTATTTTTATAAGTTTTTAACTTTTGGTTAATTATACAGCGTAATAAGAGAAATTTCTGCATTGACTCTGTATAAAATCAAAATAAAAGACGTCGTGAAAAAAATTATCTGCAGAGATACACGTTCTGTACAATTTTGTGCTAGACGAAAACAGTTATGGAAGCAAGGATGTAAATTTAAATTGTTGATAAAATGTTTATTTGGATACTAATGGTTCACTGGCTGCACTTACTGACATGAGTAGAGATGAAGTTATAGAAAAGATGTGGTTTTTGATAATGGAAGGCAGTGCATCCTGTTTCACAGAGGGTGTCAGATTTAGGATAATAATACCTTATTTTGATTTGCTCTGTAATGCAATCTAAATTAACTTAACAACAAGAAACCGAATAGGAAAACTAAAGTCTGATGTTAAACCTCCATGTTTGTTTGGCCAATGAAACCATATGTATTTAAAATTATTCTTAAATGTATTCGTTTCAGTCACCTCTCCTTCACTACATTTCATGCTCGTATACACATTAAAGGAAAACATTTAAATACATGTGGTTACATTCAAAAAATATTTCAGAGAAAATGACAACAATAATATCAGTGCTAACATCAGTGACTCCTTTTCAGAAGATTCTTCTGCGGAAGACTCTTCAGATTCCATTTTGCACACCAACAGAGCTCCAAGGCCACATGAAGGACCTAAATGTGCGTAAAGCACATGGCGAGGATCAAATCACCAACAAAGCACTGAAGTTGCTCTCGCTCAAGGCTTTGAATTATCTGGAGACAATAATCAATACAATGCTCAGAACTCAGCACTTTCCTAAGGCGTGAAAGATTGCTGAAATCATCATGATCCCGAAAAGGTAGGTTCGATATTCCCAAAGGATTACCGTCCCTTTAGCCTGCTGACAGTTCCTTCTAGGTTCACTGAAAAAGTTAGGCAGTTAGACTGGTGGAGCATGTACCCAGGGGGTTCACAAGGTGTGGCACATAGGCCTCTCGCATAAGCTAATACAAAAGGGCTTTCCATTTTGGCTACTAAAAATCTTGTCTAGAAGAAAGGAAGTTTCGGATCAAAATTAACAACGTGTTGTCAACAACACGGCTCGGCCCGTAAGAGCCGGTATTCCTCAGGGTTCGGTCTTAGGACCAATCCTTTATTCACTTTATATACGTGACGTTCCTTGTCCCAGTCTATCTCTATACTGACGACACTGCACTAGTAGCCCAATCGTGTTCTGGTAACCTGGTTGACAACAGGCTGCAGAGTGCGATGGAGGAAGTATTGGAGTGTGAGGATCGGTGAATGATCAAAATTAATCATTCAAAAACGCAGGCAATCTATTGTACTAAAAAACGTCGCGGTGCCCCATAGGAGATATATATATATATATATATATATATATATATATATATAACAGCTGCCACTCTTTAATTGTTCTTAAGATCATCTAGGGTAAGAATTTCAAATTAAACACTCTACAAGTATATGAAAAAAGCAAATGGATTGATAGAGGTGTCAAGTGACAAAAAATAATGTCTACAATAAAAACTGTTACCTGTGCTCCCTCAGGCCGACCGATATCTCATTCAACAAGCAAAAGCAGTTTCTGTGATACTGCTCACATTGTTCTTGTTGCTGAAGTAGCCTTTCCTGAATATCTACAGAATCCAAATTTATTTGAGAAGCAAGCAAAATGAAGATTTTCTCTATTTCTGGTCTAGATAAGCTCATCCTGGAATAAAATCATCTTATCAGAAAACAACTTCTTTTAAATAAAACAAAAAACTTACGTGGAAGAATATTCTGCAATTCCCAACTTTTCAAGGAAAGCATCAGTCACATGTGGGAATATGAAGTTTGATTGGAAACAAATCTGAAATGTTAGTTTGTTGATTAATGTACAGTAGGGGACAAAAGTTTGGAAACAAATTTTAATATTATAACTATTTTAAAATTGTGAAGAAACAGATAATATAAATATTCAAGTCTACCTTTGTCTCCCGTACTAATACAAGGTTTATCTTATTCACCAATATGTATTCAAATTCTCTGAATATAAAAACATGCGTTTTTTTAAATACCACAGTTTTTAAATATTAACATCAGTGAGAGTGGCAAAAGTAGAAGAATTTTCAAAGGATTTAAGAGACAAAGTAATTGAATTATTTAGAAGTGTTGTCAGAAATGTTGACATTTCTCAAAGATTAAAAATGAACAAGGGGACGATTTCGAAAATTATTAGTAAATATCAAGAATACGGACCAACAGCAACGTGGCCGGAAGACCGAAAAAACCGATTATGTTTTGGATCGCTACAATAAACGTTTGTCCCATGGCGATCCTCGAATGCCAGCCACACAGATTTTCAAAAGACTCGTAGAAGAGGATGCCGAGAATCTTTCTGTCAGAACAGTGCAGAGACGCTTGGTGGATTTTGGGCTTTTTGGTAGGCGTCCAGTGGAAAAGCCTCTCATTTAAAAAAAAAATCGTTTTGCTCGGCTTGAATTTGCTAAAATTCATCTAACTTGGACATAACAACAATGGAATACAGTTTTATGGAGTGATGAAAGCAAATTTAACTTGTTTGGATCTGACGGTACGGTATATGTGATACGTCTAATCCGAAAAAGATTAGACAAAAAGTAAGTTGCCAACAGTTAAGCACGATGGAGGCAACATCATGGTTTGGGGCTGTTTTTTTAGTTCTGGAACGAGTCTAATTGCTAAAATTGTTAGGAAAATGGTTCAAAGATATATATTCTTAGTCAACAGATGCTCCCTTTTGCTGAAGAAGAAATGCCTTTACGATGGACATTCCAGCAAGATTAAGACACCAAGCATACCTCAAAATTCGTAAAGGACTGGTTAAGACTAAAATGTTAATGTTCTTACATGGCCTTCGCAATCTCCGGACCTAAACCCTATAGAACATCTCTGGAAGCATTTTAAAAGACAACTGACTAGAAAAACTTTTCAAAATAGGAAGGATTTATTTCATTATCTAACAGTATTTTTCAAACCTTTTTGTAGAGTTATTGTATTTTGTAATAAAAAATATGTTTACACACTTTAGTCATTTGTATCCTCAAAACTGTAAGCAAACTATACGAGAAAAAAATATTAATAAAGAATAAAAACTTGTTGTTGAATGTTTCCAAACTTTTACCGCTACTGTATATCAAAAAAGAATATTACCTCTGGAATACTACGAATCTCGCAAATACTGCTATCTCTAGATTCTGAAGCGCGACTTTTTGAAGCTTGGCTGTCAGGACTCAAGGATACCTGCAATTACGGTATATCATGTATTCTAGCTTAAAGTACTCATTATTGGAGGTAATACACAAAAACCCAGCGAAAGTGCATATACTTTTCAGATTTTTTGTGCGTTTAAAATAATGTATATTTTAAAGCTGACATGTTTTGTAGATGATTATTCAGGTTCACAAAATATACCAGCCGTCTCATTAGACTGGAGAAAACGTCTATTTAAACAAGTGTTTTACGGCGTAGTATAAAATAATATAAAAAAATTAAAAATATCAGTAGGTATTAGAATAAATTAGAATACGTAAGTTTGCATGAGCTGTTTTGTTCTAACCGTTTGCACAAAAGATCACAAAAAATGTTCTTTTTTTCAAAACTCAACTAATTTTTTTATTTGAAAAAACTAACGCATGAAGAGGTGTCGTAACTTAGGAAATATTTCTCTTGAGGTGATTTTATGGTGAAAATATAAACCCAACTTTCCTGTCTGACAAAAGTTAATTTGTTTTATAAAAAAAACATTTAAAAATCAAAAAGCGCACAAAGACTCATTTATAAACTGCATTTGAAGTGCATTCCACTAAATTTATTAAAAGTCTATTCAGCTTCCCTGGGTTTCTAGTATACAGGGTGTCCCAGAAATGACACGCCAGAGCGTCACGGGAGTACAAGTTTTATAGTTTTCGAGATATCGCCACTTTTAGGTTTTTTACTAAATCAGTACTTTTTGCTCATATTTTGTCTGTTATGGTTGTTAAGAACTGTATTCCTTAGTGATTTGGATACAAAAGAAGGCTGCACTTATTAGAAAGAACCTACAAATGTTACACTATTTTTAAAAGACCATTAAATAGGCTAGTTTTTAAGATGATTTGCCAAATCAGTCAGGTACATTTTTTCGCAGTAATTAGTCAAACTTTAGTAAAGGTTTTCACAATGAAACAAAATACTACTATTACTAAATCAGTACTTTTTGCTCATATTTTGTCTGTTATGATTGTTAAGAAGTTCATTCCTTAGTGATTTGGATACAAAAGACTGCTGCACTTATTTTTTATTTGTAGTATTTCGCAAGTAGTACGACTTCAAAGACAAAACTTTAATTTTTAAATTTTTAGTAGAAAGAACCTACAAATGTTACACTATTTTTAAAAGACCATTAAATAGGCTAGTTTTTAAGAGGATTTGCCAAATCAGTCAGGTACATTTTTTCGCAGTAATTAGTCAAACTTTAGTAAAGGTTTTCACAATGAAACAAAATGCAATATTTTTTTTTAGCCTGCCGTGAAAGTTTTCAACGAAATGAATACTCAGGCAAAAAGGAGCAAAAAGTAGTGATTTATTGAAAAAACCAAAAGCGGCATTATCTCCAAAACTAGAAAACTTTTACTAAGGTCATGTTGATTTTATCTGATTGATTTGAAGCCAATCTACCTCCCGTATCACTCTGGCGTGTTACTTCTGGGACACGCTGTAGTAATTAAAAAAGTTATTGAATACCCTATTAACAATAATAGATTCTTCTTTGATGCCACTTTGGTTTGCAAAACTGCTATTGAGCATTGGAACAAAAGCTGGTGCATTGCCGCCTGTTTCTAAACTGGAAGAATCTGGGCTTACCGATCTCACTGAGAAGCGGACAGGACGTAGCGTGAATTTTTTCACAGTTTTTGAATCAGCCCTAAAAAAAATTACCCTTGTTACACCAACTGAGACAATGCGAACAAAAAGAAATAACAGAAACATATCCAATTTAATTTCGGTATCTCAATTAACTTACAAAATCGACTGCAGCTTTTGACAACCCAAACTTTTGTCAGCTGGATCAGATAAGATTTTGCTTTTCTGAAACACAAAAGCAGTTTGTAGCGAATTTATTATTAATTTAATAGTATCATAGTATCCAAGTAACTTTAATAATACTTACCAGTGTTTGAAGCATCATATTAAAATTTGAGATATTACTAAATAAATCATGTAGCCCTATAACTGATTTTTGGCATTCCTTTATTTGTGGCAAGACAGCCGAGTCACTTTGAAGATTGTTTCCCCATTTTTCTAGAAGAAGCGAAAATGTCCTACAAAGAAAATTTGACAGTAATTATTACCGTATTATTATAATTTTGAAGATTCTGTGAGTTGCTGCCTGATCAGACAAATTAAAGTACATGCACTATTAAAACGCTGATACAACTGATCGAGCCAAAGACTCGTTCTGAAAACCATACAATAACACAAGTTTGCCAAATTTAGATAAACGATAAGAGCAGTAAGCAAAAAACGACAAGATTTTACACCGCAGTCGTCGCAAATATCAAAAAATTATTTTTTAAAATTTTAAATCTTTTACTATTTCTCTTATTATGCAACTTTTATACAGGGTGTCCCGAAAAAAGTGTGCAATATACTACCAGCGGTTTCTAGATCTTAAAATAGAAGGAAAAGTTTATATAAACATAGGTCGACAAACGTGCCCTAAGGGCGCTACGGTCTGTTAAAGGGGCTCTCCTGAAGATGGTTTTTCCTTAATATTTCCGAAACGTGTTGAGATAAAGACATAAAATTTGGTGTTCTAGCCTAGTTTTTTATGCTGGATTTTAAAATATTAACAATTTCAGACAGTTTTGTTTGGAAGCGTATGTAACAGGGACGAACTCAGGTTATTGTAGCCCCAAAATTTTTGTATGATTCCATTTTTGAAATTCAATTTTAGAATTAGAAAATTTAGGGTTTTCTACATAAAAAGGTACTCGCATTGAATATCGATAAATTGTGCAATTTTTGAATAAAATCAAACTAAAAAATTTGTCACATGATAGGAAATGTACTGCGAATTTAAATGAATTGTTGAATAATTAGCCATGGCAACGAAAAAAAACTAATTTAATAATTGGTGGATATTACATAAATACATATTTCTATTGCAACATAGCTAACATTTAGGCAAAAACAAAAGAAATAAATTTTTTCTACGAACGAAATTGAAATTTGTTTAAAAAAGAAGACATATAGTTGGATATACTTGAAACTAGCTTTACAATAAGTGTTCAAATAAATTCCCATTTTGTTGGATACAGAGTCTCGCTCGACGAACTAATGATTGCGGAGCCCGAAAAGTGGAAAACCTTTTTCTTCTTATTTCATTTGCAGCCTGATGGATTCTTTGAAGTAAATCTTCTTGAGTATTTACTTCAGTCGAGTAAACTAGGTCTTTTAATGACCCCCAAAAATAGAAATCCAATGGATTTAGGTCAGGTGAACGTGGCGGCCACGCTATAGGACCTCCTCGGCCTAACCACCTGTCTGGAAAATTGACATTCAACCAATTTCGAATACTGCGTCCAAAATGTGCAGGGGCGCCATCATGTTGAAAAAACATATTTTCTTGAAACTGCTGGCGCACATCCAATGGTATTATATCCATGAGCTCATTCTGAAGAAAGTTCAGATACACCTCTGAATTAAGACGAATGGGAAGTACGATAGGCCCAATTACTTGATCCCCAATTACTCCTGCCCATAAGTTCAATGAAAATCTATGTTGGAAATTTGTACGGCGAACAACTTTTGGATTTTCATCTGACCAGTGATGCATGTTATGGAAATTAAAAGCACCATTCCTAGTTAATATTCACTCATCCGACCATAATATTCTAGGAATTTGCTAATATCCACTGGCAAAACTCGATTCGTGGTAAAAAATCTGCCTCCGTTAAATGCTGCACCCGTTTAAAATGATAAGGATGTAATCCTTGCATTCTTGTCATTATTCCTATCTAAAATTATTATTTTTAGGATAAATATCAAATAGGTATTCATACATTTTTCTTACTATTGATCGAGGTATATCCATAATTTCTGAAACATTTCGTATGCTTATTTGCGGAATATTTTCAAACATATTTAAAGCAATATCCATACGATGATTTCCCAGTGGCCTTCCTGAGCCCTGCGTGCGCTGAAAACTTCCATGCTTTGACAAATTCTGGTGAATATCAGTAAACATTCGATGTCCAGGTACTATGCGATTAGGAAATCTTCTTTGATTTTCTCTTACGGCTGCCAATGAACTGCCATTGCAAAACCCGTATACAAAATGCATGTTAGTCCGTTCTCTGTCTGTAAATCTTGGCATTTTAAATCGATTTAATAAAAAAATTGATTTTAATCTAGTAATTTTACACTGCTAACAATGTCAGCTTAACGCCAAAATAAGTCATAACAAATCAAAACAACTTTTGTTTGCAGTCATGGCTAACTATGTATAATCAACAATTCATTTAAATTCGCAGTACATTTCCTATCATGTGACAAATTTTTTAGTTTGATTTTATTCAAAAATGGCACCATTTATCGATATTCAATAAGGGTACCTTTTTCTTCTTATTTCATTTGCAGCCTGATGGATTGATTGATTGAATTTCAAAAATAGAATTACACAAAAATTTTGGGGCTAAAATAACCTGAGTCCGTCCCTGTTACATACGCCTCCAAACAAAACTGTCTAAAATTGTTAATATTTTTAAATCCAGCATAAAAAACTAGGCTAGAATAAAATTTTATGTGTTTATCTCAACACGTTTTGGAAATATTAAGGAAAAACCATCTACAGGGGAGCCCCTTCAAAAGATCGTAGCGCCCTTAGGGGACGTTTGTCGACCTATATTTATATAAACTTTTCTTTCTATTTTAAGCTCTAGAAACCGCTGGTGGAATATTGCACACTTTTTTCGGGACACCCTGTATAGCTGATTTTTGGTATATCAACTCGTTTTGACGACTCCGACAAGCAGATAAAATAAATGACTCAACTTTGAAAACACTCTGTATAATCAGATAGCCGTTCTAATAAAGCAGTATTAAACTTATAAAAATGCGAATAAAATTTTTGAGAAAACTTTTCACATTTTGCAGTACCCTCATATTTTTTAGACAAATGTTAAAATAACTAAACAAATGTCGATCCAAATCCTAGGGTATATTATATCAATCTTCTAGTTTTACAAAGGTATTTCCAAATATTTGATTTAATATAGGGTGTTCATTAAAAAAAGTTTTTTGTGCCTCAGAATTGAGCAACACCCTTTATATTCCCAAATAACTTAGAGATACGCGAGTTTTCGTATACCTTATATAGCTATTGAATTAAACAACTTTCCATTTTTGTTGGGACACTCTGTAAATACGACAAAAAAATAGGGACGATAGGCGAAGGGCAGATCTACAGCATAACACAAAATGACCCTAGTAAAAGTTTCATTGTTTTTGAGATATCAATTTTTTTGTCTCTATTCTTTTAATCTATCTTTTGTAGCTGTGCCTAGAAATAACAGGATATCTGTTTTTTTATTTGCAAAATATTCTCAGATAGTTGGTCTGCCATTTGAAATGTCATTTTCGATAAATATGAATAGGTAAACTTGACAAACGAATTTCTTTTTCGTAATTTTTCTTAATCAGCAACAAAAGATAAATCAAGCGAGTGAATTTAAAAAAAACAAAAAAAATAATATCTCAAAAACAGTGAAACTTTTACTGGAGTCATTTTCCGGTATGTTGGAGATCTGCCTTTCGCCTATCTTCCTCATTTTTTGTCATACTATTTACCGGACACCCTGTATATTGTAAGTGCTCACGTGAGTTATATCATCAAGTTCCCTGCATACATTAGAGACAAGTTAACTAACTAGGCAGGCTTATCCTGAGGGGGCTATCGCACCAAATTTTCAATACCCTGTGTTCCCAATAGAAAGCCTTTCTCTGCTTTGCGCCCATTGGAATATTTGATTAGCATAACATGACATCACTATATACACACCTTGATAATGCATCGTTGCATTGATAGATTAACTCAATTTTGGCTTCTATTTCACTTTGTATAATAGTCAATTCTCCTTTAGCGTCACTGATTTGATGATTCAAATCATTCACGTCTTCATCCAAAGCCCTCAATGTACTCCTTCCTGACTCAATCGTCTCTTTCATGTTCTGCGTATCTTTTTCCAACAACCTGATCTCCTGTAACTTATTGTTTTCCTCCAATAACTTAGCGAAAGCCTTTTCCTTGTCTTTAAGTTCTATACCTTGATTGTTCACTTTTTGTTGTAATTCTGCCACACTAGCTTTGATACTATCTATTGTTGTATCCTTGTCAGATAGGGCTTGCGACAGATTTGTAATCGTGGCGTTATATCTTTGCAGCAACAAGCTCTGTTCATTTAGTTTTGTGTTGAATTCGGCGCATGTTTTGCTTGAAACTTCCAACAGATGATTCAGGTTGTCATTTTGGAAGTGCAAGCTACTACAAAGACTATTCTTATTAGACAGTTCTACCAGAATCTGATTCTTTTGCAAGTCAGCTTCTTCGAGCTGCCTCTTCAAGCTTTCAGCTCTGGCTTTTACCTGTTCAGAAAATAATAATAATATATTTATTTATTGCATCATTAACATCACAGCATAACATTAAAAAAAGTAATTTTGACAACCAAATCAAATGTATACAGGGTGTAAACGTTATGGTAGTCATTATTGAAATTGGGCGGGTCAAAACAAGTCAAAAAGTTCATATGACCCATGGTCCAAAAGTAAATAGATTTTTGTCTAAATGGCTTTATAGTTTACAACTTTAAGTGCTTTATATCGACCACAATCACCACAATCTTACTAATTTTTATAATCTAATCTAAAAGGTTTTTAAATTGGGTAATTAACAAATAAATGGCATTAAGTTTTTCTAAGTTAAGCCAAAATTTGTAGTGAGTAAGTTTCATTAAATTGAATATTTAAAACACCCATGACAACAGCGCGTCGGTCTTTCATCACTCTTATCGAATCGATTGCAAACGGTAACAGTCACGGGCATCGGGCGTGCTGTTTTGTTTTTGTTCGCGTACGTCGTCGTGTTTTTTTACAATGTTCTCGAATCAAGAGTTCGCCGACATGTTGTTAGTTTACGGTGAAGCTCGTCAGAATTCAAATCTTGTAGCTAAAATTTATCGCGACAGATTTCACCAACAGACAAAAGGACATTTGTGCAAGTGTACCAAAGACTTCGAGATACAGGAAGTGTTCAGCCCACTAATATTCGCACTCGTGAAAGACAGGTTACTGTAGAGCAGGAGGAACAAATTTTAAATATCGTGGAAATCAATGCAGATATCAGCACTCGGGAATTAGGCCGCCGCGTAGGACTATCGCATACCATAGCCCATAGAATCCTACGGGAAAATTTGATTTATTCCTACCATGTCAACGAGTGCAGGCCTTGTTACCAGAAGACTATCCTCGAAGACTAACATTCTGTCAGTGGTTTTTGCACAAAAACATTGAAAATCAGGATTTTTTAAAAACATTTTAGCGACGGACGAATGTACTTTTACGCGAGACGGGATATTAAATTTCCATGATACTCACACGTGGGCTCAAGAAAATCCTCATGCCATTCGTGAAGGTGATTTCCAACAACGTTTTAAAATAAATATTTGGGCGGGTATTCTTGACGATCAGGTAATTGGCCCTTTCGAGTTACCCCCAAAGTTGTCAGGAGAAGGATACCTTAGCTTCCAAGCCAATAACCTACCAGAACTTTTGGAACAGACCTTAGACAACATGCCATTACAACGGAGACAGAATTTGCAGTTTCTTCATGACGGAGCACCACCACACATTTTTAGAGGCGTCATTTAGTATTTGAACGAACATTATCCAAATCGCTGGATCAGTCGAAATGCTCCTGATCCTCGAAAATGGCCAGCAAGATCTCCTGACCTCAATCCGATGGATTTCTGGTATTGGGGAGAACTTAAAGGGATGGTTTATGGGGCTGGTCCAATAACAACTGAAGCACAACTTTGCGAAAAAAAATTTAATGCGGCTGAAATAATAAATGGACAACTTCGAGGACCTAGAGTAAGAAGAAACTGGGTTCGTGGTAATGAAGCTTGTGTGGAAAGTGGAGGACGACATTTTAAACACCTTTAAATACAAAAAGGTGCAGTGTGGGTTTTAAAAAGAAAAACAATGTATGTATCAAAATTGTGTTCGTCATTTCTAAGTGGATTGTTTTAATACGTTCAATAAACTTTCACACACCAAGTGAAGCGCTGAGACAGTTAGTGGTAAGTCCGTTTTTTTAATTGTTTGCATTTTACGAGTACATTATCAAATAATGAAATAATACCTAAGAGCCAAAAATAACAAACTCCATCTTTATTTACACTGCGTTCCGTCGTAATTTTCGTCTGGCATTACGGCGTTGTCAGATTTTATTTTACTTTAAAGTCGCTTTTCTCTAAAAAAATGCCGTTTTGCCCCCCATGTTATATGAAACTTTTTGCTTCTTTTAACACCCTCTATCACCCATTTAAATAATGACTAGCATAACGTTTACACCCTGTATATTAAGAACAAGATCGGCCCTAGGACTGAACCTTGTGGTACCCCTGAAGGAACATTCTGTAAATTTGAAATATTTGTTTCCAGAACCACCTGTTGCTGTCTGTATTTAAGATATGACGCTAGGAAATGTAGTGCCGATTAATCAAATCCAAGATAAGTACACTTGGCTAGAAGTAGATACCTTACTAAAATCGAGAGAGACAAGTACTGTTGCCAGGTTTTTATCCAAATTGGAGATTATATAATCAACTATAACAGGTAGTGCAGAAACAGTGCTGCATCCTTTTCGATGCCGAAAAGCTCTGCAGGCATTATACAGGGTGTCCGCAAAGTTGGGGTTTTCCATTACACGACGTGTAGATCTTGAAAACATAAGCAATTTTTCTTAGTACCATATACACCACTGTCTTAAGGGAACCAAGATAAAGGGCTCTGGAACATCAAAAATATCTGAATACGGTCCTCTAGCCGCGACCCGCATCATCACCGAGTGGTACAAGGTCACTGGCTCAACCCGACGACAGAACTGGGTCGGGGTCAGGTCAGTATGCAACATTCAACCGACGGCTACGGTCACGCGTGTAGAGGTAAACGAACCGGTATAATCGATTGCGTTTCAAAAAAAAAATAATAATGGCACATTCATACACCAATAATGAACTCGTTGATATGTTGTTAATTTATGGCGAATGTCTTCAAAATGCTACAGAGGCTTCGCGAGTGTATGCAGATCGTTTCCCTAGACGACATCATCCAAGGCCCCGCAGATTTGTGTACCTGGTCCAGAGAGTCAGGGATACGGGCCAGTTGGAGGAATTTCGAGGTGGGCACAGTGGGAGGTCTAGACAACCACGAATGGTGCAAGTTGAGGAAGAACTACTGAATCGCCTAGACAAGAATCCCTCAACAAGCACTAGAGACGTGGCTAGAGAAGTGCAAGTATCAAAAACTAAAGTGTGGCAAACGCTGCGTGAAGAGGGGCTGTATCCGTTTCACATCCAACGTGTACAAGCCCTTCACCTGACGATTTTCCAGCAAGAGTGCGGTTTTGTGAGTGGTTGTTGCATCAACATGACAATAATCCGGACTTTTTGAAGTGCATATTGGTGACAGACGAATCTACGTTCACGCGTAATGGGGTGAATAACTTTCGCAACATTCATGTTTGGTCAGTAGAAAATCCGCACGCTGTCCGTCGGGCACATTGTCAACAAACAGTTTCTGTGAATGTTTGGGCTGGCATGGTGAACGGTATGCTCATTGGACCATTTATTCTCCCAAATCGATTGGACGGGATGCAATACCTAGACTTTTTACGCGACATTTTGCCTTCCTCGTTAGAAGATGTGCCATTAAGTGTAAGACAATCAATGTGAGTTTTTGAATGAATTATTTCCGAATAATTGGATCGGACGTAATGGACCCGTAGCGTGGCCTCCGCGATCTCCAGACTTAACACCATGTGATTTTTTTCTTTGGGGAGAAATGAAACGCTTAGTGTACAAAACTGAAGTGCATACGGTTGACGAACTTCGTCTCAGAATTGAACGAGCTGGTGCTTTCATTCGGGGGAGGGACTCCATTCTCAAAGCCTGCACCGATGCTTGGCTACGTCGTGCACGCACCTGTGTTTTTGAATCAAATGGCGATAACTTCGTACAATACCTATAAAGTACGTTTACCTAAAAACTGAAAACGCGACAACGCCGTCATTTTTGTTACCTCTGTTCGTGGTCTGCACCACCGCCTGCGTCTGCTCGGTAGCGCATCAGCTGATTTCATTTTCTGTTGGAGCGGTATGATTTCGGGCAGAGACGTACTTAGCCCTTCTCGTCAACTGGAGAGTGAGTACTTTTTCCTTTATTTTTTTTTACTTGGTCGCCCTCGTTTCAATACACATAACCTTTGTTATTTCAAGGGTAGTTGTTTCTGAAAAGGACAACCCCAACTTTGCGGACACCCTGTATATATATATATATATGTGAAAAATAAAGCTTCAGCCTTTTGTTAAACACTTCAACAATATCATCCATCATTTTATAAGGAAGACAAACGATAATATCGTCCACATACTTTTTTTATGAAAATTAGATTGTATGGCAATACTTGAATAACAACATCAAGCAGGTCATCCACTACATATTCTATGTATTGTACAAGTAAGCTCTAAAGTTTGGTTGAAGATTATTTTCTCTATTTTCTTTGGAAAGAACTGGTAAAAGGCTGATAGATCTTAAGTCAGTCAGTGGGTGGGATCGAAATCCCAATAATTTTTTTTCTTCTGAGCTCCTCCTCCCCGCAGTTTTTTCATATGGACCCCACTGAAAATATTTTCTAGATCCGGCCACGCTTGGTTAACTTGCATCAAATTGAAAATTATCTGTATGAAGACTTTACGCTCATGTTCTCTGTATGGAGATTTACCATAAAATAGATTTAATTGAAAAAAAAAAAGATAAAACTGACGAGTTTCACTATGAAGAGATACACTGGGTAAACAGATACAAGGTCTGTCGCAAAGTAAACAGGGCTTTTGAAAGATATCCGATACAAGTAGCGCCATCTATTATCTAGCGTTGGATAGGTACATCTTTCAGTGATGCCCTGTCAAAATTTCATGAGAATCGAACCACTTCACGCGGAGATATCGCGCTCAAAGTGACAGTACCTGTTTAGCGTTCGTGTTCGTCGAAAAATGAGCATCGAACAAAGAGCCAATATTAAGTTCTGTGTTAAATTTGGTGAAACATTCACCGAAAAGCATCAGATTTTGATGCAAGTGGATGATGATGAAGATGATTGTTTATCTCGTAGCCGAGTCGTTTACACGGTTCAAAGAGGGTCGTGAGTCGCAGGAAGACGACGTAGAGTTGGCCAGCCAAAATTTGTGATTGCGTCAGAAACTGTCGAAAAAGTGCGTGAGTTTATCAAAAGTGATCCAAAATCTTCATTGAGATACACACATCCCCCGGTCAATGAGCTGAAATCACCATTCGAAAATCTTTTGGTCCGTACAAATCGCTGTATTAACTTTAAAGGAGACTATTTTGAATAAAATAAATCCGATTTTCCGAAACAAAAAAAATGTTGTTAATTTTTTTTGTCCTGTTTACTTTGCGACAGACCTTGTATACGTATATATAGCATTAAATATACTAAGTGACATATAAATCCGAACACCCAGTTTGAATGGTTTTATTTTAATAAAAGTTGGTGAATGTATTTATCTTACTGTAAATAACAAGTGAAAAAATTTTCAGCCTTATCAGTTGGACATTCCTGTTTTTATACTGCTTTTTTTTAATTCACTAACGCTCTAAAAATGAATATTTCAGCCGCAGTAAAGAATCAACGTTGGCGGATTTTGGTTCTTGACATCCTTTACGATCGGTTACGATGCCTAGAGTACGGAGACCTGTACGATTTCGTCAACTTAGTGAGTTTGATAGGGGCCGTATAGTGGGACTTCGGGAAGCTGGACTTTCTTTTCGGGCAATTGCAGTTAGAGTGCAAAGAAGTGTAGACACTGTGGTTAGGTGTTGTCAGGCATGGCTTCGAGAAGGCCGTACGCAAAGAGCAAGGGGCACTGGACGCCGCCGTAGAACAACAGACCGTGAAGATCGCCGCCTTAGATTATTGGCCTTATGGGACCGTTTCTCCACTAACAGGTCCACTGCAAATGAATGGTTTGCAGAGCACGGAAGACCTATTGGCATGCGAAGTGTTTACCGACGAATGAGAAGTTTTGGCTTGTTTTCATACCGGCCACACTGGGTCCTCCCTTTAACTCGAGAGCACCGACGTAATCGCCTTGAGTGGTGCAGACAACGGTCACTCTGGGATCAGGAATGGAACAGTATTGTCTTTAGTGACGAGTCTCGATTTTGTTTAGGCATGCACGATGGTCGTGCCAGGGTTAGAAGGCGACGTGGTGAAAGGAGGAATCCACAGTTTTTGGTGAAAGACATGTTCATCACATTGTTGGAGTTATGGTTTGGGGTGCTATAGCTTATGGTTCCAGGTCACCTTTAATCTTCATCAGAGGTAACATGAACGCGCAGCGTTATATCCACGAAGTTCTAGAACCCCATCTTTTACCCTATCTTGACACCCTGGCAGATCCAACTTTCCAGCAAGATAATGCCCGACCACATGTTGCAAGAGTCACAATAGACTTCTTTCAACATAATGATGTCACATTGTTACCATGGCCACCAAGATCTCCCGACTTATCCCCAATTGAGCACGTGGGGATATGATGGGTAGGAGATTGCTCAATTTGCAACGTCCGCCTCAGACTCTAGAAGCACTTGGAGAGGAGTTGGTGGTTGCCTGGAATGAGATACCACAGGAGGACATTGACCACCTGATCAGAAGCATGTCTAGGCGCGTTGGAGAATGCGTAGCACATCAGGGTGCATCCACACATTATTAAAGGCCAAAGGGCTTTAAAGCAGTGCAATCATTTTGAAATTTTTATCATTTACTTATTATGCTTCATTAAGTACTTATACAAAATTTTATTAAAATAAAACCATTTAAACTAGGTGTTCGGATTTATATGTCACTTAGTATATATTGACTCACCTGCCACAAGTAAAAATAACTCTAAGAAGTAATGTTACTCACCTCCTCGATCGTATCAACGTTCAATTTTATGTGAGTCTCTCTTTGTAACAATTTGAATTGTAGCTCCTCTATCTGTTTTTTGAACTGAATTTCCTGTTGCTCAAAATGATTCACATGTTGCGCTAACTCGTCTACTTTATTTTGAAGCTGCGATAACTGATTCTTAGCTTGGTTCCGTTCCTCAATTGCTTGAAGCTGAATCTTTTTACTTTCGGACAGCTTTAACGACATATCGTATTTTAGTAATTTTTCTCTTTGAAGCTCTTCTGCCAAAGTTTCCGCCTTTTCCTTCAATCGGTTCATCGAGATCATTTGCTTTTCGAAGGACATTTTTCGCGGTTCAGAAACGCTTTCTGGTTGTTTGTTTGATGGCCTTTCACTTTCTAGTTCTTGTTTCTGTGATCGAGAATTTTTATTTTCTAATTCTTGTTTCAGGCGAACATTATCACGTTCAAGATCTTTGATGGCTCTGTCTAAGGACTCAAGACATTGCCCATAGTCGGATATCATAGTATTGATCTTCTCTCTGTTATCTTTAATATTTTTGTTTACGCCGCCGAGTTCGGATTTCAAGCTCTTAATACGCTCACAAAGTTTCAAATTCTTCTCAGTTTCTTCTTTGTGTTTAGCAGTGATAGAAACAATGTCTTCCTTCTGTTGGTATATCTGGATGCACAGCTCAGAATTTTTGACAACTTCAATATCGTGCTTTGTTAGTAAGGCGTCGTAATCTTGCTTCATCTGAAAATACGAAACAAGCAGTCAACTTCTCTCGGAAAATAGTTATATCTTTATACGAACTGTTATCTTTTTCTACAGAATGAGAAGAATTAAATCATATTAATTGACAAACTTTGTTACATATTAATTCTAGCCAGCTTTATCGCTATCAAAAAATCCACAATCCTAAATATTTTGAGACCATATACCCTCAAATTAGGATCATCTAATTCAAGCTACTGTCATTAACACATTAAAACTTTATTGAAGAGTATAACTTTGCCATTCTATTTCGAATTCCGAGGACAATTGTGGGTATGGATATTAGATTCACCATTGTCAATGTTGGTCCGCAAATAAGTCAGAAGTAACAAGGCATTTTGATCTATTTTTATAGATAACAGTATCAATTCATTACACATTCATGGATCAGTTATATTGGGGGTACTACCTTTTACGCTAAAACTCTCCTTGACATATTATGCTAAGGTAAGCTTTAGTACTACATTTTTTCACACTGACTGGTACTGGATATATTAATTATTCTTCTTCTATTTCAAAGTTGAGTAATTTATTTAACAGCTTCTAGAACTCGTCAAAAGGTGATATACCAAATATCACCTATATAAAAATTGCATGATAAGAAAGTTAACAATGATTCAAAAAAAATCATTAAGTTAAATGGATACAGTTTTTACTAAACACTGTACTATGGGAAACTTCAACTTGAGCTGCTGTGGCTCTAGTACTCATTGTTCCGGGTCTTCCCGCGTGTTCTCCTTGTTCTTTTAAATATCATGTATCACGAAGTCTAATTAAGTTTACAAAAATTCGTGAGGCCGGATGATTTCTTAAAGGAAACTTTCCGCATACAACATGCATGCATGCTGCGGCTGCATTTTGTTGGCACTCTCCGAATGTTAGTATTATGGCCACTAGTTCATTTTTTTCGTTAACATGAGCCATTGTTTTTGCACAAAATAATCAGACAGACTTAAATTATACAACACATCGAAGCAAAGACTCGCACTGAAAACCATAGAGTAACAAAAAAATGGCCAAATTTAAAACGATAGAAGGTAGTAAATAACAACGCTAAAATTTTACACCACAGTGGTTGTGAATATTAAAAAATGTGTGCTGTGAGATGTTATTCTTATTTTTGTAATCACAGTAATCATAATCACACTCGTATCGTATACGTATAGGTTATATTAAATCTAAAGATGATTAATGATAAAGTTTATCGACTTAAAATTACAATTTTGTTTTGATTATTTTAACACCGGGACAGCGCGCCCGAGTTATCCGCATTAGGGATAATCGCAGGGGTCAGCCCAATCGTAGTGCAATGAAAGGGCCTCACCCTGGGGGAACCGCCTTTTTGATCACGGTAACCCCTACGCCAGGTAAGTATGCTTTCCGATGCGACAATAAACGTAGTTGATAAATTTTATGGTGTGTGCACGAGCTATCACGACACTCACGCCATCTGACATTGCGAATTGTAAGTAGTCAAACGCCATGACGAGTCAGCGTCAACTTGCTTCGGGAGCATAGTTACCTACAGCGAACGGCGTAACAACTGTGGCGCCACATTTAGTCGGTATTCGTAACTGCGATGCGTTTCCAAGATGAAGATGGCTCAAGACAAGTTCTGGATTTGCATCGTTAAAAAATATATGGATCAATATCAGCTCAGTTTTGATCATTTTATCATGTTCTGTGCGTTTCATATCCCCTATGTTACAAGGTTGTAAATCGTTCTGTGAATGAAATGCAATAATATGAGCATTTATTTGCAATCATAGATTTGTAGCAATGGCAGGAAGCAAACTGCCACATTGCACATAGTTAATAAAGATACGTAAACAGGTCAAGGGAAAGAAACTAGAAAACCCAAAATTACTTTTCTGAAGGCATTTGCAAATAAAATATACCATATTCATAAATAATATCCATTTTATCCTAGCCGTCGATAAAACCACAGATGTAAATTGAAGAATTTCTAACGTTTCGGCCACCTTGACATTTCACATTATACTTTGAAAAAGGTATTCTAGTGAAGGATTTTAGTTATTACTCGCGCTATTGCGATTTTGGGGACGATAGTGAACACTGATGAACAGAAAGTCACATGAGAGAAGTGTTTAATATCTAATTGGATGTGGGCATTGTTACCAGGTATAGTCTATCTGTTTTGGGTACATTTGTGCGTTTTTTTTTTCGGTAGATCGTGATGTTTTCGGTAGACTGTAAATCAAGAGGCAAGAACTTGCGGGGTATTGAAAATAATTATTGAATGTGGGGTGAACTTGCTTAAGTGTCACTTGATTTTGAAAATTGAAAAGTGTGAGCATCAAATGCTACTATTTTAAAAAAGTGCTTAGGGCTGCACCAAAGAGCGGGTGGGTCAAATGGCTTCAGTCCTGTTTTTCGGATATATACTAATTAAGAATTTGATACTTTTATTTGATAGGATCAGAATTAAAGTCGGTTAATCGGTAGTTCGATAAAACAGGATTGAAATCAGTGGACCTGCTAACACTAATGTAGGAATTGGATTTGGTGATACAGGCTATAGGCTATACCTAAGGACCAAAGTTTGCCAGATGGTCATGAATGTCCCGGAATTGTGCATCTTATCCAGTGTCCAGTATTAAGACCACTCTCCCGAACCCGAACACCTATTAGTTTTTTCACAAAATTACTATATTTTTGTCAGTACTACACGTAACGCACGGCAGCCAAGTGTAACTTAAGTACATAGGAAAGATTTATTTATATTATTTTATAAGACAAATAGTTTTGATTTTTGTTTTAAGACAACTCGTTCTTGTACCAAAGTTTACCATATTAATTATCCATAAGGAGATGCTCATTTTTCGCTTTTAGTCTGGAACTGGAAAGAGTATTTAAGAATAGTTCCTTGTGTCTTAAGGTAACTCGTGTTGTTCTGGTTGCCTATAGCAAAAAATTGATATGTTCATTTATGTTGTTTACGAGCCCCTTCCCACTTCAGTTGGCTCACATTCAAGATTTGTACCAAAATATGCCTTTATAAACTAAACATGACGAAACTATTTACTTCTAAAATAATTTATTTTCTCAAACACATTTTAGATACACTCTAGTCGTAAAAAATACATATTTGAAATCACTTAGACCTATAACTAATATAACATCTGAACAAATAAACAATGTGCGAATACATGCGTGAAGTTAACAAAGCAACAATTGGAAGATTACCATTGGGTAACATCAACTTTATTTTTTATTACGGCTGAAATTCTTTGGTGCATAGTGTTAACCAAGTTTTGGCAAAAATTTGGGTTAAAACAATCCCATATTTCTTGAAGCTTTTGTCTCAGTTCGGTGATTGTACGAGGAGGATGTTGTCGTAGAACCTTTTTCATCTCGTGCCACAAAGTTTCAATAGGTGACAGATCTGGACTGCTAGAAACCCATTTCAAAAGTGGTACATTATTTTCTTCCATCCATTTTATAGCCTTTTTTGAGGTATGGCACGCTGCACCATCTTGCTGAAACACAAAATCTTGGCCGGATGTCAAACATTCTTCCATCACTGGTAAAAGTGATTCTTCTAAAATTGCCAAATATTTGTTTGTATCCACATTTCCATCAATATAATGAAGTTTTCCTACTCCTTTTGATGACACTGTCCCAGACCAAAATAGATGCTGGAAATTTCACTTTTCTCTTCAGACAGTCAACATGGAATGCTTCATTTTTTTTGCGAATAACTCTACTGCGACTGTCACCAACACAAACTTTGAATCGGGCCTCATCACTCCATTGTATTGCACACTATTGTTGAGGTGTCCATTGTCTATGTTCTTTAGCCCATCTAAGCCGATTTTTCTTTTGCAGTGGAGTTCATAGTGGCTTTTCTTTGGCCTATAAACAATTTGTGCAACTTTAGAGTTTTTACTTCACTTTTTTTTAAAAGAAAACTTACCTTGCAAGTGCTAAATCCCAGTTTGTGGGCCTCTCTATGAGTTGTGGACCTCCAAATTCTCCTTCCAACAGCGTCACTCCACAGAGCACTTAATTGTAAATAATTGGCACGCCTGTTTTTCACGATTATTCTTCTTAATGCTCTTCGGTCGGCATTTGTGATATTACTTTTTTTCACATATCGTGGCTTAATATTAACTGAACCAGTTACGTTATATCTTCTAACAATATTTCTCACACTTCTAAGTTTGATTTCCCAGAATTAAAAAATTTAATTATCAGTTACCGAATTTTCTCACTAATAACCTTTCCTCTACCCATTTTGAAAACCTTAACTACCCAAAACTATTTTAAACGTATTCTGACAGCTGTGATTAATAAAAACAATTGTTATGGCTTTTATTCTTCACAGCAACCTATGCGTTATAGACTTATTTTGCATTCAAATGAAAATAGGTTGATATGCTGTAATTGCAACATGTGTTATTTTTATGCTGCAAATTTGCTTAGGGAGTGATAAAGTTGGTGTTTTCTACTATATATTATCAAAATATTCATTGTTAATATTTTAAACCTATAACACCCTGCTACATTTTTATTATTTGTGTTTGATAAGAAAAAAACTAAGATTTCAATAGTTGGGCCAACTGAAGTGGGAAGGGGCTCGTAGTTGTTTTCCACATGATTCGATAATGATTATGAACAGTATGAACACCATGCCGTTAATAAATGAATTTAAAATCACTGTTAATAATTTAGATGGAACGTGCCAATTGCCATGTCTGTATTGTACGTGCACAGTTGATGGTGATACAAGGGTATTAAGGTTTAAGGTATCAAAGCAATGTTTCAGTTCTCCGTAGACTTCAGTCGTAAAGAAAGTCAAAACTTCAATACATCACTTCAATTAAAGCAAAATTCACCAAAAGTTTTGTTTGAATTAATTAAAATGGGCCGATCCCGGAGGTACTGCAATACCGGGCCAACCCGCGACGGGAGCAAGCCCCTAACCTCCCATCAATTTCCAAAAATTTGAGAGCAAAAA